TAAACGGAATAGAGCGGTGGTACTTTGGCTCGCAGTACGAACCCAGCGGGCCGGGTTCGTTTCCTGGCCACAATCAGTTTCAAGTGATATATGAGAAGTGGTCTTGCCCTCCCCCTCTTCATCAACCTGCACTGACTTGTGTGGTGAAGTACGGTCAAAACCATAGTGACCGGCATGGTGTGGCGAAATTTTTGTCCATTGGTGAATTCAGAATTGTTGGAATTAATTTTCATTATTTTTTTAATATATATATAGTATAAACATATACATTCAAAGAGAATGAGCCAAATATCCACGATCTCAGGACAGGGCTATTGCAAAAGTTTGCATCGAGACTCCGATTAGCACGGCTCGCTACGTACGGTGCCAAAAAGATGTTCAACATCCGTATATACATTGAGAACTTTGTGAGAGAAACTAAGAAGTGCATTGATAAAGAAAGCACTTTAAACGACAGCAGCGTCTTGGGTAATGACCAAGGTCGCGAGGCATTTGGCGTCCACGCTGCAAACATGACATTCCTTCCCGCACCCAGGAACACAGTGTGTCAGATGTGTTGCAATTCACATTGCCAGCACTGGAAAGATATGTAAGTAAATAAATAAAGAGAGCCACAGGCCCCTGTGGTATGTTTGGTATTCCCCCCCCCCCCCCGGGCTTAGAAGTTGTGGCCAAACAGGGCAATGGTGGTGCTGTGTTGCAACATTCAGAGTTATTTCAAATAATTGTTTCAACATTGAAGGTGGAAGATTTTTGACAACTAAATTATTGTGTAAATGTATATACTGTATAAGCGCAGGGGAAACCAAGTACATCACGTAACATATTTTGTGTAACTTTTGAAAGTGTGACTAAATTGCATTCAGAAAAGAATAAAGGGTTTAATGAAGAGCTTAAAGACTGCTGTCTATGAATTTTTATTCCCGTTTTGGATTTTTACTTGACAAAACCCCTCCACGTCAGCACAATATACGTAATGTTTAACCAAAGAAGTATTGCATAACTGGTATTGTATCAATTTGAAGCAACTCTTCACAGTTGTAATAATTGTTATAGTTAATTTAATTATTACATTATTTTAGCGTACCTAGCAGCATGCAATTTATAAGCATTATACAATATAAAGATGCACTGATTGGAATAATTATGGCAGGCTTACATTGAGTGAACTGCAGTTAAAGGACTTTTAACTAAGCTTTATTTGTACTGAAGATAGAGAAAAGTGCAAGAACACAACACAATTGTGAAATACAATTGCAATGTTATGGGAAACTGATGATAGTTTGTCATATCATGAAAATTAATATAGTATCATACGTATCCTATTGTGGACATTTTTATTATGGTAACCAGAGTTGTAATATGCCACATTTTGTGAACAAGAATGTATTATTCCATACTCCAATTAACATTTTCTTGCTGTGGTTTTCACACCTGATGATGATTGCTTGTGTTGCAGTCGAAACGTCGTGAGAATTTTATTGTTTTATATTTTTATTATTTTATTGTTTCCCTTCTACGTAACTTTACCGAAAGAACCAAGACTATGAATCCCTGCAGTCACGAAAGCTTTAAATCAAAATTGTTTGTTCTATTTGGGTTGTCTGTATCTGATATCTGATGATAATAATTAACAATCCAAACCACCTTGATTTCAAGTTCCTACACAAACAATAGTTGAGAGGTTTCAAACTCCACTGATGCTCATTTCCCTAACCGACTGTTTGTTGGTGAGCTGACAGTTGTAATTGCATGGCAGGGATCGATCTAGATAGCAAGAATTGTTCACCTCACACTAATTGGTACATGCTCATTTTTTCCGAATTTTGAGAGATTCTGAGTTGAGTGGACCTTATCCAGGATTTGAACTTGGAAGTAACGAGGAGTGCTGACACTCTACCAGTTTAGCTATTCCCCACCTTATCCTGATTTATTTCTTCATAATCAGCCATTATATAGCCACTGATGGATGAAGGCCTCCATACACTGTCACCATCCATCACATGAGCGTGTTGTCACTATCCATATCACTCCTGACAAGGAAATTATCCCATCACATCATCCCCGCGGTAGTCATTCTCTTGGACAGTTCTCTCCACTGTCTGCCATTTGGTCATCAGTGTTAACCATCGGCACTCAGGCCTTCTAGCAACGTGCCCTGCCCAGGCCCATTTACTTTAAATTGTTCACAAGATTAATTTATTTTTGTTCCCTGATCTATGTATTCCCTTCTCTGTCTCTCTGTGTAATTGAAAGCATGCACCTTTGGAAAGAAGTATGTTGATAATGAGGCCTATAAATAAGGGGGAGGGGGGATCATGCTTGATCATGACCGATCATATATATGTTTTAATAATTATGTAAATATGCTGTGGTAGGTCTCAAATGCCCTAGCAATGGTTTCCAGCTTCACACAGTCACGCCAGACAATGGTATTGCAGACTCGCCGCAAACGATACACTGCAGCTTGAGAACTGAACAGCACTTAATGCAATTAACACGATTCCACGAAGCAATGCCACTCAATCCAAGCTGCCCTTTGTAAAATCACGTCATCTGCAGCTATCAGTTACAGTGTTGTAATGACAATGATTTAAATCATCCATTCCACCCGCAAGTACTGTTATTGCCTGGTGGCACTTTGGCTCAGATGGGAACCGGTGGCAAGGGTTACATTTACGGTCAGAATCATTGTTGGCATTACTGATGCATATGCGTTGGAGAGGAACTAAGAATTGAATGCGCGCAAGTTGGATATTTTTTTTGTATCAAATGTTAAATTATTTATGTGCCAGCTTCTATGCTTACTCTTTGGTTCTATTCGGTAAAGTCACGTAGGTAAAAAAATAAAACAACAAAAATCACGACGTTTCGGCCACAACACAAGCGGCCTTCATCAGGTGAAGGGACCAGCCTGTCTCGAAGACTGCGCTGGATTGAAACAGAGCCAAGCTCAGACTGCGTCCTTTAAGCTGTGTGAAAGGGATTAAGGTGCCTCGACAAAGGAATTAGCATAAAAAATAAACATTTGATTGGCGGACTTAGCATGATGAAAGGTGTAGGACGCGGCAGTGCACCTTTAAGCTGTGTGAGAGGGATTAAGGTGCCTTGACAAAGGAATTAGCGTAAAAATTAGCATTTGATTGGCGGACTTATCTGCTCTGACCAGCATGGTGAAGTATGGTCAAGTGATACCCACAACTGGCATGGTGTGAAGAGGCCCTCATTCAATAGTCGACTGACAAAAGGGTACATTTACATGTATCATGTTTAACCATCCTAAACTTTGAAAACAGAATAATCATTCTACAATTCTGCGTAAACATTTGACATTATTTGCCCCGCAACAAGAGGTTCCTGGTTGCGATTCCCGACTCGGGCAACTTTCTGTGTAGAATTTTGATCTTCTCCCTCTGTTGTGCAAGGGGTTTCTCTGGGTTCTCTGGTTTCCTACGATAGCTGAACAAAATGACAAACATCCCAATGCTGAAAGATTACCGGGGTAACAACGAGACGCCTGTTTCACTTGCAAATTACTCGACAGACGTTACACATAGCAGCAAGCACCCTACTCCCCCCTCTCCACTGCAAAAGATTAGTCTTGAGACACAGTGAAGTTTTGTAGCAAATCAAGTGATATCATAACGTTTCACCTAGACAATATGGGAATTGACACCTGTGTTCTGGTAGCAGGAATTGATCTAGTGATACTGCGCTGTGTTGCACGTTATTTAATTGAATAGTTGAACAGTTCTGATAGACTTGGGCCGACTTTCACACTGAACCTGTGCCCTCCACCAGTCAACTGCTGGACGAATTTCTCCTACATGCCGTGTCGGTCATGGGGTTTTGTTTTGACCATACTTCACCACGTTGGTCAGTGCGGGTTGGTGAAGCTAGGAATAGGGCCATCCGTAGGTGGGTACGGGGCCCAGGGCAAACCCCGCTGTGCATCTGATGCTGTGACGTCGAAGCATGCCCTCCCCCCCCCAAAGTGCGGGGCCCGAGGCTGTGACGTCGAAGCGTGCCCTTCCCCCCCCCCCCCCCAAAGTGCGGGGCCCGAGGCGGTCTCCCCCAATTCGTCGTACCCGAGGTACAGTTTTGAGTTGGAATGTTGGGGGGGGGGGGCAGGCACCCAGTATTGGTTAAGATATGACTCGTTTTCCAATTAATGTTACCCGTGACCAGGAGTTCGAATCAAGAGTTTGTATTTATACTGGAGGCATCCGATGAGCTATAAAGCAGTAGTTTTTTTTTTCACAGAGCAACTGGGTTCATAGTGTAATGCAAGCTTGACAACTGAAATGTGTAGTTTTTTTTTTCTCTCTCAACGTTGTAGCACCATATTCTCATAAATATAAGATGCAATTTCTCTCTATTTTGAAGCGAAAGTTGGGCTGGCGGGGGGGAGGATGGTGTACGACTTATACTCGGGAGAAATGCGGTACGTCAAGCGCGTTGAGTGAAAGGCGCTCTATGAACACAGATCGGATTAGATTTCCATATCAACATTTTAGCATCGAGAGCTTTCATCGAGAGGTTTACCCGTATTTTTGTACAGTTTTCATGTTCATACGGCGTTACAGCCGTTTCAATACGGGCAAAAAAAATGTGTTTTTTTGTCTATATGTTTGTGTTTCTCCCTCGTGATGGGACTTTGTAGGATGAACGTCGAGATGTATAAGGGGCACGGGGGTCACCAATAAGGTCTGAGTTGGTCTGTAATAAGGTAGGGCACTGATCAGGGGTTCACAGTTATGGAATAAAGATCGGATTACATTTCCATATCAACATTTTCGCATCGAGGGCATTCGTTCTTTCCTCATTCCCTCGCTCAGCCACCCCGTTGCGAAACACGTGGGTTCGCGTCATCACTCCGTCGTCACAAACACAGCCCCCACCCCCCCCCCGCGCGCGCGAGGCGGCGTGACGTCATCGCGTCGCGGACGTCACACCCGCGGCGAAGCCTCGTTGCGCGATGACGTCCCCGCGCCGCCGATGATGCAACGCCGAGTTCAGACTTGTGCGCGATGACGTCACCACAACATTATCCCGTCGCTCGCATGGCGGACTCCTTAGCCGGCGTCTTAGGCAAGGCCAGCATTGAATTCCAAGCTGGCCATGGCGAGGAGATACAACGCTTCGATGGTGGGTTTCTGCTGCGGGTAACCACTGCCCCCTGTGTCGCTGAGAGAGTGGTGGGCCCCGTATCACCCACGCCTTTACGTCTCCCCCCGTTGGTACCTCTCGGCTTACTCGTAGGCCTGGTGCTGCCGCTGTCTTTGCCTGGTTGTGGGTGCGATGTGTCGTGGGGTGTGCTGTGTCCTGGGTGTGCTGTGTCTGGTGTGTCCTGGGTGTGCTGTGTCTGGTGTGTCATGTGTGTGCTGGGTCTGGTGTGTCCTGGGTGTGCTGTGTCTTGTGTGTCCTGGGTGTGCTGTGTCCTGAGTGTCCTGCTTGTGCTGTGTCTTGTGTGTACTGTGTCTGGTGTGTCCTGGGTGTGTGCTGTGTCCTGGGTGTCCTGCTTGTGCTGTGTTCTGAGTGTGCTGTGTCGTGGGTGTGCTTTGTCTTGTGTGTACTGTGTCTGGTGTGTCCTGGGTGTGCTGTGTGTGTGCTGTGTCTTGTGTGTACTGTGTCTGGTGTGTCCTGGGTGTGTGCTGTGTCCTGGGTGTCCTGCTTGTGCTGTGTTCTGAGTGTGCTGTGTGTGTGCTGTGTCGTGGATGTGCTGCGTCATGTGTGTACTGTGTCTGGTGTTTCATGGGTGTCCTGGGTGTGTGCTGTGTCCTGCTTGTGCTGTGTCCTGCTTGTGCTGTGTTCTGAGTGTGCTGTGTGTGTGCTGTGTCCTGGGTGTCCTGAGTGTGCTGTGTTCTGAGTGTGCTGTGTGTGTGCTGTGTCCTTGGTGTGCTGTGTTCTGAGTGTGCTGTGTTCTGAGTGTGCTGTGTTCTGAGTGTGCTGTGTTCTGAGTGTGCTGTGTCCTTGGTGTGCTGTGTTCTGAGTGTGCTGTGTGTGTGCTGTGCCGTGGGTGTGCGTTCTGTGTGATTGATGCTGCGTGCTTGTGGTCTGGCCCATGTGTGATGCTCCACATTTCCACATGATAAGCCACTTTGTTTGTTGAGCTATCATTTGTGGCCTGGTCGCTTCTGAAAAACAAGCCAATAGCTCAGTGGACTTTACCTGGCAAGGTAAAACATAGTTTTGTTTTATTTGTATATATTTTAAGTGATTTGACCCCGTGCACTCCTATCGTGTCTTTGTATTGTTGTTGTTGTAACGTTCTGGCCCGCGCCTAGTGGACGCCTGTGACAACAGAGCTTTATAGCTCATCGGATTCTTCCAGTGAAAATAAATATGATTCTGTTTTGCCCGATGTGGGTGCTCTGTGCAGGCTGCTGTGACCTCGGTGTTGGTGCTGCGTGTCGTGGCCTGCACGCGGCTTGATGTGTCCTGAATGCGGGTTATAGTTGCTGACTGACATCTCAGAATCTTTTTTTTTATTTTGACTGAAGATATCCGATGAGCTATGAAGCTCTTTTTCACAGACGTCCACAGATCTCCAGATGTCCAGAACACATCTGTTGAACACATCTGTGTTCTGTTGTCAGGAATCGAATTCGTACCAGCACCTGGGTGGCAATTGTGTTGACCGTTGTTACAGTGTAGTTGCTACGCTTTGGTAGACCTAAGCTAACTGCGAATAATATCCGGGTTTGATTCTGGGTGTGTGTGCTGAGCCCTGGGTGTGAGGTTTTGTGTGTGTGTGTGCTGTGCCATGAAGCGCACCTAGCATGCCACGAGCGGTTGTTTTTTGTTCTTCCATAATCATAGGTGGTGTCTCTTATTGTTGTGATACACTCGTCCCAATGATTTTAGTAATTGTACCTGTGTAAATTCAGTTCGTGAAATCGATTATGTATACTTTTTTAACGTTGCGATGCACCTAGCGGGCTCTAGTGGCGGTAGGAGGCAGTCCTGTTACTTTTTACATGCAACATGCTTTTTTAACTTAAGAAACTATAATTGATTAAGATATACATAATTAAACTGGCAATAGAGTTATCAGTATACCACTGTAATCTTAATTTTAATGTTTTGTAGATATTACAGAACATAATACAAAGTTCTTGCTTTCATCCCACTAATTAGACTGCCAAACATATATCAGTATTGTAATCCTAATTTGAATTTTTGTTAATATTCCAGAACATTATATAACATGCTTGCTTTCCGCCTTCCCACTGTACCACCTGTGAATAGCGCCAATTCTTATGAATACGTCATAAGCATATATATATTTTTCTACATAACTAAGGCTATAACTCTCTGGGACAACCTTTTCATGGCACTGGGTCAGTATAACCCAGTTTGGTAACTCATCAATCGACCGAAAATGATCAACTTGCATACTGCATGGCACGTGGCTGTGTGTATCGGTAACACATGGTATGCTGCAAAAATGCCTTGGTTAAATTAAAAGCACGTGTTTCATTCGCAGTCGCCGATAACATGCTCGAATGTAAGATGCACCTTTTATTAATCGTATATTAATTTCTGAATACAGGGTGATCCATTTATAATGACCCGCTTCGTATACTTTCAACAGGCGATTGAATATTTTGAAAGCATGCCTCCATATTTTACACAGAGGAACAGTGATGACCCTCGTGCTGTCTCTTGCTCATGTATTGCACGGTGCAGATTCGGACTGCCCGATGACGGAGGCCCCGGCAGGCCCAGTCGAGGATGGCGTCCTGAGTCCACGCGGACTCCGACACTCTGTGTCCAACCAGCTGCTGTTGGTCACGCTGCTGGAGCACCTATGCTCATTGTACGAGCGAGATCCCATAAACAAGCAGGCGCTCTTCCACGGTACGTAGCCTCGTCCGTCGAGGCTTAACAAGAGTGGAACATGGTTAAGTGACACACGACATTTTATATTGAACTGCAGCACTTAGTTTAACTGCGTTTACATTTACATAACACAGATAACGTGTCACTCGTGTTGATTTTACTGCAATTGGTCTCAGGGCAGAAGAATGAAGCTTGGTGAGATTATTAGGAAATTTATTAGACCTCAACTTGTTGCTTAGAAAAAACACAGCAGTAACACATGTCCATTAATGCTCTAAAGATTGCCATTAAAAAAACAAAGTCAATTCGCATATGAAGTATGTTTTCGAATTAATATTATTATAATTATTTATATTATTACCAATGTTGGCTTATTAAGATATATTTTGTTACTTATTTTATGTAATTCTTTTCATTACTCGCAAGAGAATTATGAACAATGGCCTCGCTCAAGGCTCTATACCTATCATTATTTAAGATATATATGTGACACGTCATATACATCATCTTGCAAGTTCATGACATAGCCCTTGCTGCTCAGAGCACAAACCTGGGGAAGACTGCGAAAACTTTTAAAAGCTGATCTAACTTTATTGGACGCATATTAGACTCTGATCAAATGCTTACAAATCCACCACTTGAACAATCGTGCAGCAAATGCCACCCTTCAGTTTAACACATTTGCAATGTTGTGGGTTTACAATGTTGTGGGTTTACTCTCCAACACACCGGTGTACTGTACTCATAACGAATTGGCATGGTTTTTTTACGTGACAAATCTTACTAATTGGCTGTGTCGGGTGGTGGCGGGTTTAACGACACATATTTACTCGATCTAACCCCAAAAAAAACACTTATAGATGCCACCCTTGATGTGTTCTTCTGTCGTAACCCAGTGTGCTATGACCCTACTCCAAGATATCTAAGGATTAGCACGGACATAAGCCTTACCTTCAGGATCCACATTAAACAGATCTGTGAAAAGACCAAATAAAAAATCATCCTTCTCCAGATGCTTGCAGGAATGACTTGAGACAACTCTAACTGATCGATTCAGTGGCAGAGTCGCTGTGCACCAGCCTGGTCCGGGAGCTCATGCTCAAAACTGCTTGAATAATGCAATGCACATTTAACCGGAACACTGAAACCGACACCAATCCTCGGGCCCCCTGTTCTGGCTAACATTCTGCCAACGAATATGCGCAGAGACATGCAAACTGCAAAGGAGTTTACACGTTTTCTTGGCAATGACCTATCCATCAACCAAAACCTCATCAATGTACTCAAGTCCCGAACCCCTGCTGAGATCGTGCTGTCAAACATCCTTGATTCTTACACAGATCCGGAATAATGGTGGCGAACAGAGTGGAGCAAAGTGAACATCCAGAATAAACATGTAATTCGTGATCTAAGCATGGCACCTCCTGGCTTTGACATTCGTCGAAGACACTGGTGTGACCATCAACCGCATCTCTTTTATGAAAGGACAATTAAAGTCAATTCACAGTGCGATTATGGCCATGCAGCTCAAACCGTAGACCACATTAAACCAATATAGTCTGATCTCCTTTAAAGGACGAATTGCAAAAAAACACAAACTCTCTCCTGCATCCCTTTCGTGGCTAGCAAACCTCTACAATGGCATTTAGCTCCTGAACATATTTCCATACGCAGAATAGAATTACTCATTATGAGTCTTTAATTTACTAAAGTTATATTGATAGCATTTAATTCCAGGATTCGGTTTAAAACTCATAGGTCATGGCACAACTGGAAAATGTCCTAGTAAAGTCATCTACGCAGAAATGTTTTTTTTCTGTTTGTATTTCAATCGTACATTTCAAATATTCACAATTATAATTGCTGGCAGAGGGTGCTTGTAAACATAACGGTTCCTCAGCTTCACGGTTATTACAAACATGCCATACAAGGGTCAATTTTGTGCCACTGAGTGTTTGTTGATGGTATTGATATGCCTCTCTTGTAAATATTAAAATAATTTGCAATGGTTAACATAATTTTTGATCTTGCAGTATCTGCCAGTGAAATGGGATTGCTCTATAATGTGTACCGACTTGCTCTATTTTATATATTTATGGGGTTTATAGATGTTTTATGCAGACGCAGATATTCACGGTTTGTACGTGGTGTCGTGATTCGCGGCTCTGTATTATGTTTTACGATTGCAATTTTTCGTCTAGCGAAATGACGCAGAAGCATTCTTGTGTCTAGACTACCCATCCGGAAATATCTTATTGATGGGAAATTTTGAAATCGGAAATACATCGATGCACATCTGATTGAGATTGATCTTCACAGATCCCTTCCCTTGAATTGTCGTGCTTTGTAAATGCGTGACATAGATTAGATTGTGGAGCATTGTTCTGTGCCAGATGCACCAATTTCTAATATTAATTGAGTGTTCGTAGATCTGGATGTCGCCAAACTGAGTAAAGTTGTTTTGTGTGTAATCGCCGTATTTATTAGAATAATTTCAGGTAACGGTGGTAGTTCTCAAACTATATAAAAGGTGCAAAGTTTTCAAATAAATTAGCAAATCTAAAGTACACGACTTGGCCAAGTATAACATATTTTACATGTTAGTGAAATGTACCTGAATGTCGGGTAGTTAGTGTACAAATATACTGAATGTTATTAAATAAATGTATTATATTGTCACTAATTGTAGTTACTAGTTTAAAAGACTGAGCAGGCTCGACAAATTTTAGGTGAATGCTGATGCAAAGTTTGAATCTATGTGGCTTAACCCTAGTGTTAATAATACCATTGCCTTCTACATTTGGGACCAAAATGTGTCTTGCAGTTATTAATATTGATGTACCGCATATTTCTGTCAATATATTTCCTGTCTGTAGTGTGTCCAAGAACCTCACAGTCGGGCTTGTTTCTGGCCTTACTTTTGAGCCTCATTGTATCACTATTCTTAGGTCAGCTTATTTCCATTTTATATTAACATAGCTAGAGTATTACACTCGCTTACCCCCAGCCTTATTACAGAACCTATTTCTCTATCTGGACTTGTCGTATTTGTGTTTTAAACAAACAGATCATTGGCTTTATTTAGTTAATACTATGGCTAATAAATACATTTAAAATGCAAGCATGAACACGTTAACTCCTCTGCTCTGTGATTTACACTGGTTGCCTATTTTACCCACCATTGTAAAATTAAAGTACTGGTTATCACATTCAAGTTACTGCACAATAGTAGATCATCGTATTTATCTACCTTGTTGCAACCATACATACCTGAATGCCCTGTTAGACCCAGAAATAAACAAAGTTCTTAAAATGACTGGTATTTCACACCAACGTCTGAATTGTGGCACATAATAGCGCTGAAGTTATGGAATGGTCTGTGATCACACCGCTGCTTCACTAAGTTTATATAAATTCAAGAAAATACTCAAGACTGCAATTTTAAAATTAGCTTTGAAGTAGACAGAAGTATATCGAATGTAAATGTTCTTATATTGTGTTTATGTACATGTTTCTTTGTTGAGTAATATCACGTTGCATTTATAGTCCTGTGGGCATTTAGTTCACGTGTTAAGCCTTTTGCATGCTCTTCGAGATGTGATGGCATGTGGAGGTCCTTCAACGTATTAAATTATGTTCCTATGCATGCCAACAGCCATTGGTGCACACCTAATCAAACTGAAGCTGGTCTCTCCATCATCCTTCTGCGATGAATTTGCCACGGTGCGGAATCAGTACAGCAAGGCTTTGTGTGACCTGCTGCGCTCTGGATCCAGCCACCTGCACACTGAGGTACTTTTAGTATCCTCTACGCTGGTGGTTCCCAACCTGTGGTCCGTGGACCACTGATGGGTCACAAGGTTGAGGGAAATGGTCTGTGGAACTCTCGCAGATACTCTGATTAAGAGTCGTTGTAATTGATAAATATGTTGTTGCTTTTGTGGTGGTCCACCACATTTTTATTTGAGGGTTGAGGGTGGCTTGCAGGTTCAGAGAGGTTGGGAACCACTTCTCTACACCTTTCGTCTGCACTTTTTGTCAGCATTCATGCTTATTAAGAAACAACATTATTGCAAGTCTTTTTTTGATAGCATGGCCTCAGTGGGAACAAGAATTTGCAATAAATGTACATGGTGATCCATTGGTAGATACCCCATGGAATCCTCATCATGCCCTTTTTTCTCATCATGCAATTGAATACTGGATTGTGAAAACGATGGCTTCGCATCTTATAGAGGGAAAGTGCACAGAGATTCAATGAGCTTATTGAGATTGGTGGGTGACGTGTAGAGGCTGTGAAATAAAATGTATTTTACAGTAATTATCTTGTTTTTTTTGTGAAATCTTTATAATTGGATCAACTTCTTTAAGTGATTGTCGTGCTTTTAACATAATGGTTTCACAGTTGAATATCAAATGGCACTGATAACGTGATAATATGTGACTCTTGTATATCATTACTCTCTGTATATTTTTTATATTGCCATCGACTGTGTTCATTGTGAGCAAAATTGGCGCAGACATTTGTTCTTCTGCCCATCTGCACGTGTCCCGATGTCTGTGTCGTGACGCTTAGTGAACAAATAAAATGTTCGCGTGTCTTTTCACAGCTGGCTCTCTTTCCTGAAGACTGTCCACGCCCATTGGCGCTACCCTCCAGGTATTATTAGGGCGAATTTAGTCATGAATTAGTTATGTTTTGTACAATTCTGTTGTTTGCAAACATTATATACCGATTATATATCAGTCATTGATGTGAGTGACTAATCGGTATGTTTATTTGGATAATTCCTCTTAAACAGCTCCAGGTCTCATTGTTTGAGGAGTCATTTGAGTGCTCATGATATATAGTCCATGTAAATGAGGTCAACATTTTGTAATACAAAAACATTTGTATGAATAATTTGTCTTATTGGCACCCGCACTGTGTGTCTGTTCTGCTTTGTACAATAGCTCAGCAGATTTGTGCTGATATAGACACATATGACTTTTTAATTCCTATTCATATTGTTCAGTTCATTAAATATAATTACATTTATGCACAAAATTCCAAGCCCATGCTTGTTCAGACAACATCGGGAATGGCTTATTATTGTTGATTGAATAATTGATAAAAATGTAATTTGCATTGCACTAAGAATGTCCTTTCCAAAACAGCTCTGGTACTCCAAGCGTGTGGAATAATTAAATTAAATTATGAAATCGATTTGGTGGTGTAATGGCATCTTTCCCCTTTCTAAGGATCATAAACATGAGATGATAGCAGGGACATACCCAGCCTGCGTGCTACACACTCCACACATGCTTAACTTGTGACCTACAACCGTTGCAGGCAGAAAGAGCAAGCTTTCCACATGCACACATCGCGTTACTTGAGCGAGTTTGAAGAGGTTTGCCGGCTTGGTCGCGGGGGCTATGGTCAGGTCTTCAAGGTATGCATTGGTCCCACACCATCCACAATTAATGTTTCCTAATCATTTGTTAATATAATTAATAATTTACGACTCTCCGTAACGATGGCTTCCCCATGCCGTATCAATCTCACGAGACGTTTAACCAAGTTCACCACCTGATTTGCGTGAGTTGGCGAAGGGGGGCAACGGGGAGGGGGGGGGTGTGGGTGGGGGGCATGACCGATCCAGATACCATTCACCACTAATGTTAGTTCTGGCTGGGAATCCAATGACAGTCGCTGTGTACCGAGCAGATTGTGCAGATACCACTGCCCCCCCTACTCCCCACTTCGTTGTGCTACCAGGCACACATTAATGGTCGTAAAACTCCCTATTTGACTCACATCAGGGCCAGCGTTGTATGACTACTTGTATGCCTGTGTAGCATGATCTAGACAGTTGTACTTTCTTCAAGTCCTGCCAGAAGGTGGTGTTTTGGTCACAAATGTTTTGACTTAAAGCTTTCGTGACTGCAGGAATTCATATTATTTGGGTCTTTCGGTAAAGCCGCGTAGATAGAAAAATAATAAAAAATATCACGACACTTCGATCGCAACACAAGCTATCGTCATTATGTGAAAAAAAATATAGCTCTAACTGCTCTATTTTTATTTTTTTTCTTGCTACGTGGCTTTACCGAAAGACCCGAAGAATATCACAAATGTTTGGCAATGTTTTTTTCGAAACCCAAGGATTTAACTGCAAGCTCAAATTGGCGTTTGCATTAATTTCTGAACATACCTTTGTCTGTTGTGGCCTAGGTGCGCAACAAGTTGGATAGACAGCTGTACGCTGTCAAAAAGGTGCTCATCAAGGGATCCGGCGAAAGTATTTGCAAAAAGGTTATTCCTCATCAACATTATTCAAAACAAATCTCACGTCCTAACTTTATGTTAATGTTGCATGAAGAAACATTTTTGGTGAATATAAAGGCTTATTCTTGAGTTGCATTTTGTGAATACCGGTTTCAAAACCATTTTACCTTCTTCCCTTGCAGTTAAAGCTGTAGTTGCTTGTGAAAACTAATGCAAGGCCCAATATTATTTTGTATCCATTTTCTTCTGGCACAGCCGAGCCATCATGGATGGGGCCGTTACGGTGCAGGTTGTTTTCCACTGGCGCTTAGCCATATCGTGCCAGCGCTAAACCATAATATCCTGTCCTCACAAGACATCTGAATCTGACTCGGGGGGGCCAAACAGGGCCAGGGGTGGGGCTAATAACGAGTCTTATCGCATGTAACATCAGTCATAAAAGTGTGAGGACATAGGATCAGCACGTCATTCGCAAGTGACTTGACCCGTTTCTTTGCATGTGACATCATTGTCGCTGCTCGGCATCTGCAATAAAAGCAATAAAACGTGTGCCTCCAGAGCTGCGCCGGGCTGGTTCGGCACGGCTCCAGAACGACTCGGGTGTAGAATGCAAAATAGGTAATTTTACAACGGTTTTCAAACTTGACGCTGTGTGTTAGGTGCTGCGGGAGGTAAAGTTGCTGGCCGGGCTGCAGCACCTGAGCATTGTGGGCTACCACGGCGCATGGTTGGAGTTGCTCCAACCTCCTACTCTAGCAGGTGCTTGACATGATATAATGACTGGAGAAACAGTTAAAAGCCGACCATCCTGAAGACCTCTCCAGTGTTGTCGCTTGTTCGAAGTGGAGAGACCAAGTACTAGGAAAGCACTTGCGAATGGCAACATCACCCCTCGCACTTTCCTGTTTTTTCGCCAGCCAGGCCAGGCCCCCCCCGGCATACTGGAGCTGGCTTCTCATTATTGCTGGGGACGTCGATTTGAATCCAGGCCAGTTTTTTTCCCTTGTGGCGGCTGCGGCGAGAATGTCAATGCAAATTCGATCCAATTGTGCAACGGTTGTGAAGCTTGGTGCCACAAACGCTGCACTACTTTAGCCCGCATCCCCAGTTCAAATTCTGGCTGGTTCCGCAAATATTGTACATCATCCACTCCAACAACTCCAGCTTGCACAACCACACTAGCACCACTACCCCATCCATCGCAACCACCGTTTCAACCACAACAAAACATCCACAACAGAAACGACCTAAAAATCCTTCAACTAAACATCAACGGCATCAACAACAAATCTCTTGAACTCAGCACCTTCCTACAACAAAAGTCCATTCATATAGCCGCTATCCAAGAAACAAAATTTTAATCCACTTCTCGCCCGCCCAACTTTCAAAATTTCACTTTCCTCCGTCGAGACGGACCGACAGCTGGTGGCGGTCTAGCTTTCCTCATCCATAACAGCATTCAATTTGAAGAAATAAAAATACCAATGCCTCCTTCTGATATCACCACAGAAGTCTTAAGCGTCCGTATCAAATCCCATCTAGGCTCACTCACTATAATCAACGTCTACAATATCTGGCTTCATGCCACTCGACAACGCATCCTTGCACAAAGCTACTCAAAGCCCCTGCACCTGCTCGGAAAATAAAATCCACCATGCTTTCCTTCAGCTCTGCTAAAGTGCAATCGACTTTAAACGCTCTTCCACCAAACAGCACCACCAAATAAATGTTTAAGCACTTGCACACCGCTGCCACCATGCACTGCCTGAACGCCTACAATCCCCCAATGTCATGCTAGGGGGTTGGCCCCCACCCACAGCAGACGACGAAAATTCCTGACCCGGGCAACTCGAACAAAAATGGCTCAACCCCGTTCAGGTTACTGCTCCATGCTAGCCGATCACCAAAATCGAATCGACCCAAACGCCCCAAACTGCTGCTGCCCTTTGTGCCAAGCAACGCCAGAAGACGTCTCCCATTTTCTCAGTTTCCCAAAACGCGGACCAAAAATTTAATCGATTGATCTCTGGCTAAACCCTTCTAAAGTGGCGACACAACGCCACCTATAAACAGAAAGTGCGAGGAAAACAACAACAACATAACGTTACGTTCAACACCAATTATAATTGTGTAATGTGAACTTTTCATTGAAGATAAAAAAAATCATTGTCATATGTTGACATTGAGGCTAATCACATTGACTTTTGTTGGGAATTTTTAACACTGAGAGGGGTTTCCTTTTGTATGGTTTGAAGGCTGTCTCACTGCATCGTCGTCCGCTCATGTTCTGGCTGTCAGTGGTCCATTGGACCCGGCCAGTGAGAGGTAAGCACGGCGTTAAACCTGAACACAAACATGCAATAGCTCTCCAATGTGTTTTCGGGTTGCACGGCATGCCCTTCGCCATGATGTGGATATTTCGCTCCCAAATGCTGCGAGTTTTTTTCCAGCTCCTAGCATGTGGTGTAAAACGTCGGACATTTTGAGCGACATACTGTACTAACCAAAAACACAAAAGTGAGCTATACAGCATGCTTGCAAAACTATACAAGAGTCGTAACACAATTAATGTCTGATTTAAAAAAAAAAACTAACAAAATGTTCATCTTACTTTTCCTCGAAATTTGTTTTTTGTTTGTCCGTGAAATTAATATTTAATTGCGTCGTGTAGTAGTAGTTGCAAAACGTGTACTGTTTTACATCACGTTAATCTGTGTTAAATGGCATTCATTTTGTGTATTCTTGTTGCAGTGAAGCAAAGATAATGAATGCCAGCTCCGATAGCATTATCTTCCAGAGTGCCTCTCAATCCTCAGAGAAACAGACCACGGATACACCACCAGCAATTGCACCTGGTCCAACTCTGCAACATCCACCTGAGCGTGTGAAGCAAGTAGAGAATAAAGAGACCTTGAACCATAAGGACCTAAATCAAAACTGTGTTGAGCTGCTGGCGTCTCGCAGCCTGCCAAGTGCAGAGGCAGGTTGCCAGAGAAATGTTGGCTGGTGTCCACCTGGTAGATTTTCTTCATGTCACGTGCCTTCTCTGGTCCAGGCCCATGGTGGCTTAAACAGTGAGAGCCGCGACAACAGCGGCCACAATAAGAATAGTATAAACGAGGATTCTGGGAGAAAAAGCGAGCATTCTGGGAGCAATGGCAAACCCACAAACCTCAGAAAGGAATTGTATGAGAGCAACAGCAAGCATGTTGGGAGTAATTATGAACATTCTGAGAGTAATAGTGAACATTCTGAAAACAGCAACACCAGTTGGACTCCAGGGTCTGACAGCAACGATGGGAGTTCGTGGCGAGAGATGGCTTTTATGAAGGTAAACATGCACTCATGCGCATTTATTGGCGTTCGACTAATAAGACTAATAAAGCAATTGAGACTATTTCATGTAAATATGGATAATATAGGATCTGGTTTACTAGTGTACTACTTAATACAATGGTTGTTAGGCTCGTTTCAGCTACTTCCTGTGAATGAAATATATCTTTAATTCTCCTATGCTACGAATGAAGCAGGCGTTTGCAAGCTCAGTGCGACGGTTTCGCTCTGTGGCCGTGATGGAGGTTTTAAAGCCCAATCTCGTTTGCAGCGGGACCTTCACCTCGTCCTCTACATCCAGATGCAGCTGTGTGAAAGGTCACTCAAAGAGTGGCTCATGGATCGGAATGCCCTTTGTGAGCATTTCCAGAACACAGCAGAGGGCGCCACTGCCCTTTCTGGCAAGTTTCTGCGTTACCCCGTGGCACTATTACAGCTATGAAGGATTACTAAACTGCCCTGTGGTCCTGTTAACGTGTTATGAATTTGCAGGGCATTTTATTATTTGTAATAAAAAGTTCGTGTTATATAATTCCTCATGTCCGAGAATAAAACATGATTATTACAGCTGCCGTTTAGCTTTAAACAAGAGTATAAATTGAATTGTATAAAATAAGACGTAATTTACTCGTTTTGCTTTGCTTTCAATTCTCTCGGTTGGAAAAATAATTGTCTTGGATGTCGTTTAAGAGCCAGACCACCCAAACCAGTGTGGATTTAACCCTCCTTCTGAAAGCATGTCTCTGTGTAAAGTCACGTAGGTAAAATAAAATAAATGAAAACAACTAAATTAATTCACGACGTTTCGGAGGCAACACAAGCTTTCGTCTTCAGGTGGAAACCGTCACAGCAAAATTGCTGTATCAAGTGATACAGCAATTTTATTTTATTCTACCTACGTGACTTTACCGAAAAAAACAAAGAGTATATTTTAAATGTATACCTCCAGCTATGCAGACACATTTAATCTCTTGGGATTAATCCCGGGGGACCCCTTTCATGAATAGTAGAAATATTAACCTTTTTGTAAATGGTTTGAGGTTCAACATTTTTAGCACATTTAGCCTATTTGTATCCACACAGCCATATATATGAACATCGTTACTGTAACTTACAAAAGCTTCTCAAACACTTGCGGTTAGAGGTCAAGTGATGCATCAATTAACATAAATTCCTATAGCTCATTATAACATGCATCACATTTCTTGTGCAAGGTCCAAAGTCTTTGATTTGGAATGTCATGTATAATGGGATTACATAAGTCACCCCCAGCTACTAGTGGCCACAACGTTTAATGCAGTTTTTTAAATTCAAATAATGATTCTTGAATCGAACACTGACGCTGAATTGTGACAATGAATTGAATTTAAATTGAGGCAAAATGTGCTTCCCCTAACAATCATTATCACAAGGCATGTTCTGTCCGCTGCTTATTGAAGGCCTTCCTAAGTTGTCACCATCTTTCATGGTCCCTCAATACAACAACCCATACAGTTCCTTATACATTAGCTGACACTGAGTATATTTTTCACCAAATATAATATAATTTGAAAATAACAGGCAAATTTGTTTTAAATATTTTTTATAATTGAATGCAAAATAAACTAGCATTTTCTTTTACAAGTTAGAGGCAGCACACAATTCTTTAAAATATATTAATTCACACTTCTTGCTCCCTTTCAATCTGCACTGAGCAACATGATGATGTGTGACCAAACAACCCAATGTGGGAAGACCTTCATCCAGCAGTGCATTGACAAAGGGCATAACAAAAATGTTTAACATACAGTATACTATACATATATTACATATTACCAATATGGCATCGCAGGACCATGAGGGATGGTAGCAGATCTGGGACAGCTTAATTAGTGGATTGAACATGGATGATGATGGTGATTACTACTATATAGTGACACATGCATATATAATTGATGTAACAATTGATGAGATTTTTTAAAAAGTGTTAAAGGAAAGTTTGATTTCTGCAGCCTTCTATATCCTTGTTGTTACAAGTCAGTCATCCTAATCATGAACACGTGTACCATTCACTCTTTATTTTGGCAATGTACAGGGCGATACGCACTGGTGGATGGGAAGCAGACCACTCGAATGTTTCAGCAACTTCTGGAGGGAGTTCATTACATCCACTCGAGGGGTATCATGCACCGTGACCTCAAGGTTTGACAAACACTATGCATTATCCTCTTTACAAAATCTGCCTGTCTTCTACAGCTGCATGAGCACATCATCCATTGTTACAAACACATTGTGTTTTCATCATGGCATGACGTGCATCAATAACATTTATCGCATTGTTCACAGTTTCCAGATTGCATCGTCTCTCTTATTGCGTGAACTGAAATAGTAATTACGAATGTGCCTGCATTGTACTTGTATGCACAACACATTGTAAAACTTGAGCTGGGGTATTTCATCGATACAATCTTGAAGGGCTGACTTACAACAATATTAGACCAATTGTGAATGTACTAACGTGTGGCCTCAAAGTGCACCTAGTCTGGCACAAGTGCCGTGGTGACGTCACCACCGCTTAGTGCCGAATGTTGGTTGTTATTGCTGCTGTTGGGAGTGTGCGGTGAGGACTTTTGTTCGATCGCCCGTGGCACTTTTATTACAATGTGTACCACTGCCCAGCAGGGTTTTTATTTCATCCAGCTCCTCTGTATTTGTGATAGTTGCCCCCCATTGTGAACCTATTAAGTTGAACCATTCTGCAGCATGTGTGTGTCTGTAAAATTAACCACTGTTGGGGACTCTCATGTAAACAAAAAGCTTTCTCCTTCATAGCCAAGGAATATTTTTCTCCATGGACCGGACCACCACGTGCGCATTGGAGACTTTGGGCTGGCTTGCCAGGACATTGTATATGAAGACCCCAGGCTCATACGTGCCGGTAAACCTCTTGCAATAAAAACCTGAAGTCACCGGCTTAGTAGTATTATGCTGCTTTGCTCCTTCACGTAAATGTACATTCCGGAGAATAAGTTGAAATGTCTCTCCTAGTGTTTTAAAAGTTTAGTAAGCATTTACAGAAATTGCTTATGCAGATTTAAATTGTTCCAGTTATTTGTATTTCAAGTCCATTAGGTGTCCTCTAGTCTAACACCGTTTGAGACGAGGCTCAAAAGAAAGCTGTCTCTGGTGTGGACCAATCCGTTTCAAGGACAATGCATATATTATCAGAGTGTTTTTTTTCATTCTGACCACAAAGCATTGTGGTTAATGCAGACATGATTCCTCGTAAAAGGTTTCAGTTTGGTGTTTTAACATCTTAACACCTGTTTTGTTGCCAGAAAAAGGGTAAAGATCTATTATCATATATTTAATTCTTATGGCGTCGTACCAAAACACACACACACATAGCTGCAGGCTCAGATACAATCCAATACATTTAACGATGTTATAAATGTTCTGAATGTGGTAGACAAACAATATGCCAACATTATTTTGGAAACGGGGTAGAGGGGTTGGCATGGTGGTTTGTCCACTCCATTATGAACCCAGCCACACCTGTGTTTTGATTCCTAGCCACTGCTCATATTCGTGGCAAGTGATAGCTGAATCAGTCCCGGGCCTCCCCTTTACTAAACCGCACTCACCAGCATGGTGATATATGGTCAAACATCTTTCACAGTCAACACGACAGTGGATAGAAAAGTGTTATATGTATTTGTAAACAGAATTTGTTTATCATTGCTTCTAAGCATTTTTTTTTCATTTAGAATTATTTTGGAGCACCCTATAAAATTAGTTGAGAACATTCACATTTTGGACGTGGGGATGTGATGTAAAATTTTAATATATATTTATTTTTGTACTCGCGCCTTCAAGTTGTGATAGTATGACGAGTTGCGCTGCCAACATGCCAAACTCACATGGATATTTCTTGCTTGTGGAGATTGGAATTTGTCGTATCGTTTCACCCAAGTAGGCTTCCTGGAGAACGCAGTTGGCACGCGTCAACAACTGATGTGCACACTTGCCGTACTGTGGCCACAGCCAGTGTGTTCCAAGCCAGTGTGTGTGGGTGCCGTACTGTGGCCACAGCCCCAGTGGGTTACAAGCCAGTGTGCACACATGCCGTACTGTGGCCACAGCCATTGTGTTATATGCCAGTGTGTGTGGGTGCCGTACTGTGGCCACAGCCAGTGTGTTACAAGCCAGTGTGCACACATGTGCCGTACTGTGGCCACAGCCATTGTGTTATATGCCAATGTGCGTGCATGCCCTCCCTTAACCGACCGAGCATTTATTGTTATCTTAGCCATGCGAAACAGTTAACTTAATTATTTCACTGTGCAGAGGTCATGATTTTGCACAAAAAGTAATTTCTTTATTATGCTACATTTCTAAGCGGGTTGATAGCGTTGCAGAGACAAACGTGCATTAAAAATGCATGCAAAGGTATGACGTGCATGCCTCTTGTTAATAATGCATTGAGTAATGCATACTTTCGTGTGACAGTTGTAAGCGATGTCCATGAAACATGGATGCAAAATTATAGAGTCATCCTCTCTATAGTGTTGTATGAGTGTAGTGAAAGCTTAATCTTTGTTAAAATAAGATATTCATTCTGTTCTGTTATATTCAAAAGAGTGGACATATGCAACGTTTTATGTTCATTTAATTTATGCTGTTCTAATAAAGTAACATTCTAATTATTCCCGTGCTTTAATGTAATGTAAGATATCAAGTAGGACGAATGACGCAGAAACAGATATCAACTTGTTTGCATACCTCTTTTGCAATTGGCAGCCGTTATCATCATCATCATGAGCAATCTGTCCAGTTTCTTGTTTATGTTGTTTGAAAACTTGTCTTGAGCACAATGATACCTGTGCGCCTCAAACAAGGCTTGATGACAATGGGATAGGGTTAGCATTCGAAGCAACAAAAATGGCTCGTTATATGTAAATATATTGGGCAGGAGACATGCCCACTTCCTTAAGCATTGACTTTGCTTTAGGGTAAGATAGGATGAGTACACGAAGAGTGTGGAATAGCTTGTCGTGGCTTCTGTTTCAATGTTAACCTGTTTCCAAAGTTTATAGACCTCAGAAATTGGCACAGAATACATTTTTCTTTGCCTCAAGATATAATCATGCTGTGGCATTGGCAAGCCGCTCTGTCCTCTAAGGTAGCATCTGAAGAATGAAGCTATAACACACTCGTATTTTGTCTTTCTGGTAATTTGAGCATGATAGCGATTGATTTAATGAGCCATAATAGGAGCCAGTTGTTCAGTCTTTAATCTCCACTCAAATTACCAGCAAGACACCAACTGCTGAGCATCATTCGTGTGCAACACCACCAATGGTCTGAACACACAAAAAAAAAAAGATCCCATCTGTAAAACGGACCGTAACATAAGAGCTTAATAGCGAGCGAGATACATTTCGATGTCGCGCCATTATTACCCGCCTGCCATACAATGCACTTCTGTGCCTTGACAGGTGCTGGAGTTGTCGGTAGCGCTCACACGTCAGGGGTGGGCACTACCCTGTACGCGGCTCCCGAGCAGCTCTCGGGCTCCCACTACGACTTTAAGGTGGGCCAAAGCATGATTCCGCATTCTCTCATCAGCAGGGATGACATTGGCAACAGCCGACCCAGTATTTGTTTAAGTGTGGTCGCATAATTATCATCGTCATCAGCATCTAGGTGCGTTGAACTTCTGTCGCACCGTACGTAGCCAACCGTGCTAATCGGAGGTGCGGGGGGAGGGGAAGGACAACATTAGCCGTAGTCAATCCACTGCTTAGACGTAACAGTCCACCGAGCACCTGCACACAAGCTTAGTCAGGTGGACGTACTTCGCATGTTTTACATTCCTTAGATGCCCCCTCCCATCACTGTTGTTGATCATCAGCCATCATATTGCTATAAACCGACTTATTTAACCTCCCTATGGTTTCGAATCGACGCGTTCCTCTTCCCTCAATGTAATTCCAAGCACTCATATCTGCATGTTTATTTGCATACTTTTTGGCCGTGCTAACCTATTGTGATGTAACTTTAATTGCTCAGATTTTGATTGTTAGCTCTTGGAATTGGTGTTTGCATCTGGTGTGGCCCATACACAGCGTTATATTGGAGAAGAGAAGCTGCTGGCCATAGGATTGAGCATCCCAACCACTGTGTGTGCCGTGTTTCTCAATATAGTTGCTCAGTTTGGTCATTTGCTGAAAAAACATCTGCAAAGAATACCTTTGTGTTTGCATTTGACCATTGTGGCACACACGACAAAGTTGAATGGGAAAACAATGTTTGCACATCTCTGTATTTTGTATATCGCCTAAGCCATACAACATTTTCGGGGGCACACCCATAGTTGCAAAACAGGGTTTTTGCATGGGACAATGAATGGTTAAGATAAGTGCATTTTAACATAACATAATTTAAATGTTATTCCGTGTTCTACCTGTATTGGCACTTGACCTTCTCTTGTGACAGTTGGCATGGTTATGTGTTCTGGGTATAACCTGCAGCCATTGTAGTAAAGTTATGCTTAAAAATAATAAATTCTGTTCTTCTGCACGATGCGTATACGTTTATGGTGGTGTCATTTTAAACGGCCTGTAACCATATCACCCAGAATGGGCCAAATCTCGTCATATCCTGAGAGCCAACTAAATAAATATTCATATATATGTTTAACTTTTTCTGCACCGTACGTGGCCAACCGTGCTAATCGGAGGTGTTAGGGAATGCCAACAAACTAAATACAAAAAGCAGTTCTAAAGTAATTAGTTTTAAATCTGTATTTAAAAGTGCATCGCTCCAGTGGCTTCCTAATATTGGAAGGAAGAGCGTTGCAGACAGCCGCAGAAGCGCATCTGAAAGGGCGCGATACAGACAATATGCCTCTTCATATCCATTTATTCACGTATGGTGCGAAAGAAGTTCCCATTCACCACACAGCCTTCTGGAAGTGATGCTTTTCAGGCAGCATTGGTTTAATATTTTAAAAAAACCTTCACCGGTTTTGACATGCAGTATCTCATCAGCAGTTAGGCTTGCTTAAACCAATGCTGGTGAACTGTCAGATGTTCTAAATAAGAACGCTCTCTCATTTTTAGGGTCAGGTTTCAATGCAAAACTATAAAATACATTACACAGCTTCCCAAAGCTCAGCAGATTTGAACCTGGATAGTGGTTGGATGAGTCACCACCATGCACAAAGAGATTGTCATAGGGCTGCTGGTGGTCAGTGGACTACAGTGCAGAAAAATCTATTGTTGGACTGTACTTCTGTGCCTCCACACCTATTCCTCCCGCCTTCACCTACCTGCAGTTAACCGTGTGGTGAAGTAAGGTGAAATAACCTCCATAAAACGTTAATGGCATGTGGAGGCCCTCATACAGCAGTGGATTGACAAAAAGGGCTTTACATGTGTATTATTAAGAACATTAATGTAACTGAAGAGTTATATGGGTGAAACACTATTTCAGGAGTGATCCTTTATGTAAATAAAAAAAAGTCTTCATCAGCAGTATACAGCCAATTTTCCTGGCACGTAAACATTCCACTGTTTAGCTCTGACATGTTTCCCAGGTTGTGCCGCCCATTGTGTCCGGCATGATGTCTTAACGTTTCGCTCCACGCTCTGGGAGCCAAATTCAGTTCCTTCAAAAGCTCCCGGCATGTGGAGTGAGATCTTTCCGTAGCAGTAACACTCCACTGTGTTCTGTGTGTGTGTGTGACAGTCGGACATGTACAGTGTAGGGATCGTGCTGTTTGAGCTGTTCCAACCGTTTGGAACAGAGATGGAGCGTGTGAAGACCATCCAGGAACTTAGGGGTGGAGTTGTCTCCAGCCCTTTCACAGCACAGTGGCCCGTACAGGCCAAGTACATTGGCCTCCTGACTCAGGATGACCCTGCCGCGCGTCCCAACCCGCAAGACATCCTCACCACAGACCTCATTGGTAACAAGGACCAGGCAAGCACCCCTTCCGCTCTTTGTTGTGAAGTGCAGTGTTGCGCAATAGTCGTAAATCGCAAGCAGCGTCTGTGTACGTTCATTAATGGGAATGTTCAGTCAGGAGTATCGCATTTCAAGTAATCTTATCTCTTACGACAGTGGCCATTTTTCTTTTTTGTAGGTAGGCCTTACGTTACATATTATTTGTTTGTTAAGGAGGTCTTTTAAAGATCGTACAAAAGTGTTTGTGTTTTTGTCAATGCTTCTAAATTTATGCCAATGCAGTCCCAAACATTGCATGTGAATGTTTACGTAGACCATTGATAAACACGTCTCTTCAATGTTGGCGTCATCGTGGAGAATATGAATAACAGAACGGACGAGCATATGTGTCCCCTTCATACATCTGTCTCCACATTCGACAGTATTTAAAACATATATAACATATTTTTAGTTAATAATTACACATTTAAATCCACATCAAAAGTACAGGGTGTTAGACACAGTAGGTGGTATAGAGTATGAAAAACCAGCAAGACAGAGGCTTTAATGAGTTTAAGCTGTCCAGGTTCTAGACGTGTGGGCTCCATGCAAGCGATACCCATTATTGAAGGAAAACGCAGTTAATGCCGTTGTTTGGTGCAAAGAATAAAAAAAAAACCTGGTTGGGCATCAATGTTGGTAATTTTTGGGGCAGCAGGGTGGCACAGTGCCTCACAGTGAGACGTTTGTGGGTTTGGTTCCCGACTCGGGCACCTTTCTGTATGGAATTGTGTATGCTCTTCCCCAGGTCTGCGTGGGTTTCTCTGGTTTCCTCCCATAGCCCCCCCCCCCCCCCCCCCCCCCCCCCCCCCCCCCCCCCCCCCCCCCCAAAATAAAAAAAAAACTTAACTGGCATTGGCATAAACATCCCAGTTTTGAGAAATTACCTGCAAATTACTCAATTGGGATGACACGCAGTCACATTTCCCTCTACTGCAAAACATTGACAAGGACCCTCCTGAAAATGCCTTCAGATTCAGTGAAAATAAGCATCATACTAATTTCTGATACAAGGATGCAATAGTTTTTATTGTAAACGGTGTGATGAGATTTCCCAACGAGTACAAAAGGATGCGAATCCAGCTGAAGCTGAATATCTGCTTGTTGCTTCTTGCAAGGTCAGACGTGCTATGATCAAAGTGTGTTTAGTTTGCCCATCGCCTCGCCCCCACAAGTGTAAAGTAAACATGTGTTGCTTATTTGAGAACTGTCCTCATATAAGGTTTGGTTATATCCAGCCTCTGCTATATATCAACATTATTCATTAATTAAAATACAGAAAATACAGATTGATTTCAGAGGCATGGGAAACCAGCCAGAACTGGCACCAATAATTGTCCAAGCTCTGTGTCCCTATATTGGGGCGTTTAGCCAACCCCATTAACAAAGACTGTACATGTGGAAAGAAACCAGAGTACCCAGAGAAAACCCTATGCATACAAGTGGAATATAAATGCAAGTGTATCAACTTGCTGTACTACCATATCCTGCCAACCCCCAGGGGATTGTGACCTCAAAGCTCAGTAGGATTGCTACTTTCAGGATTTGTGTGATCCACCACAGTGCAGGGATTCGAGGCGTGGGCCACCAGCGCCTAGCTAAGACTAAGAAAACAAAAATGACCTTTGTTAATGTTTTGTATCCATTCAGGTTATCGTCAGCCTGCAGAGGCAACTGTCGCAGAAGGACGAGGAGTTGGCCCGCCTGAAAGCCCTGCTTCAGAATAGAGAAGAAACCATCCGATGGCAAGAGAGGTCCATTGTCATGCTCAAGCATGGTTTAATATTTGCAAAGAACCTCAAATCTAACAACAAACACACAACTACAGCAGATAGAAACCCACCAACAACGAGTTCAGAAGCAATGTTCAATTTGGGATTTGTATAAATAGCTTTTATTGCCGCAGCACGTGCACAAGTATAAGTGTTTATGAACCGGTACACATTATATTCGAGCTACAGACCATTTCATTTTAAAGGGATATTAAACACTTGGCAGTTGAAACGATGAGCAGTCTCTTAAATGCCCCCATATCTATCCACCCAACAGTATAAGTGTCGATCAGCAGCTGGCTTGTGGGTAAAAGTATGAGTAGTCACCGAAGATGTCGGGCCAGCATGGACGAGGAGGCCAAATAACCTAGAGGGGCTGTATAGTGCCTCCCCTAGTTGCTGCGTTAATGCCAGCAGTGGCATGAGCTATAAATTCCGGGGTCGCACCTTTATCTTTCATTAAGAACATTAACCTTCGTAGCATTGCTGCTACTCTGCTACAATCTCACGCTCTTTTTTTTTAACCTCACAATTTGCAATCTTGGACATGTGAACATGATAAAGCACCATAAACCCCCAACCTTATCACAATGTGAATGTATTCAACTATTAAAATGAATGTGTATACTCCTGATACGTGCATAGACTCATTCATGTGACAATCGATTCTGATTTATGCAAGTTTGATACAAATGTTTTGCTTTTGTTACATTTATAAACTCCTATTGTTACAGATATAAATTATAAACACAAGCACGCATGATTCGATGCTTGTATTGTGAGCATCAGGATGTATTATAATTGCCGAATCCATCATTATATGCCCATTGTTGTGCATATCGGGTTTTAAACTGGAAAAAAACAACATTGCGATATTCTCGATAATTGTTTTGCGTCATTTAATGCACATAGTAATATATATTTTATGAAAGTTATTTAAAAAAAATATTGTTATTGACGGATGTTTGGTTTGTACGATGTATGTTTATTTTGTGACACGTGATGAGGCTATGCAGTGAGGGGGTGTTAAAGCATTTTTGGGGGGGGGCGGGGGGGGGGGGGGCAGTGCTGTTTGTTATTCATCACTCTTACCTCGTGTGGCCAACTGAGCTGGTCGGAATTGTAAACGATAACAGAACAAGGAACGGAGAATACAGGATCCTCACAGCTGATCATTTATGGCTTTACTGTATTCAGAAAATGTCCAAATGTACAAAATGTGAAACATCTGCGTACACGCAAACATTCTAGGTGTTTGCTTTTGATATCAATATGTTTATTTAAAAGTAATTATTCGCAGCTTTTTGTTCCTTTGCTGGATGAAGGCCTCACCACATCTTTAAGTTACGTCGGTGCTTTCACCATACTTCACGCAAGTATCGGTTGAAATGGGGGCCTAAGGCTCATTCAGGTATCCCATGATTCGATCAGATCACCAGGTTCGTACTTATGTGCACCAACCTCTGCGCTAGCACTGTGTTTACTGTAAAATAAACACGCATTTTTTTTGTGCAGTTGCTGAGTACGATTTTTTTTTATTAAAAAAAGGTTGCTTTTGATATTTCACACCAGCATTTCCAAGAGAATGGGAGCGTCCGTAATTGGTCAAACCTGCTGCCTGCGAGCACCTGGGGCCGTGTATTAACGAGCAAATGTTTGCATGCATAGTGGAGTTGTTTCTGACCAAACAAGGACATGCTGACTAAATATTGACAGCACAGAAATGTGAGAGGCATTCAAATCCTGATGGATTTGTCGCTCATCTTTTGTTATTGTCTTCATGCGTCAGACAAAATAGACAAAAGAAGCACGCTGTTCTTCGGGTGGGGAGATGGGAATTTATGGGGGGGGGGGGGGGGTGTCGATCAGCGAAAGTCACTACCTCTAGTATTCCTTGTGTCCCACGTGACATGAAAAGCTTCTTAATTGTAATCAGGGCTATGTATGGCACGTGGAAAGTGTCAATCAGTCAGACGCGTGCGGCGTGAGATGAGAATTTGTTTTTGAATGAGGGAGATTTGTAAACATGGGAGAGGCAGTATTACATGGTGGGTTGCGAGGACTGGAGTATGTACAAGAATAACCTGGTCTAGGCCGCACTGGTTAGTGCTGGGAAGCAAATGCCCCGATGCCCAATACAATATTTAAATGTCTTGTCTATAGAACGTGCAACCGATCGTATTATTGAAACCCGTTCACGTTAGAACGTAACTACATTGGAATATATACAAACAAATCTGGGAGAGGGATGGTTTGAGTCAGACTTGTCACCACACTCCCTTGGCAGATGGAGTAGGGAATGAACACGCTCGTGCTGTTACAGCATAGCTCCGATGTGTTTTCGGGTCATTAACTTTTAATTCGGCATCATGCACGACGTTTCACTCCCAAGTCCTGCGAGCTTCAGAAACAACTGGAATATTCTTCAAGAACTGAAATTAAATATTCAGTTTCTGCAGACGCGTACGTGGCTCGGGGAGTAAATCGTCAAATGATCCAAACCAGAAAACACACCGGAGTAAATTCACAGTTTTACACGTGTGTGTGTGTAAAGCCTGTCCTTGCGACTGAAGGAACAATGAATACATTTTGATTTAAAGCTTTCGTGACTGCAGTGATTCATATTCTTGATTCTTTCGGTAAAGTCACGTTGAACGGAAACAATAAAATAATAAAATATATATAAACCAATAAAATTCTCACGACGTTTCGACTGCAACACAAGCAGTCATCATCAGGTGTGAAAACCAACGGCAGGAACATTTGAAAGAAGTGGCGGTTTGTATTTATTTATTTTTAAACGTTAGCACCACGGATAGCGATTTGACAGTTTGTTTAGATGGACGAGTCCATCTATGTTCGGAAAAGAGGAGGGGGGAGACGAAAAATTAATGTGTGCTGTCTGAAAGCCACCTTAAGCGTGAACAATCAATTAAGACCCGAAATGGTTTATCAAATCCTTCCAATGATTGCTAAGCCAGAATCCATCTTCTCGGTTGAAATTGTCTCTGTGTTTGTATATTTGGATAGCCTCATGAACGAATCTCTCATGGTAGCCAGATGGCTTGCAAAGAACCTCTGTCTTGTAGAAGTCAATGTCATGTGAGTCTACTGAATTATAAGAGTGATCTGCCACGGCCGAGGTGTTGGTCCTACCGTGTTTAAGGTCTGCTTTGTGTTCACGAATGCGGTCCGAGACATGGCGTTTGGTTTCTACAATGTAACTACTACCACAGAGGCAACTTAGTTTGTAGACACCAGGGTACTGTATGTCCGGAATCACATCTTTTACAGACGGAACCAGATCACGGATTTTATGTAATGTGTTGAAACGGACCTGGATCTTGTGTTTATTCAAGATTGAGGTACCCCCCCTGGTGAGATACTGCTTAACCAATACATACTTCACTTGGAATGGAACTTTCTACAAACAAACTGAGGGCACCCCAATGGGCTCCCTCCGATCTCCGGTTATAGCCAACATTTTCATGGGGAAATTTGAGACTGACGTGGATGACACTTGTCATCTGGCCACATGGCCAGCCTGCTCTAGACCAATTCTTCGACCACATCAATTCCATACACCCAGCCATCAGATTTACCATGGAAGTCGAAAAAGATAGCAAGCTACCTTTTTTGGATGTCCTAATAAAAAAAGAGACCTGATGGTTCAATGAGCCACTCTGTCTACAGGAAAGCTACCCATACGGATGCTTACCTGAAACCGGATTCCCACCGCCATCCATCACGGAAGAATTCTCTCATCAAGACTCTGCACCATAGAGCCCAATGCATATCCGATCAGGAACACATAGGCAGTGAACTCAAGCATGTACACCAAGCTCTTAAGGCTAATGGTTACTCCGACTATACAATCTGCAAAGCTATCACTCAAACCATGAAGAAGAACCCTCTTGAGGAGCCTTTCAAAACCATCACTTTACCCTACATTGCGAGAATCACAAAAAAGATCTCCAAAATCTTGAATAAACACAAGATTCAGGTCCGTTTCAACACATGACATAAAATCTGTGATCTGGTTCCGTCCGTAAATATGTGATTCCGGACATACAGTACCCTGGTGTCTACAAACTAAGTTGCCTCTGTGGTAGTAGTTACATTGGAGAAACCAAACGCCATGTCTCGGACCGCATTCGTGAACACAAAGCAGACCTTAAACACGGTAGGACCAACACCTCGGCCGTGGCAGATCACTCTTATAATTCAGTAGGCTCACATGACATTGACTTCTCCAAGACAGAGGTTCTTTGCAAGCCATCTGGCTACCATGAGAGATTCGTTCATGAGGCTATCCACATATACAAACACAGAGACAATTTCAACCGAGAAGATGGATTCTGGCTTAGCAATCATTGGAAGGATTTGATAAACCATTTCGGGTCTTAATTGATTGTTCACGCTTACGGTGGCTTTCAGACAGCATACATTAATTTTTCGTCTCCCCCCCTCCTCTTTTCGAAAACATAGATGGACTCGTCCATCTAAATAAACTGTCAAATCGCTATCCGTGGTGCTAACGTTTAAAAATAAATACAAACCGCCACTTCTTTCAAATGTTCTTGCCGTTGGTTTTCACACCTGATGATGACTGCTTGTGTTGCAGTCGAAACGTCGTGAGAATTTTACTGTTTTATATATATTTTATTATTTTATTGTTTCCCTTCAACGTGACTTTACCGAAAGAACCAAGAATATGAACAACGAATACTTTATTTTGTTGATTGCGACATCCTCGGTGGGGGGTGACATCCTCGCGGCACGTCGTAACAGCAGCAGTCAGCAGCTTTTAGCAAACAGTGGCAGAGTGCCGCTGGCCTTTGTAATTGTCCGCATATCGGCAAGGCAGTGGATGTGTGTGTGTGTGTACTCTTTGGTTCTATTCGGTAAAGTCACGTAGGTAAAAAAATAAAACAACAAAAATCACATTGAATGTGTGTGTGTCTTTTCCGTCTGTTCACGCCCACACCACAAAAGACGACTGTCGGAATGCTCCAACGAAGTGTGCCCATCTCAAGGGGCGACAAGTCTTAGAAAACACCGATTTAATCAGGGAGGCAAGGGGAGCGGGGTGCAATTTAAACAAACGAGATGTTGCAGTCGTATTGACAATGCTTTGTTGGTGAGATCACACCGTCAATTACGCGCACAATCTGGTCGCAACCCTGGTTTGCGAAAACAATTTGACGCCGCCCAGTAGGCTTACAAATTGACTGTTTTGAATATTTTGATTTAAAGCTTTCGTGACTGCAGTAATTCATATTCTTAGCTCTTTCGGTAAAGTCACGTTGAAGGGAAACAATAAAATATATATAAAACAATAAAAATTCTCACGACGTTTCGACCATAACACAAACGGTCATCATCAGGTGTGAAAACCAACGCCACTTCTTTTAAATGTTTCTTGCCGTTGGTTTTCACACCTGATGATGACCGTTTGTGTTATGGTCGAAACGTCGTGAGAATTTTTATTGTTTTATATATATTTTATTGTTTCCCTTCAACGTGACTTTACCGAAAGAGCTAAGAATATGTTTTGAATATTGTTGGGACATCAGTTCTCAGCTCCCGATCTACCTAATTATTGTCATGGTGTACGAACTCGCACTTACTTTCGACGAAGCAGGACTTCATAGCACGTGTGTGCTATTGAGGCGATTGCCCAAAACGTCGCCAAATATAATTTTAAGCAAGGCCGTAGCCATGGAGTCAACATTGGGGGGGGACCAAATCTTCCAGGGGGTCTGGGGGTCCCCCCCCCAGAAAAAATCTAAATTTTAAAACGAATTTCCTGCCTAAAATATAAAAAAAAAATCACCAACACATAGGATGGACTTTTTAAAATAGATTTTTTACAATATTGTCTAATAGTGTATTGTATTACATTGCTCTGTTTTTCCTTTCCATTTTACTTTTTCTTGTTTCATTGTATGTAATGGCAGAGATTAGGGATTACTAAAGTACAACCACAATCACAATCATATAAACAGAAATCTATTTTTATAGCAATATACTGGGGGGGGGGGGCATTTTTAGCATATTTGAATATAGGGGGGATGTGTGTCCCCCAATATATATTACAATTACGGCCTTGATTTTTAGGCAGTATTATTGACGAATGTATTGAGTTTTTCTGTAGTATGTGTTTGTGCACCACTGCCAAAGCAGTCTCGCAAAACGAGATATTACATTGGCAAGATCGTGTCAGCTGGCGACTGTTCATGGCTGGGCTTCTTCTTTACCTGGGGGTGCGAGATGCCCTTTCTGCGGGTGCGGGACATGGCCAGATTTTTGCAGAAGGCAATAATCGAAAACACAAATCAAGCACGGGCGCGTAAGTATACCTACTTTGTTTAATCAAACCCCTATGTATTTATTCAAATTAGATATATATTAAATTTTGATTTAAAGCTTTCGTGACTGCAGTAATTCATATTCTTAGTTTTTTCGGTAAAGTCACGTTGAAGAGAAACAACAAAATAACAAAATATATATAAAACAATAAAAATTCTCACGACGTTTCGACCATAACTCAAACGGTCATCATCAGGTGTGTCGGTTTGCATAAATTTATTTTGAAAACGGCATATTTATTTATTTATATAAAAATAACGTTTGCGTCACGCGCAACGATTGGCTGTTTGCCAGGACTAGTCCATCTATTTTTTGAAAAGAGGAGGGGGGAGACGAAATTTGTTTTTATCTATGCTGTCTGAAAGCCACTGTAAGCGTGAACAATCAATCAAGAACTGAAATGATTTATCAAATCTTTCCAATGATTGCTAAGATAGAATCCATCTTCTCGGTTGAAATTGTCTCTGTGTTTGTATATGTGGATAGCCTCATGAACGAATCTCTCATGGAAGCCAGATGGCTTACAAAGAACCTCCGTCTTGGAAAAGTCAATGGCATGTGAGCCTACTGAATTAGAACAATGATCTGCTACGGCCGAGGTGTTGGTCCTACCGTGTTTAAGGTCTGCTTTATGTTCACGAATGCGGTCCGAGATATGGCGTTTGGTTTCTCCAATGTAACTACTACCACAGAGGCAACTTAGTTTGTAGACACCAGGGTATTGTATGTCCGGAATCACATCTTTTACAGACGGAACCAGATCACGGATTTTATGTAATGTGTTGAAATGGACCTGGATCTTGTGTTTATTCAAGATTTTGGAGATCTTTTTTGTGATCCCAGCAATGTAGGGTAAAGTGATGGTTTTGAAAGGCTCCTCAAGAGGGTTCTTCTTCATGGTTTGAGTGATAGCTTTGCGGATTGTATAGTCGGAGTAACCATTAGCCCTAAGAGCTTGGTGTACGTGCTTGAGTTCACTGCTTATGTGTTCCTGGTCGGATATGCATTGGGCTCTATGATACAGAGTCTTGATGAGAGAATTCTTCTGTGATGGATGGTGGTGGGAATCCGGTTTCAGATAAGCATCCGTATGGGTAGCTTTCCTGTAGACAGAGTGGCTCATTGAACCATCAGGTCTCTTTTTAATTAGGACATCCAAAAAAGGTATCTTGCCATCTATTTCGACTTCCATGGTAAATCTGATGGCTGGGTGTATGGAATTGATGTGGTCGAAGAATTGGTCTAGAGCAGGCCGGCCATGTGGCCAGATGACAAAAGTGTCATCCACGTACCTCTTCCATAAGGTTGGGCGCAGAGTGGCAGTCTGGATGGCGTCAGTCTCAAATTTCTCCATGAAAATGTTAGCTATAACTGGAGAAAGGGGGGAGCCCATTGGGGTGCCCTCAGTTTGTTTGTAGAAAGTTCCATTCCAAGTGAAGTATGTATTGGTTAAACAGTGTCTCACCAGGGGGGGTACCTCAGTGTTTAGTCCTTGATGAACCAAGTCTTCAATGATTGCAATGGTGTCAGGTACAGGAACCTTGGTGAATAAGGAAACTACATCAAAACTGACAAGCAGGTCGTCTGGGGACAGGGAAATACCCTTGATTGTTGATACCAGGTGAGTAGAATTTTGTACCGCAGAGGTGGTCTTTCCAGTGAAAGGACGCAGGATTTCAGACAAAAAACGAGCTAGTTTGTAGGTGGGGGAGCTGATAGTAGAGACTATGGGACGAAGAGGTGTATCAACTTTATGTATTTTTGGTAAGCCGTATAATCTTGGTGGCCTGGCAGCAGAAGGTTTCAATGAAAACTGTTTAGATTGATCAATTAATGCGGTTGAATCAGAAATTATTTTGTTGGTTTGTGTGACGAGGCTGTTGGTGGGATCTCTTTTCCGATGGTCTGAAATCCGTTTTAGCTAAAGGTCTAAACTTTGCAGTCACACCTAAACACATACCAGTTAATGATATAATTGCCCAAGTAGACGTTGCTCTCAGGGGCCTGGGTCACATCGCTGCAGACGTAGCAAGATCTGAAATCGCTGCAACCCTCAAAAACGCTAAGATGCCAGCTAGCAACCTCAGCAAAAATGAGCGTTTTGAATTATATAAATTAAAAAAGAGGAATGATATTGTAGTTCTCTCAGCTGACAAAGGCAATGCTACTGTTATCATGGATAAAATAGAATACAACAACAAAATGAAAGAATTACTCGACGATGGTAGTTATACAAAAATAAAAAGAGATCCCACCAACAGCCTCGTCACACAAACCAACAAAATAATTTCTGATTCAACCGCATTAATTGATCAATCTAAACAGTTTTCATTGAAACCTTCTGCTGCCAGGCCACCAAGATTATACGGCTTACCAAAAATACATAAAGTTGATACACCTCTTCGTCCCATAGTCTCTACTATCAGCTCCCCCACCTACAAACTAGCTCGTTTTTTGTCTGAAATCCTGCGTCCTTTCACTGGAAAGACCACCTCTGCGGTACAAAATTCTACTCACCTGGTATCAACAATCAAGGGTATTTCCCTGTCCCCAGACGACCTGCTTGTCAGTTTTGATGTAGTTTCCTTATTCACCAAGGTTCCTGTACCTGACACCATTGCAATCATTGAAGACTTGGTTCATCAAGGACTAAACACTGAGGTACCCCCCCTGGTGAGACACTGTTTAACCAATACATACTTCACTTGGAATGGAACTTTCTACAAACAAACTGAGGGCACCCCAATGGGCTCCCCCCTTTCTCCAGTTATAGCTAACATTTTCATGGAGAAATTTGAGACTGACGCCATCCAGACTGCCACTCTGCGCCCAACCTTATGGAAGAGGTACGTGGATGACACTTTTGTCATCTGGCCACATGGCCGGCCTGCTCTAGACCAATTCTTCGACCACATCAATTCCATACACCCAGCCATCAGATTTACCATGGAAGTCGAAATAGATGGCAAGATACCTTTTTTGGATGTCCTAATTAAAAAGAGACCTGATGGTTCAATGAGCCACTCTGTCTACAGGAAAGCTACCCATACGGATGCTTATCTGAAACCGGATTCCCACCACCATCCATCACAGAAGAATTCTCTCATCAAGACTCTGTATCATAGAGCCCAATGCATATCCGACCAGGAACACATAAGCAGTGAACTCAAGCACGTACACCAAGCTCTTAGGGCTAATGGTTACTCCGACTATACAATCCGCAAAGCTATCACTCAAACCATGAAGAAGAACCCTCTTGAGGAGCCTTTCAAAACCATCACTTTACCCTACATTGCTGGGATCACAAAAAAGATCTCCAAAATCTTGAATAAACACAAGATCCAGGTCCATTTCAACACATTACATAAAATCCGTGATCTGGTTCCGTCTGTAAAAGATGTGATTCCGGACATACAATACCCTGGTGTCTACAAACTAAGTTGCCTCTGTGGTAGTAGTTACATTGGAGAAACCAAACGCCATATCTCGGACCGCATTCGTGAACATAAAGCAGACCTTAAACACGGTAGGACCAACACCTCGGCCGTAGCAGATCATTGTTCTAATTCAGTAGGCTCACATGCCATTGACTTTTCCAAGACGGAGGTTCTTTGTAAGCCATCTGGCTTCCATGAGAGATTCGTTCATGAGGCTATCCACATATACAAACACAGAGACAATTTCAACCGAGAAGATGGATTCTATCTTAGCAATCATTGGAAAGATTTGATAAATCATTTCAGTTCTTGATTGATTGTTCACGCTTACAGTGGCTTTCAGACAGCATAGATAAAAACAAATTTCGTCTCCCCCCTCCTCTTTTCAAAAAATAGATGGACTAGTCCTGGCAAACAGCCAATCGTTGCGCGTGACGCAAACGTTATTTTTATATAAATAAATAAATATGCCGTTTTCAAAATAAATTTATGCAAACCGACACACCTGATGATGACCGTTTGAGTTATGGTCGAAACGTCGTGAGAATTTTTATTGTTTTATATATATTTTGTTATTTTGTTGTTTCTCTTCAACGTGACTTTACCGAAAAAACTAAGAATATAGATATATATTTTTAACGATTTAGAACCAAAGGGGTGCAAGGCTGCATTCAAATGTTTATGAACCACTGGCTTAGGGAGTCCATCCAGCAGTGGATTTATCATGTTGGATGATGATGCACCTCCCCTCATTTAAAATATTTGATCTCGTTAACACACACAATAAAACAACCAACACTTTATTTTCATGTCACCTGCCCGCAGATTCCATACCTGGCAACCCCTTATCAGTGCCCTACCTTATTACAGACCAATTCAGACCTTATTGATCACTCCGTGCCCTTATAAATCTCAACGTTCATCCTACAAAGTCCCATCACAAGGGAGAAACACAAAAACAAAACTGCTTTATGTATACATTTTGATCATTGGTGTCAATAATGCTACTTTCGCTTACTGTCTGTGATATTGTAAGCCGATGCTGCTACTTGCTGGATATGTGGATGTACACACGTTGTAAATGTACAACAATTAACGCAGACATTTATTCAGGGTCGAGTAATAACACTATAATTCATGTACGTCCCAATCCTGTTTGAAACAAATTTCCTGGAATCCTCAACATAAATTATTGACATAATCATTGCCCACCGATAATTCTGACTTTGTTTTTGTATTTGGCCGTATAATTATTGTGTTGTTTGCCCCTATCGAAACGGCTGTACGCCGTATGGACCTGAAAACTCAATTTACCCGTGCCAAAGGGGGTACCCCGAGGCATATAAACCCGTAGGGGTTGACGCGGCATGAGGCTCTGCCCACCCATCTCTGGCGAGCACCACGCCTCTCTACCCCGAACACTCACGCGGTGGTGGTGGTGGGTGGTGGTGGGTAGGAGTGGTAGTGGGGGTGGTGGTGGTGGTGGGTGGTGGTGGGGGGGTGGCCTCGCTCAGGTGTACGAATGCTCCCAGGTACAACAGCACGCACACAACACACGCGCGCGCTTGCTGTCGTCGGACACGGCACGCGTCCCGCATTCAAGACTCGTCTGTGAGGTTTATTATATATATTTTTTTAGCCGGCCGCGTTCTTTGTGTACGCGCCGCACTCACGCGCAAAGGAAACAGCTTCGAACCCTTAAAAGTGTCGTGCACACACACCACGTCGTCGTCGAGAGAGAGAGAGAGACAGGTGTGGTGGTGCGAACCGTCGTTTTCTCATTTTTTTTGCGTCTCTTCTCGAGCAGCCAGACCACGACGGAAGAAACCATGCCGGCGGTAGTGCAGGTAAGACGAAATGGCCCTTTTGTTCTTTCCTCCCCATGTTTACTGTCACCTTGCCGGCGGAATAGACACAACAGCGCGCGCGCGCGTGCGTGCACGCACAGCAGTGGGGCAAAACCAATTGAGCACCCGATCGATTACGTTGTAGATTTACCAATAAGAACAAAAACGAGGGAAATTGGGTTGCAAGATTCGGGTGTTATTGGCCCACACCCATCGGATCGTTTTAACTGCGGCGAGCGCCGTCGTCGTGGAGGGTCTATCCACCGCTGGATTATTGGGCTCTCTCTCCGCAAGCTGTCGGCCCCTTAACTCCCGCGCTCTGTGCCACGGCGACGCTCCGTCTCGACACCACGAGCCGATTCCATCGCTCCATCTCTCCCACGGTGGTGGTGTTGGTGTGGATCGCTGTCTCGAACGTTTACCCCCCACACCACCCCACCAACCGAGCAATTCGGTCACCGGTGTCGGCCGTCGTTGGTTGAACCAACCTGGCCTAGCCACGATGCGTACCGCCAAACCCCCCTAATTTGCCTCTTGTGACAATTAACTTTTTTTTAAACACTTAACTTTTTTTTACACGTAACTTTTTTCAACACTTGACTTTTTTTATACACACTTTACATTTTTTCTCTAACTTTTTTTTTCTTCCCTCAGCGCAGTGGCGGCCTGAACCGCGCTGCTCTTAACGCAACGGTCATTTCGCTACCGACTTTGGTCAATGAACTTATCCACAATTAATGCTGCCTAATTGTTGCTTTACACCCGTGCAAAATTATGCGGTGCTCTTTTTAAGACGCGACTTTAATGTAATTGAGGCGCGTCAATCGATACTATAAATGCACGTTACAGTGCAGAGTGATTAGTGTGCCGATACAGCTGCTGCTTTGTAATAGCGCTATGCTGTCTTCTCAACAGCTGATTATATACTGTGGAATCGATGGCTGCATATCTCACGGAGTGCCTGTGTTAAAATACAATATTGTTTTCTCTGTTACTGTACGGTAAATGTACCCCCTGTTGGGGTATCTACATGTATCGCCCTGTTTACACGTGTTCCATTCTACAGAATATAAAATATGTACTATGAATGGTGATCAATGTATGGACACCAAGGCCGTAGCCATGGGGTCAACATTGGGGGGGACCAAATCTTCCAAGGGGTCTGGGAGTCCCCCCCCAGAAAAAAATCTACATTTGAAAACGGATTTCCTGCCATTGTATGTAATGGCAGAGAGTAGGGATTTATAAAGTACAACCATAACCACAATCATATAAACATACATCTATTTTATAGCAATGTATTGGGGGGACATTTTGAGCATATTTGAATATTGGGGGGGATATGTCCCCCCCAATATATATTATAATTACGGTCTTGATGGACACGCCACTGAAACAAGGGGAGGCATTCTATAGAAAACATTTAATTTAAAACTGTGTATTCAACAACACAAAGTGCACGTTTTGTCTTAGTTATCATACCTGCACGAGTTTATTTGACGTTTGATGGGTTTCCTTCATTTTGTTTAATTTAAATTGATTGATGCCTGTAAATTACCTCCCACCATATATTTTCTAAAACTCTTATAACGTTGCTCATTTAAAATAAAACGTCTTAACGCTTATCTTTTCCAACTTAAATTAGACTATTTAAACTATTTTTTTTATTTTACCAGGTAAGGCACACTGAGCTATATAGCTTTTTTCTGAAACGATCTGGCAATAAATTATTGCTCGACGAAGTTGCTTATGTGAAAATTTATAGCAGCCAAATACTCTGAACGCGTGTTAATTCTAAATGTGGAGGTTAAAACCGGAGGACCCGGAGAAAAATTCACACGACCACGGGGAGAGTGACACGCAAGCTCCAAATATACAGCAGGCGTCAGGGTCGGGATCGAACCCACGACCACCTTTGATAGGTGCTGGCCATTTGACCTTTTGGGCCTTTACACCTGTGCTCTGCAATTGTTTACATAGAAAATACCCCACAAATATTCCACACGTTTCAGAATATTCCGTGGACTATAGAGTCAAACACAACCCTCATAACCGAAATGTTGTGAGGAAGTTTTATTCAGCAGTGGATTGATCAATTTTGATGATGCCAGTAGTGACTTCAATTATACATACATTGTTCGTTTTTTTAACCTTTTCTTGTCAAGCTTTGTTGATGAATGTATTTCAATTGACCAATGTGTGTCGACTGCAGGTGCTGCCTATGCAGCCTACGAAGCAGATCTTCTGGAAGGTGGCGATCGGTTTGTTGGTGCTCTTTTCGCTGTTGGTCCTAGCAGGCGCTGGGGTTATCATCTGGTACTTTGTCGGTAAGTTACGCGCAGCAACTTACTCGCTCATTTAAAAACTTTACTCTCTTAGAACTTTCATATAAAGTGACAAGTTTGCAAGGCTCTTGTGAAATGCTTTTGTAAAATGTCTGTAACATTTAACTTAGCCATGTAGGATAAATAAACAGTGGACATATACAGGCACGGCCCCGTTTGTCAGTGCACTGCTAGACGATAGCAAAACAAACGCTTTATAGCACGTAAATAATTCATCTGCTATGAAGAAAGGCCATTGCCATACAAGTTGTCAATGTATTATTTCCTTTTAAGGCGGTGTAATTGATGCATGTGATTCTTTTTGTTGCTATATGTGCCGATGCACCACTGCTAAATTAGTATCTCCCAATACACTGTTATATGAGGGCCTGATTAATCATGGTGTGCAGGCCATGAGGGTTATTTGACCACATTTCACCATGCTGGTCTAATGGACGTTGGGGATTGTGGGGGAAGTCCATAAAAAGTTGTATTTCCCCACACTGTCCTCTGTTGCCCACATTGCCTGCTACACCTGATTTTGTGCATTGTGGCTGCCCATACAAACACTATCCAGGCTCAAAGCTGCTTGGCTTTTAAGGTCTGATGGTATTGGGTGTATTCTGGGTGATTTAGTCGTAGGCATGTTGAAAGAGTTTATCTGAGAGATACAACTCCACGAGTCACGTTTTACTTCTCCTAAAATGTGACATACGTTTTTGAGATGCTGAGGAAATTTCAAGTCTGTATTCTGTGAATGTGGCCAGAATTTATCCTCTTAACACTACGATGCCGAGACAGCTCAGATTTGGTAGCTTGATATTTGAATCTGTTGGATCTTCTGAATTGTGGCCTACAAAAGAACACATGCTTTAAATTGACATTACTGTGCAGGATGATGTATGTATGTTTAAATTATCTTGCACAGTAATGAGTTTTAAATGTATATTTAAAAGTGCATAGCTCCAATGGCTTCCTTATATCAGAAGGAAGAGCGTTCCAGATGGCTGCGAGAAGCGCATTTGAAAGCCCGCAATGAAGTGGCCATCTTTGTTCAATGGCTAGCCAAAAGCTGCTGCTATGCTGTTCACAGATGGTTTAGTGATCCTTATGAATCCTTTTGCCATCATGGAAATGCTGGTTATTGGTTCGTTGTTGACACAAAAAAATAGAACATTTTTAAAAGGCAGCAAAATGGGTAAGACATTGTTTTTATGAACTCGTCTATGTGGTATCATTTCAATGAACAGTTGGTGCTGGGGGGAAAAAAACGAAACACTAGGTGTGGATCAACCCTCGTTTTATAACAGCCCTTTGTCAACCCACTGGTTTTAGGTTTCCCTACGCTGTGTCGATTATGGGGGTTGTTTGATCATGCTCTTGTCCTTATGGGTTGGTAGAAGGGGGAAAATCCAGGACTGGTTTACATAGCATTCGCCTGGGCTGGGAATGTAACTCGGGTTGTCAGGCTTATAGTACGGTCGAGTAACCGCTGTGCCACTACTCCATACAATTCCTCGTATAAAACAATAACATTAGAAGTGTCAGTACAAATATATACACGTATATTGTATATAATTCATATCCACTTTGAAGGTTGGTATAGGCTTCCAACTTTAGTACTGTAATGACCCGTCAGTAATTTGTCTGGTCATGTGCATCTCATGTCTGCTGCCTCTTACTGCTTTTTGAACTTCTTTTTGTGTTTATTTTTGTTGTCCTTCCCCCACCCCTCCGATTAGCACAGTTGGATATGTACTGTTCAAAAGAAGGTCAACATACATATGTGTACTTACACATTTCTAAGCATTTTTTTCAAGAGAGACCTACGTGGCGACTATTGGACTTTTGACAAGTCTTTTGAAGCCGTCAGTCCATAGACAACCGTGTGCTCTCTAAATGTTGTGTGCACATGCCTCTGGATGTGCTTTGTGCATTGACATTTAGATCACTTTCAGTGATAAATAAAATGATTCTGAGATGTTCAAACATCACTCTTGGGCCAAAATCCCGATAACAAAGTGGGTTCTGACTTGGTAAGGCTTCTCCGTAAAATAAATATCTTCATTTTGATCGATGTGCAAATTGTTAGACATTGTTTCAGTCTTACATTGCCTCAATTTAATATATTACGCAAGCTCAATCTTACACAATGTGGCAATGCCCCAGAACCTTCTTTAACCTTTACTTGTATGGTAAAAAAACCCAAAAATGTGCTTTTGCATGCTCTTTAGAATTCGAGCACAAACACATTGTGAATTGTGTAATGCAGGGAATTCCTATCAATTCACCTGTCACTTAACTCGTTGCGTTAAGGTCATGGCAAGATTATATTGTATGGTATGGCCTGAATAAGAACTACCATGTGCCACTAAATACATATTATAACACTTCCAGCACTTTAATGGAGTATAAAAGTGCATTCTTTCACCGGAACTGTGTGTGATACAAGCATGAAACTTGCTAGAAATATTCACAATGAAACGAAAAAACCTTAGCCTTCTAAACATCAAAGATAGTTTCTATTTGTCCCAGAAGACCACAATATTTGGTGGTGGCCATATTTTATTTTTGGTGACAAACGTTTCTTTCTTATTAAGTGACCCTAGGAGGTAATGCCTGCCAAATTTGCTACGATTGTTTGTTATCTGCTCCACTATACACGATAATAGTTTTAAGCTCTCCTTCCACTGCTGGATAAAGGCCTTCCCATGCCATGTTGAATGCAGGTTGTGCCAAGTTTGTGCTGCATTGCACTAACCACTGTACTACTGCTCCACCCCATATAGATTAGTGTATATAGGAGTGCAGAAGCACGAACCTCTAAAGCAGGGGTCGGGAACCTTTTTGACTAAGAGAGCCATGAAAGCAAAAAATTTGGAAATTTATTTCAGTGAGAGCCATATAATATATTTTAAAAGTGAATTCAACTAAATGTCAGTATAATAAGCCTCTGAATTTATTCTTTTAAATAATGTTGTTATAACACTCACCATTAATGCGACTTCTGGTGCTGCATGGATTTGCTGATGTCTTTGTAGTCGGGTTGGTACTTGGTGAGGTTAAGCTTCATGCAAGCGTTGAGGCTTTCATCCGTTAAACGTGATCGTAGGTTGGACTTGATGTTTTTAAGATGTGAGAATGACTGCTCACATGCATACGTAGATCCAAACATGGTCAATACAGCAATACTCACACGCTGCAGTGTGTGGTATGTGACAGGAAGCGCGTTCCAAGTTTTGAGAATCAGCTGGTCTTCGGGTTGGAGTTTTTTCATTTCTGTCCACATGTGCTTGATCGCCAACTCCGCTTTCTGTCGTGTGATTCTTTCCAAATCTTCATTCAGTGACTTGAACTTATTCACCCACATGTCTGAGTCCTTCAGGTCAGCCACTTCTGCTTCAAAATCTCTGACGGAGACACCAGGGATGTAATTCAGGTCGGCTGTGTTCAGTGAACACTCGTTTGGATGGGTGATGAACTTAAAAAGACGAGTGTGCTCACGAAATTCTCCAAAGCGTGCTTTGAAGGACTGTAGGAGACTGGATGTGCAGCCAGCTAGCTGGTGGAGATCAAGGTTTTGAATGGGCTCACTTGCTGTGCATGCATCTTTAAATTGGCTCAGTTTTTCAAAATGTAGTAAACGACCTGTTTCAAGATCCGTGATGAAAAGCTCCAGCTTGTTTTCAAAAGCAAATACAGCTTGTTGAAGGGATAACACTGTATTTCCAATGCCTTGCATTTTCACGTTGAGCTGGTTCAGATGTTCAGTCAGATCTACGAGATAGTAAAACTTGAGGAGCCACTCGGTGTCGGCTAGCTCAGGATGCCCGACGCCTTTCATTTCAAGGAAAGTCCGGATTTCGTTCAGGCAAGCCGCAAAACGGCTAAGCACCTTCCCTCTTGACAACCAACGCACATTGCTGTGCAAAAGCAGACCAGGATAGTTATTTACAACTTCATCCAGCAGTGTTTTAAACTGGCGATCATTTAAGGCTCGGGCAACAATAAAGTTGATCACACGAATGACCAGCGACATCACTTCGCCAAACTGCCTGTCACACATCTGAGCACAAAGTGCCTCCTGGTGTATAATGCAATGGAAACTTAGGATGGGTCTATTTTCATGTTCACGGAGAAGCGCCACAAATCCTTTGTTTTTCCCCACCATACACGGAGCACCATCAGTACACACTGAGAGAAGTTTATCCATAGGTAGACTTTTTTCTTGAGCAAACTCCATGAAAGACTTGAATAAATCCTCACCTCTTGTGGACCCTTTTAATGGCAGAACAGCAAGACTTTCTTCGCGCAGTGTGTCACCAACAGCATATCTTGCAATCACGCTGAACTGCGACAAATGGCTCACGTCTGTTGACTCATCCAAAGCCAGAGAAAAGAACGGCGCTGCATTTATGTCCTTCACTTGCGTTTCCTCCACTTTGTTTGCCATCACGATGGTACGATCATGAACAGTTCTTGCCGACAGAGGCATGTCTTGTATCCGTTTGATTATCTTGTCTTTGTTCGGAAGATCATCAAAAAGTTCATTGGCTACATCCAGCATGAACGTTTTAGCATACTCGCCATCTGTGAATGGTTTTCCGTTCCTCACTATTGCTAAAGAACCAGCAAAGCTAGCCGAATTATAGTCACCTTGCCGGGTCCATACGCGGAGTTGCTGCTGGCTAGCTTGCACCCTGCTCAGAAGCTCTTGGCACGCTTTCTTTCTGCTGTCTCCCGCAGGGTATTTTGATGCAAAGGTAGCGTGGCGCGTGTCGAAGTGCCGCTTTACATTCGACCGTTTCAACGATGTAATTTTGTCATTGCAAATTAGACACACCGCAGAACCCGCTCTCTCCACAAAGGCGAATTCTTCGGTCCATTCGTCCTGAAATGTACGATACTCGTCGTCTTTTTTTCTTTTCGCCATCTTCTTCGTCGAAGGGTTAGCTTTGAGCTAATGACCGAGCAGACGCAGTCTCAGACTGATTCAAAAGGGGGCGTTTACCTGTTTTACCCAGCAACGGCAAACGTAGGCCAGTATCATCCAATTAAAATAATGGACAATTGCTCCTGCAGCCCTGAACAGGACATGCGCAGTGAAAAATCGATGGATGGATTAAAACAAGTGAGAATATTTTGTTTTATCTGCGAGCCATATGCAATCATCAAAAGAGCCACATCTGGCTCGCGAGCCATAGGTTCCCGACCCCTGCTCTAAAGTGTGTAATGGCATAAAAAATATAGTATTTACATATATGTTTTTGCTAGCCATTGAACAAAGATACTCACTACGTTGCGTGCGTTCAGATGCACTTCTGCGGCCGTCTGGAACCCTTTTCTTTCTGATATTAGGAAGCCACTGGAGCTATGCGCTTTGAAATCATTTAGATTGAAAACGTATTTCTTTAGAACTGCTTTGTGCGTTTATTTTGTTGACCTTCCCCCGCACGGTTGGCTATGTACGGTGCAAAAGAAGTTCAACATATATGTATAAACACTTGAAAAAAATAAACCTACTTCTAGTGTTATTAAAGCATGCTTTTTTTCGTTGATATGCATAAGGTATGCATACAATTTAACACTGAGCCTGAAATTATACAATTTATGAAAAGTTATTCTACACTTTGATTTAAAGCTTTCGTGACTGCAGGGATTCATATTCTTGGTTCTTTCGGTAAAGTCACGTAGAAGGGAAACAATAAATAATTAAAATATTAATATTTTATTTTATATTTTTATTATTTTATTGTTTCCCTTCTACCTGACTTTACCGAAAGAACCAAGAATATGGTTCTACACTGCTAGACTCTCTTTGTAGAGCCCTTACTGTAAACTTCAGGATCTATGGGATTGTTGCACGTAGTAACAGTAAACGTGAATGTTTAGTTATTATTTTGAAGCAAAGATAAGGAGGATGATTTTGCGTTATCTATGATATGTTTTGTGTCAAACTGGGACTCTTATCCTTTCCTCTACACATTTTATTGTTCACCAGTATTGGTTCAAGCAAGCTTTGACTGCCGATGAGATGCATAATGTTGATACTTGTCTCGAGTTTGCTTATCTTGACCCAATGCTTCTGAAATGATGGTCTCCTAAAAGGCCTCGGTGGCTGATGGGATGTGCAGATGTTATTGGCTTTTAGTGAATGGACAAATATGGCAAAGAGGTGTATGCATCATTGTCTGATTATTTGTTTTGTTGACTAAACAGAACTAGGGCCAAGCAATAAACACGAGGCAATAAACACGTTGGAAGGCAGTCCAAGCACAATTATTTGTTTTGGGGGCTTTCACGCAGTTCCACAGACAGTAATGTCAAGTCAATTAATTTTTTTCTGAACACGTGGCAACCTTTTTTTTGGCACAAGTCTGCCACCCAAAACGCCATAATATTGCATACATTAACATAAAAAATACGCAATTCTCTAGAGTAAAAAAAATAGAATCCAAAGAAAGTTATGGCTGCAAGCGAGTTGTGGTATGCAAGCGGATAGAGATGTGTTTTGAGTTGTCACCTGAATGCGGTGATGGAGTCGATTGTGCGTATTGCCTCAAAGAGTTTGTTCCAGAGGTGTGCTGCTGCAAATGAGAACGATTTGTCCCCCATGGTTGTGTACTTTGTTGTTGTTGGTGGTTGAAGGATTGTTTAGGTTGAGGAGCAAAGTGATACGTTGTTTTTTTTTTATCTCTGAGGTTTATGATGTAAGGTGGAGCTTTGTTGTGTGTTGCTTTGCATGTTAATAGGATTACTTTGAAGTGTATTTTATGTTTAATTGGTAGCCATTGTAAGTGTTTTAGTCTTTGGATGATGCGGATGATTTCTGGAGTTTAATAACGAGTCTAAAGGTATAATTCTGGATTAGTTGAAGGCGTAGCTGTGTGCTCAGGTAACCCAGGCAAGTAGGATGTAATAAATAATTACATTTTCTAATGTTGCAGCCTATAGTGAATACATGTTCACTCTTCCTGGATGAGATAGTTACTCATAAACGTGAAGCATAAGGGGAATGTTGGTACTGTTAAGAAGTGGTACAGGATAGCTGCTGAAGTGATGGTGTCACATTGCTTTAGGGATTGTCTGATGTTTGTACGTAGGCTATCTGTACGTGAGTCTACATTGTTTATGATAGTATGCTATGCTCTGCAGTAATCTTATGTCCATTCTCCCGATCTGCCCAAAGAAACAATTGACAATAATGCAATTGTAAGTGAAGGCGTTGTATTATTTGATCGGTTGATCGCAGGATTGCCAAACCAAAATAAATTTACAAATAAGGGACCGTCCCTAAATGACGTCACGCGATTTTGGACGATTTTTGACCCCCCCCCCCTTCGTCACACGACGTCACAAAAAGTCAGACCCCCCTCAAATATGACGTCACAAAGCTCCTCCCCCCCCAAAAAAAATACATGCTTCAAATCGCTTTAAACTATTGTCATTGTAGTGCATATTTAATGTGGTGCTGCACTCTGATGTTGTAGGAGACAACATTCATTAAACATCCCAATGGAGTACCTTCTGGAAAATAGATAATGTAGGCTTGGGGACACCCTCATCTAGAAGTAGATAGATCATGGCTGATGATGATGTCAAAAAGGAAATTATATCACATGCGTGTTAACCCACCCCCCCCCCCCTTTATCATGGGACCTGTTTGCCAGTAAAAAAGTAATGAAAAATAAGAATAGGATATGCATTGTCTTTTAAACTTGATTGGCCTACACTTGTTTTATTGCCAGCCTATTGTGAGGTGCCATATACAAAACTGGGACAGTATAACGTAATGTTTTGTTGGCCCACACAATTCATCACCCCCTATCCTCTCCCGGTTTGCTTGTGCAGCTCGCGACCAAAGCTCCCCTGAGCCATCGGTGGCGGTGCGATTTATTGGCTCCTTCAGCATCACGGACGCCACCTTCGAAGCGCCGCTCGTCGACCCGTCCAGTGGAAAGTTCCGGGCCCTCGCGAGCTCCACACAAGCCAAGGTGTGTCCATAAATCCGCGATGACGGGGATCGAGGTGGCCATGTGGCTTGAGGTGGTATCGCTGATAAATCTGGATTTGAATGCGGTGATTGAACCGCGTTCTGAAGTGTATGGCGTTCATGGCCTCAGCCCATTAAACAATGCATGCACACACATACACACACACAAAAACACCTTTATATTAAAATAGGTTTTCACTTAAATTTGGGGGAAATTCTAGCTGTGAAACTTTAAAAAACAACATGACATTTCAAATTGACTGCATTGTGATGAACTAACCCAAAAACCTTTATTATGAATTATTATGAATTGTGATGAACATTTCTATTGCAGGGCATGTGGGGGAAATGCAGCACCCTTAGTGTGGATAGAAGGTCACTTGAAGGAATCTCGGCAGTAGTTCTTTGAGCTCATTCCACAGGCCGTTTTTTTATACGGATTGATTCACCTCTGTTGCAAGAGATTCACAGTGATACTCCATCCCTTGATGTGATGCTAATAGCAAATTGACGTAAAACTGTAAAACAATAATAAAAACAGAGATGACGTGTTCAGAAGAGAAGGCGGGGAAGAAAGCGTACCAGATATAATCGGCCGTAGAGGTTTTTGTTTGGGTTGGATCGCGTAAATATATAATGTGTCATTAAAACCCACCACGTCCCGACACAGCCAACTAGTAAGGGGTTGTCACGTAAACAGAACGTGGCCAATTCTTCACAAGTACAGCACACCGGTGTGTTGCAGAGCCAAGCCACAACATTTACAATCCGAGTACGACGTCTCGCCAGCAATTACAACCAGCTTCATCAGGCGACAGCCAGATTTGTGGACAAGTCCACCTGTTTCCTTCCTTATATAGAGGCGTAGATGTGGTGACAACACTTCTGCGCTCTTGCTCAAAGTTGGGGGGGGGGGGGGGGGGTAATATCGGACTTGTTGTGAAAACTGAGCCCACGTGTTGAATTGGGCTTGCCCCCCACGTGTCTGCTCTGTCCTGTGTAAGTGCATTTGATTAAATTTAATGGCGGTTGTCAATGTGATGTTACACTTCTGTACAAGTGCCTCTTGCTTGTTGCTCTTTGGTGGCATGCCTGTTAACAGAATTGTCATTTGGGGAAAGAGTGCTCGTAAAAAAAAGGCTCAGAACAACAATGGTCATTAACACAGCTTTATAGCTGATATTTTTATTGATTCAACTGGCCAGTGTGTTTGTGACGTAATGAACTACAACAATTTTCAGTTCCGGATAAGGCTGGACTTGAAAAATAATCAGATTTGACTCTCAAATTCTATTTTATCTGAATAATGAGCCTGCACGTTGCTTCGGGGTTTCCCCGCATGTCTGCTGTAGGTGCAGTCGGGTGCATTTCATTACGTAAGTGGCGGTTGTCAGTCCGATGTTGCATCTCTAAAAGTGCATTTTATTGTCGGTGCACTTAGGGTGGCACTCGATCTCGAAATATTGGGCTCGACAAATTTTTAAAATTAAATTCCATTGTTGAGGAAATTGACAGATCTAAAAACACATTTCGGAGTATACGTCGTGCATAGGGGTGGTGAGATGTTAACTACCTCGCATGATTTCCAGGAAGTCGTGGGTTCCATCCCGATCCTGACGTCTGTATTATTGGAGTCTGCATGTTCTTGTGGTCACTTGGTTTTTTTCTCCGGGTCCTCTGGTTTTTCCCTCCCATCTTTAGAATCCAACGTTCATTTAGAGTTTTTGGCTGCTATAAATTTCCACTAATTCATTTCGGTGAGCTATCATTTGTGGCCAGGTCGCTTCTTAAAAAGAGCTATATAGCTCATTGGTCCTTCCCTGGTAAAATAAATAACAAAAGTTTAGTTTAATAGTTTTAGTTTATATCCTTTAGCGTATTGCATTTTTGAGAAAGAAGGCACACATCGAATGGCGTGCGTTTGTCATCAACATTGCCTTATAGCAGAAACACAAAACCATTCCATTGTACTTGTGGCCAGCCCCTAATTGCTCATGGAATATTCTCAAGGGTCCCCAAACCTGGACTCCACTTGCTGACAGTGGCGGGTGGTGGGGACATATTCTGGATCCCAGGCCTGGACAGCTCCCACGGAAATAAAGCCTTGTAGCATTATACACAGTGTTTGATAGCAAAAAAAAAAAAATTCCGTTTTAAAATCTAAATTGAATACTCTTGTGGTTCATCACTTTATAATAAACACTTGTCAATATAAAGTTGCCATGCAGATGATTGATACAGCTCTCAGTTCCTGAAAGGCTGGACTTGCCGAGAGCAACAATTCCAGCACAGGACTTAGCTCCTTAGTGAGCTTCGAGTGAATCATTGTTCGTCATCCTTTCCACTCCTCATCAAAACATTTGTAGATCTGAAGCTAAATAAAACATCGAGGTTTAGTTCACCATAAAGCGAAGAGTGTTCCCATCATGGGATCAATTCTCTCTCGTCACACGAAGTGGTTTACTTTGTACATTGTGATTTTAAACGTTCCCTTCCCCAGCTTTCTATGGTTAAGCAAAACACGTGTGTTTATATTCTTTGGTTATTTCGGTAAAGTCACGTAGATAGAATAAAAATGAAAGGGCGCTCGCTTCACTTGTCGCGCATTGAAATTTCCTAAATGGACATCAGGTAATGTACGTGGTTTTTTTTGTTACACTTTCTTTAAACGCCAACCAAACGCCGAAGGAATTTTCAACGAGCATTTATGAGTCGAACGTCAGGCGACTGTAACACAATAAAGAGGGAATCGTGAGTTCGTTTCATTTATAGTCTTTTTTTGTGTGCTAGTTGTACTATAGTTGATGCACTGCATTGAATTTTTTGTGTGTATCGTTTTCTGTAAACCGGGTTTCTATGGGATTTATCAGTGCCAAAATAAAACCTAAAGATAATACTATATACAGTACAAAACATAGGAGGGGGATGGGTGGGAGTGGAAAAATGAGGGGAGGAAAGAGGAGCGGAGGGACCCAGAGACTTAAACCTCCCTAAGCAATTATCATTTGTGGCACAGGGTGTTAGGTAGCAGTCTGGGGGAAGCCCCCCCCCCCCTCTGCCCCCCACATTAAACCCTGCACGCACCCACGTCCCACGGTCTCCCCCGTGTCCGGAGGACGATGGGCACGCTCCCGTGCATGGCGTGCACTTCTACTGTAATACGTCTCGATGGCGAGATGTTAACTCCCTTGCCTGTTATGCAGGAGGTCGTTGGTTTGATCACGACTCCAACGCCTGTATATTTGGAGGTTGCATGTTCTCCCTGTGGTCACGTGGATTTTGCTCTGGGTCCTCCGGTTTTTCCCTCCACATTTAGAAACGTGTATATCCAGTATTTGGCTGCTATACATTTACACGTGATAAGCCACTTCGTTGAGCTATCATTTGTGGTCTGGTCGCTTCTGAAAAGAGCTATATAGCTCATTGGACCTTACCTGGTAAAGTAAAAACATTTTTAGTTTTGGTTTGGAGTTGAGACTAAAATAGAACATACCTTGGAAGAAGACCGCACGTCCATCGTTGTGTGCATGCCGATACCTGGGTCCCCTGGCAGACCATCATTAAAACATTCAACCTGCAGCGACCCAACCAAACAAAAGCTCTACAGTTCGCAAGTGCTACACATTCGTTCCGTTATAAACAATTTAGATATGCGTGAAAAATGTCTTCAACTGTAATCTTAGAAGCAAACTCTGCTGTGCATGCCACTAATGTCCATTAAATGGTCTCATGTTGGACTGGGTGAATGATCAGTTTACTTCCACGAGCACAATGTCTTGGTGTTAACCGATGACCACGTGATTTAAAGCTTTCGTGACTGCAGTAATTCATATTCTTAGCTCTTTCGGTAAAGTCACGTTGAAAGGAAACAATAAAATAATAAAATATATTGTTTCCTTTCAACGTGACTTTACCGAAAGAGCTAAGAATATGATGACCACGTTTTACCAAGTAAAAGCTTTCAAACTAAAAACACTTGTACTCCGTTTCATTATCATTTAATTTATAACATACAATAAAGTATCATTTAGGTTCATCGGCTAAAAGACTTTGTAGTCCGATGTGAACCTAGATGTACATTTTCCGGACACTTGTCTGTTTAAAAGCCAAAACAGACGAGCATAAGTAGTGTTTGATTAATATTCTAAATTAACATAACACATTTATTTATAAACGTGTGAAATTATTATCTTTTCCTCTCGTGTTATAAACTCCCTCTGCTTCATGGCACGCTGTACTTTCTACTAAACGTTCAGATGTACTTCAACAAGTCATTTCTTTCCTGTCACAAACATGACATTTATCTTGCTCTGCCAGGTTTGGCGTTAATGTTTCACAAATAATACGCTTTAACTCTAGAATTTCCTCTTGTCATTCTTCACATCCCATGAGCTGGATTATCATTTTGGACATGTTTCCTCGGGACGGCCTACGTAGACAAGTTTTACTAGTTTTATACATTAACTCCTTTTGCCTCATGGGAAACCCCCCCCCCCCTAACAATTGCTATTGTGCTTGGTTTCAACAGTAAATGAAAAATTACTGCTAATGTATTGTCCGCAAGCTCGCTGTGTTTTACTAAAAGCAAACGTTAACACAGTCCTAAGTGCTGTTGAATATGGATAGGCTGCTGTGTAGGAGAGTTATCAAAAAGATCAAAAGCGATGGGAGAATGGGGAGGAGGAGAGGGTCGTGGTAGAGAAGGTTTGGCAAGGAAACAATCGCCGCATTAACATTCACTTGTCATGAATACCCTTTGTAGCAATGGTTTTTTTTCCCCCTAGTCAAAATCGGCCGTGGCTTCTATAGCGCTGCACCAATCGACTACTTGGAAAGCTGTTCCTGAATGTATTTAGCGCAAGTCTGTCAGATGGTAATCGTGGCAAAATTGACGTCATGAACTCAAACCATTACTGTGCATGCGCGCATTGCTCAAGCGAAGCAGCTATATTAACTTAATTCCTGTTCAAGTGCGCATTATGTTTCGGAATTGGCTTGGGCATCTGAAGGCCCAATTGTTAATTGTTTTCCAAAGTGACCTTTACCATAACAATCAAGGCCGTTGTTCTGCTATCCTCACAGATGGAATAACCCTGACTTTGTGAAATCCAGAACATTTAGCAGTTTGACTGAAAATGATTTAAAGGCAGGCAAAATAAAAGCTGACATTTATTTGTCCTCAATATTATTTTCAGCCACTTTATTCATTACAGATTACATGTCTATTTACTGTTAAGGGCCCATAAAATATAATTTCTCAGAGCGAGTATTTATGCCTTTTGCTGGAATCAAATGGCCAATCTTTTGTCCTCAGATCGATGAAGTGTTCCAGTCATCAGTGCTGTCTCCATACTTCAAAGAAAGTAAAGTTTTGGGCTTCAGGTGACTAATGCAAACCTTTTCATGTAGAAGGAGAAGTGTGTTGTTTAACGTCAATATATATGTGACTTCACCAGCAAAGCTTAATAAGCATATCGACATTCTTTGACTTTCAAGAAGACATCACCATTCCCATACATATTCTACAAACACACAGCCTGGTAAGAGCCACTGACTCAATAACAAGATAATCTTGTGGGCATTTTTAATTTACGCAGCAGAGATCCTAACTTCTGGCTGCTGAATTGTTTTGTTTAGCAAGGAGAAAGTACTTAAACTTGATGTTGTGTAACGTTACAAATTATGATTCTTATCAGCTATTCGTGGCAATGCCCTCTAAAAGTCTTGGTTTGTTCTTTCAAAGTTGCTTGGAAAATCACATGTATTCACCACTGGCATCGTCATTTGAATGTATGGATGGCGAAGTAAATGAACTGCGAAGCACATTGCGCATTCACCAACAACTAGTTACATATTGGGCTGCACGATGTAATGCCTCGATCAAATCCCAAAGCAAATTTGAGGAATTTGCTCAGAAATCCCTATCCTTTGCCTGCTAAAAGAGTTTGCTTCGACAACATCGGCCCATCGACCTCTCCATCACCAGCACCACCACCGCCCTTCCACACTCCACCTCTCAACGTACACACATGCAACACGTCATCACCCTGACCTTCGCCCATCACAATCTTGTGGGGCTCGCAGCAATTGTCTGCAACGTGAAGGCGCGCGTGGTTGTGTGATGATGATGCAGCAGCGGCAGCGTGGTGGTGCGGTTCCTACTGGCGTTCGCGGTCCAGTCGCTCGACAGCAACAAGTTGACCCGCCAGAACGTGCTGGACGCCTTCCGCGGCGGTGACCTCTACGATGTCACCACAGGCACGAGCATCAACCCTGGCTCCATCGCCATTAACTCTGGTACGAGCGCGTCGATCGACTTTGCTTCGGGAAGTGTGCGTGGGTTTTCGGCAAGTGCCGTCTCTGGTTTCGCCTAAAAATCTCAGAAAGCTGATCGGGAATGCACGATGCCAAAGTCGCCAGCTCTGCTTGGTTAGCGATTGGCCATCTCACAGTAATCTCGGCTAAAATCACAGCGAGCAGAGCTAAATAGCGTGGGTTGGGGTGTGGGGGCGGTCATCTCTGCCTACAACCTTTTCCGCTGTAGACAAAACCCAGAGATATTTCCCAGTCAGTCAAGTTCTATCTCAACTGTGCAGTAGACTGCAGTGAAGTTCAACACAATACCACAGGATCACAAGTGATAACATCACATTTATCTCTATATTTAAGACTGAAACAGGAGGATTTCTCCACAAATCCGGCTGTTGTCTAATGATGCTGGTTGTAATTACTGGCAAAACATCGTACTGGAATTGTAAATGTTGTGGGTTTACTCTCCAACGCACCGGTGTGCTGTACTTGTAACGAATTGACATGTTTTGTTTACGTGACAAACCTTGCTAATTGGCTGTTGGGTGGTGGCAGGTTTAACGACGCATTTATATTTACACGATCTAACCCAAAAACCTCGCTTGTGGTTAAAGTATTGGAGTATTTTGCAAAAATGTAAATATGAAAAAGTGATATCTGAGAGAGAAAAAAACTGTGAATGGGCAAAAAAGAGTAGTTTCTTTAAAGATGTCATGTCTACTAAAGTTTATACAAAAGTAAGCAAAGTTAAACATTCAACTGGATCAAACTTGACTCCTCCTTTATTGACTTAACTTTAAGAGGCTGAGCCCTATTTCACTTTGGCTGCTTTTATTCGTTCAGAATGCATGTGTGTGTTTTTCTCTCTCTCTCTTGTGTGCTATCGTGCAAACCCTCATAAAGCGTAATACAGCTTTAATGCAAAATAAATGTGTTATTCCAGATGGAAAGACTGGAGATTTGGATATCGTGGCAGGTAACATTTCACATGCACAGCAACACAATCACATTTCTGCTCTGAACCTTATTGCCAAATTTTGTAACTTGCTCATATACAGACAGGCCTCTGTTATGTGCCTCCACGTAACAATGATCCAGTCCATCAATCACCCTGTTGGCTTTCGAGACCAATGTTATCCAACAGCACTTGACATACGCAAACTCTAGACCGGTTTTAATATTCTATGTCTCATCGGCATATATTATCAAAATTTCATTCTCTTTCCACATGTAAAAATGTGTTTTAGTCAATATAAATCTATATGTGGAGACAGAATGGAATTCTGCTTTATATATCCTTTAATTAATAATGCTCCACGAAAAGAATGTCTGCACTTTTTTTTCAATTCAAATATTTCCGCTGGATAATCCCTTCAGTTTGATTATCTCGTTTGCAAGGGGCTCTAGGCTCTTGCCAATAACATCAACTGGACGTCCATGAAAAAGACCTTCATAGCTCATCAGGTTCCTCCAGTCTAAATACAGTAAAACCTTGGATTGCGAGTGTTTTGCAAGACGAGCAAAATTTTTAAATAAAAATTAATTTGATAAACGAGCGAGGTCTTGCAATACGAGTAGTACCTATACGCTTTGTCTGCCGAGCGTCACGTGATCACAACTGATATGCGAGTGCTTTGATATACGAGTGCTTTGGATTACAAACATGTTTCCGGAACGAATGATGCAATCCAAGGTTTTACTGTATAGATTCTGATTCACCTGGCATCCCAGCACAATGTTATGATTATTATTTTGCTTGTTTATCCTCACTGAGTCTCAAGACTATTTTTCACGTGGGTCTTGCTAAGTTTTTTTCGCAGCAGAAGACAATGTTACTCTGCGTAATCCCAACTTGGCAGATCATTCTTGAGCATCGGGATCTTTGCCCAGTACGAGTTACTTTGTTTTGGTTTTAATTTAATTGACTACCAATGATGCGCCACAACAATGCATATAGCGAATTGGCTCTTTCATTGCGAGGTCTTGTCCATTGGTTGCACATTGAGGTGGTCCTGGTTTTCAGACTGTCTGGAGGTCGTGAACTTGGGTGCCGGCTCTACGGTGTCGGTGGCATCGCGGGCCGGAAAGTCGTGCGCATGGATGCTTGTGGCGCCCGAGGGCTCCCTGGTCCAACTTGCGCTGCAGGCCGACCCCTCCACGACCGTCTGCACCGATGCCGTCGCCTTGTATGATGGGGTCCTCCCTGCTAACAGCAGCCTCGTCGCAGAGTAAGCAAAGAGTTGGCCGCACTTGCAGATTTACCACGGGGCCCCCCCCGTGGCTTCTGGGTCGAATTACTTGTTGGGGGTGTGTGTTTACAGTTGTGTTTGATTACAGTAGAGAGGTCTGTTCAATGATTAAAATGGCAACGGGATTCGTTGATTGGCAAGTGGCAATGGTGTATTATAGAATTCCTGGGGTGGAGTTCGGGTTGCCACCTGTCCTGGGAAAACCTAAGATACACCACTCAAGACAACGCATGTATACATAGTTATCCCCTCTTCTCGTATTGAGTGGTATTAGCCTGCTGATCTGAGTTTTGTTTCTCTGCCACGGCTAACATCAGTGCTAAACGTCATCTGTGAACCAGTCCTTGGCCCAATGCTCCCCCCGCACTAGCACTGATCAACAATCCCCATCACCGACACAGCGCGGGGGAGGCCTTCATCTAGAATTGAATTGACAAATAATTGGAAATTGTATAATTATTTTACTGATGAACTAAGTTGGAAATCAAACCTATTTAAACTAAATTGCTTGGAATGTGCAACCAATTTGTTGTTATAAACGCCGCCCATGTAAAATCGTATCAACTTCCATAATTATTTTTTGGCACAACAGGAGTACAGAACGTGTAACAGTGGATTTAGAATATTCTGACAATATAAACGTTTTGATGCCCATGACCAAATTACCCAGAATACAACCCATCTCTTCAGATCCCTGAAGCGAAGCAGGCTTTGAGTCTGGATAGTGCTTGGATGGGTGACCACAAATGCATGCAAGCTTGTCACAGGCGACCGTGTGACTGCGCTACGTGGTGGTAAGCAGAGTGGGCAGTGGATCAGAATTCACTTGTTGTACCGTACGGTATATGTTCCCACGTCGATGCTTCACGCCTTCAGCGGCCCCTGGACTATGGTCGAATAGGTTCCACGACCCGCTCGGTGTGAAAGGTGTCCTCCCCCAGCGGTGGATTGGCACCAGTGTTTGTAAGCTTAAGAACACTGCGATAATTTGAGAACGTTTCCCGTTGGCAGCACGTGCACCCCGGCCTCTGGGGCGATATCTTTCCATTCGTCTGGGCGCATCCTGCTGCTGGTGTGGCACAATCTCGCCAACGGTGGCAGTGGCGGTGGCCACCAATTGGACGCCGTCGCCCAGGCTGTGAAAAAACAAGGTACTCCTGCACTTGCATCGGCCGCAGTTATGGCTAGGAGATGTTAACTCCCTCGCCTGGTATACAGGAGGTCATGGGTTCGATCCCGACACTGACGCCGCTTGTATATTTGGAGTTTGTGTGTGTCTCTCGCTCTCCCCCGTGGTCGCTTGGATTTTTCTCTGGGTCCCCTGGTTTATCCCTCTACATTTAGAAACATACATTTAGAGTATTTGTCTGATATAAATATTCACATGATAAGCCACTTTGATGAGCATTCATTTGTGGCCAGATCACTTCTGGAGCTTTATAGCTGAGTGGGCCTTACCTGGTAAAATCAAATAAAAATAGCTAGTTTTAATGCGCTGCATGATTTAAGACTCTCCACTCCTGTACAAGCTACACAGCTAACTGTGTTAGGCATGTTTTCTCGAAGATATGCAGCCTTTTGTCAATGCACTGCTGGATTAGTTTTTCCACACAGTGTGGTTTGTGGGGGGTGGGGGAGGTGGAGGGGGGGGTTACTTGGTCGGTGCAGGTTGCGGAGCAGAGATATGGAAGCGTAGACGTTACAATACAATAATTGATATTGCGGCTTTACCAACCTGTGTACATGGTCATCACCCAGTCGAGCAGTATTCGGCCTAAAAACCTGCTCTTTGGGAAGCTGTATGCCTGGTGCAAATTTAATTAATTCTGGTGCTGGTGGCAGAGGCAATCATGAAAAGCAGAGTTCATTTAAGACATTTCAATTTGAATGGGAAATGTGTAGTGAACGCATTAAATATGTTGTAAATCTCAAGAAAAGACATTATGCTCTCAGACTTCTGAAGGCAAGGCCATTAGTCCTGAGATGACTTGACAAGATTACATGTTTTATATATATACTGTGGCAGGTGTTGCTCAATTGTTAGCAAATTCACAAGATGTTGAAACTGCGCTCAGAAAAAAGAGACACGTTTCTCAACATTCTAGCCCATGGCTGTTTTTCTGCTCTGACATCATGAAAGTTTGTTTAAAGTTTCTCAAATGCATTCCATTCTGTTAAACTCGACACTTTACAGTAAAACATTGTTCACTCAACCACAAAGGACTTGTGTCAGTATTTTGAAACGCCTGCACAAGTTAATACTTGCCGGTGGGAAATAACATGATGCATTCCTTCTGATGTATGAATTTGTAAGCCTTCAGCTCGCATATACCACGTTGATCCACGTCACGTTGATACACATCCCCGTTGATCCACATCCCCGTTGACCCACATCACGTTGACTGCTCGACCTGTGTTGCCTTGCCAGAGTGTGGGGGTGTGCGTCAGCTGCTCCCCACCATGGAACCTCCGGGCTTCGTGTCCACGCCTTTCTACCCGGACTTCTACCCCCCATATTTCAGCTGCAATTGGACGTTCATGGTAAGGTTTTGCTCTCGCCCTGCACATCCAGGAGTCGCCAGTTCAATTCCAGCTCCTGTCACGACAGTTGAAACGTGGGAGATTTCTTAAATTACCCCCGTCCCCTGCCCCCCAATCGCCTCTGTCTATCCCGTCAGTGTAAACCGGTCTGCCACAGTTTGTCGATCGGCGGGTCACCTGTGGTAGGGTAAAATGTGGGCACTCCCACCTCTTCCAAGATGTCTGGGCAGGGTGGAAGCAAAGGCCAAATTCCCTCTAGAGGTGCCCCTCCAGAGCTCCGTTTCGCACCTCCGATATTAGCACGGTTGGCTACGTACGGTGTGAAGGAAGTTCAGCAAATACAGTAAAACCTTGGATTGCGAGCATAATTCGTTCCCGAAACGTGTTTGTAATCCAAAGCACTCGTATATCAAAGCACTCGTAAATCAGTTGTGATCACGTGACGCTCGGCAGACAAAGCGTATACGTGCTAGTTGTATTGCAAGACCCTCGCTCGTTGATCAAATTAATATTTTTGAAAATTTTTTGCTCGCCTTGCAAAACACTCGCAGACCAAGTTACTCGCAATCCAAGGTTTTACTGTATACTTACATAGTGGAGGCTCTTCTGCCATCGGTGATCTGAGCAAGCAATAACAGTGCTGCACGTTTACCTTTTATCATTCCAGCGTCTTCATGTTTAATGGAAAACAACCAGCGCCGCCTCAGGCCATTGCTCTTGGCACAACGCTTTTATGTTCTTCATTCACATCGTTTGGAAACTAGAATAAACATTTTATATGGAAATTAATAGTTAATAAATTCCATTTACAAAAAAAAACCATCTGGTCATTGGTGAATTTCATTTTGAAAATAGAAGCTCGGTCACAAAGGACTGTAAACAAAATAAATCGGTAATTTTCACTTTAATTGGCTGGTTCCAAAAATGAAATGTAAGAATTTTAGTTTGGTTTAATTGCAACAAGCAGTCTTTTGCAGAGCATGAAATAGTTGTACCCCTAATAGGAATGAAGAGGCCATTCGAAGTGACTTCTGAAGTGTTTTTTTAATTCATCTTCTGTGGGCTGTTCTCTGACACAGGGTGATACACAACTAGCTCCATTGTTCAGAATGTAAATGTGTTTGTTTTGTTGTAGTACGGAGTTAGACTGATGGCCTCAATCTAAGTTGTCTTGTGGTTGTTGTTGTTGTTTGACTTGCATCCCACTGGGATTTTTGCACACAGCGTTGGTGTACGGTGCTTTTTTCAGGAAAATGTTTTTTCCTAGATTTTCTGTTTGCACAGTCACACATAGTCACTTTAAGATGTTTTCTTGTTCATGTTTTTGTTTTTTGTTTGTTGCGGTTGCACCCGATCCAAGAGCCGAATGGCTCACAGGACTATATACCAAATAAATGAAACTGAAACTGTTTTTCTCATGACATACCAATAACATGGTTGAATTGTGATTGGAGGGTGGAAAAAAATCAAACATTATCCACCAAACCTGTGAATCTTTACCCCGTAGTCAAGGTTGGGGTATGTGTTCAGGATATTTTCCTCTCCGATTTTGTTCAAATGAAGCCTCACCGTGGGAACGGATCAGACCTGAGTTGTAATACTTGGTCCTGTGCATTGACATATACATTATGAACCTATAAAATCTTTTGCAAATATTTACCGTTGAAAAGGTCATATACATATCTGTCAATAGAAGCATGAAAAGTGTTACTATCACTTTTGGGGTCCTGCAGCAAATCTTTGTGCCCATAAAATATAACCTTTGAACTGCGGAGGAGGTGCCGAGAATATGATTGTATAAACACTGCTCTGTTTACCGGCATAAAGCAGTCAACAGCCACTTGATTCCAGGTCAGAGTTTCTGTCAAGGAAATGAAACACAATGGGATAGTTTGTTTGAAAATGAGCTATAATTATGCTGTGGCATAGTGCCAGGCATGTCTGGGGAGGGTGCTGAGACCAGTGGCACTTCCAAATTTCCCCACGGCAGACAACGATGATGAGCCACGGATCAGACGATGACCTTTAAGTAAGCCATATCTTTCAGGGCCCAATTACTCGTCAGCCAGAGCAGATTATTGGCTGTCAGCCCACGGGGTTCGGAAGCAAGGGGAGATGGCAAAAGCCAAGGGCATGGGAGGGGATACAAAATAAAATTCTGCAAGCCTTGCTCAAGATATGCTACTGACATTTTATACAAGCCTTTTTTGCTTTGCGTTTGTGTGTGTGTCTGCAGATGCCAAATGACTCATTTGGGCTTTCTCTAAACTTTGACGGATACGAGCTGCAAGCACAGTCACCGTCAACAAGCCCATGCCAGTATGAGTTGTGGATCATCAACGGACAAAAGTACGAACCGTATTTTTTTGGTAGTTAATAGGACATGCTTCCCCCCTACCCACCTCTGTATTTTAAAGCAAAAGTTGCAGGTGCATCTTATAATCCGGTAAGAGTATATGTGGGTCGCCAAATTTGCATAACTTTATTGACAATGGGCAAAAGCTTTGGGTGTCATACCATCAGGAGCATCTGATAATCTGGAGAATATGGTATTTTTAGCATGTTCTCATTAAAGATGATTAAAGCAGCCGCTTAGAATGTGCAAACCCTGTGGTTTGTTTGCCCGTATATCTTTTTGAAGCCATTATTTTGCTTTCATTTCCCCTCCCGGAAGTTATAATGAGGGGGCAAGTTGATTAAATCCCCCCTGCAGTATAAATGGGTTCACCACAGTCGGCCAGATACGTAGGTCGTGTGGCGGGGTTAAAGTGCGTGTACTCCAAACTCTTCCAGAACGAGAGGTCCGACCGGTGTGGAAGTGTCGACCACAAATATCCTCGAAGGGCTCTCTTGAAATTCCCTTTATTGGAGGCCCTCCCGCCAGCAGTGGGCGTGAGCGAGCAATTCGCGGGGCTGCACATTTAACCTTTATAAGAATACGATGTCATATCCACAGTCCTGTCTCACGCGTTTCGTTTTTTTTCCCCCGCCTGCGCTCCCTTTTTTTTGGTTGCAGCTACTGTGGGGGCCTCGTGAGTGGATCGCGCATCCTGCGCGTTTCCACCGGGATGCTGTCAGTCTCTGTCAAGTTTGCGTCGCAGGGAATTCACACCCGCGGTGGGATCAGAGCTGCTGTCGATGTCTACGACATCTACAACCGTGAGCCGCCCGCCGCAACATTCACGGTCTCTTAAAAAGTTGTGATTTTTTTTTTTGTATTTCTTTACAAAGAGCTCGCAGAAACACTGAACATGGAACTCTAATGGGTTCACGGTTTGAGAGCCAGTTGCTGCCCCCATTAAAAATGCGAGGATGTGTTAACATTAAATACACGCCGTCTGCTTCACAGTGAAATGTAAACGATCCCGTAAAGCCGCGGAGTTTTTATACACCCCTCCCTACGTCGCGGTTTGGGGTCTGTACTGGGCTCCGATTGAAATATAAAAAAATAAATAAATAGAGAACCATAATATCCCGTAAAGCCATTCGAAAAAGAGTAGGCCATGTGTGTTGGCATCCTGGTCCATATTTGATAACTTGCTCACAAATGACTTAATTTGGAGAAAAAAAAATGGAGCAACATCACCACCCTTTTTGGTAAACCAATACCCATGTACGCATTTGCAGGCCCGGTGTTCACTTTGTGCACACAGGGACAGCTGCCACTGGGGGGGAGGTCCTGTCGGCTAAACTGCATTAAGGCGATTGAATGGTTGAGATGATGTGATTGTAAGGCACTTTGAGTTGCTGAAACACACAAATAAATGCAAATTCTTATTCCTTTTGACATCTAAGCGCCTGGAAAGATGTGCATTCCTTAAACATATTGGCACAAGACGGAGGAAAGTGGAAACAAATGAGGAAATGTGCTGTGGGACACCTTACGGGCTATCTGCCCCATGGATCACGGTGATGCTGATGATCAAGGGAACGTCATGCTGTGAGTGGCCTTCCGGGCATCCCAGTTTGTTTGCGCAACCAGTGCGGTGTGCGGTGTGTCGTGAGCAGCGTGTCCCAGGGGAGGATTCCTGTGCGGCTCCAGCTCGGAGTGCGTGACCAAGTGCAACGGAATCCCCGACTGCCCCGACAAGAGCGACGAGATGAACTGCTGTGAGCTTTTTGCACCAACAGATTGTTTGGGCAAACGATAAGCGTTGTGAACCTACCGAATTGAACGCCTTCCTGTGTTTAATGAGCCCAACTCTGCTGCCGATTTAAATTAAAACCGGGCTAGGATTTTATTTGCTTAATCAAAATGCTGGAGTGATGATATTGGTCTAAAGAGCGAATAGACGGATAACCGTATTTTTTGTGTATATGGAGTCACAGTACTGACGTCTGTTTATATTTATTTTATTTTTAATTGTTACTATATCTTACAACTTGAAGTGGAAGTGCAGTTGTTAGCGCAGTGCGCTGCTTAAGTTTGATTGCCAACCATGACTAACACCGGGTGGGGCGGGTTACCTGAACTGGTTCGATACATCGTGAAATATGGTCAACAACCGTCATAACTTACATGGTGTGGGACATGCCTTAAACCAGCAGTGGATTGAGATACTTTTTTTTACTTGTTTGGTGGTGCTTTTTTACTCGCCTATTCACACGTTAACTACATTTTGTTGTTATTTATAAATCTTCCCCACATTGGACTCTGTGTAAGAGAATACTGTTTGTGTCTTTCCCCCCCAACGCCCTCTCCTCTCCGACAATCTGCGGTGCAGCCTGTCCCATGCAGTTCCAATGTGCAGCAGGCGCTGAGTGTGTGGCCTTGTCCGCCGTTTGCAGTGGCTCTGCCGATTGTGCTTCTGGGAACGATGAGAAGAGCTGTCTCGGAGAAGGTGCGCTACGTCCCGTACCACGCCGCTGCCGTGCCTAATCTCACGGCCCACTGTGAGGCGTCGAGTGGCTGACTGTGACTGGGTCATTGTGGGGAAAACCTCGCAGTTTCATCATGGGACCTCCGTTGCCAGTAGCAAAATATGAGAATAGGTTTTCCCCTTTTTTTCTGGCAGCAAAACTGGTGTTAAGATGTTAAAACACAAAACTGAAACCTTTTACAAGGAATCATGTCTGCATTAACCACAATACTTGTGGTCAGAATGCAAACAAAAAAACATGCTCTGATAATATATGATTGGTCCACACCAGAGACGGCTTTTTTTTGAGCCTCGTCTCAAACGGTGTAAACGCCTAGTCTCCAACGGTGGTAACAAGGAATCATGCAGACATGATTCCTTGTAAAAGATCTCAGTTTGGTGTTTTAACATCTTAACACCTGTTTTGTTGCCAGAAAAAAGGGGAAAACGTATTCTCACCTTGCAGTTTGTTTATTATAGTTTTAGGTTTTAGCATCACCATCAAAGGGCTTAATTTTTTACAGAATATTTTACCTCCCACCTCCCTCACCCCCAAACTCGGCCCTAAACAGCTCTGCCTGAAATTAAGGCACGATTATTACCATCATCTTCATCATTTATACTTGACAAAGAATAGTATAATACATAACCACCAGAAAACTAGCTCACCAGTGGTAAATGTGTCAAGAAAATAAGTACATTCAACGTAAAAACCACTGGAATGAAATAATGCAACAAAATATAAGAAATGTCATGCAATGAATATCGTATAAAATAGCGAAGACCCATAAAATTATCATTTTTTTGGGATTCGACCAGAATCAAACTTTGTTAATGAGAGATTTGCCACAAACCTGCGTCAATGTTTTCATCTTGTTGGAAAAGTAGGCCAGGGGTTGACCAATCTCAGTTCTAACAATCAATGGGATGATGATAGATGTAGCCCATGAACAGAGTTCTCTATTGGGCATATGGGAGGTGGTGATTCATGGTGAACGGTCAACCGGTCAACTAGAAGGCATGAACAGAATCCACATTTGTTATTTTATGCATTACAACTTGCTCTCCCCCTGTGCTTGTCCTCTGGCAGAGGTCCTGTGCAGTGCGTTCACATTCCACTGCAACAGCGGACAGTGCATCCGCAAGCCGAACCCGGAGTGCGACGGCCACAGCGACTGCCCGGATGGCTCCGATGAGCACTCGTGTGGTGAGCACGCCCCCCACAGCAGCTGTTCTTTTTGATCCTCTTCATTTAATTGCGCTCACAGATTTTTACCGCACACCCCCCCCCCCCCCCCCCCCCCCCCCCCCACACACACATCCATTTTTTAGCTGCGCAAAATAATAACAAACTAAGAATGATGACGTTAACTTTGTTCTGTCATGTCGATGGATGTCGAATATGGATGAGTCTGAACGATTCTGATTTAAAGCAGCTTTGCTGCCGGTTGGCTCGGAGGTGGGGGGGAATGATGGTGAAAGTGATGAGCCTGTACCCCTGAGATCCTGGGATTGAATCTAGGAAGCTGCCTGTGCATACAAAAAAAACTGGGGTCTTATGACTTTTTCAGGAGGGTCCTGAAAAAGAGTCGTGATACTCGGTGAGGTTTTCCTGGATGAACAAGCATCATCATTATTATTATAATCATAATAATAAAGATATCTGTTTGACTTTCAAAGTGCTGCCCATTCCCGTGTGGACCAGAGGCCACTTGAAGGGATTTGAAGTGGCTGTTTCTATTGGCCGTCCTCTAACACAAAGGGCTGCACTGCTGTGAGAGGGATTTGAATGGACACTATGTCTCATGCCATAGGGGTAAAATTGCAGAATATATATGTTGAAAGGAGCTTTGCCCAAATCGGCATCACCATAAATAACTTGGGAAGCTGACTGGTGGTTGATGCTTCATGGAAGGCATTGCATGCTGCAGTCGGTCATGTAAATACTGTCCAGAGCTCACCACCTCTGAATTCTCTTCAGCATTTCTCATCGGCGTCTCTCAATTTTTGTTTCTTATCCCCCCCCCCTCCCCGCGCTCCACCTCCTCCCTCAGCCTGCGGCAAACGGATGGTGAAGAGCCGTATCGTGGGGGGTGAGAGTGCCCTGGCGGGTGCCTGGCCATGGCAGGCCAGCCTGTGGAGCGGCCTTACCAAGAACCACCACTGTGGCGGCTCCCTCATCCACCCGAAATGGGTCCTCACGGCCGCGCACTGCGTCTACGGAAAGTGCGTACATTTCTGTCTTGTCGGCGTGTCCTCTCTGACCGTGTGGCGCAATGAGGCTGCGACAGCAGCCGGCTTGCATCACTGAAGGCGTGGGCGATGCATCTACTCTCTCGTGGCAGTTCAATGAATTGCCACCGTTCTGGGTCGAGATGTCAAGGATAATGTGTGTTTTTTTGTGTGGCTGCAGTGGTGATGTGAACCTCCAATACATGCAACATTTGAATATAATATTTTTTATTACTGCAAAACATTCCCACCAAATTATTTCTTTGTGTAAAGCCACATAGCAATACCGACTCCGACTACTTTCAGACTCTGTACTCTCTTGTTAAACGTAGCTTCTTCGCTGTATGAGAACGGCGCAAATAAAATGTGTACTTACGCGGAATATTGAGATGTGTACAACCCTGCCTGCTTTTTTTAAACATTCATCAAATTGACCATGGCTTATGGAGATGAGACATTTTGACTGATCCCCTATTAATTGAAAGTGAAACGGATCATTAATGAAACAAATTTTTTTCATATTTGTTGTTTTTTTTCCATGGAAATTGTAGGGTTGAGGCCCTGAGTGACTGGACGCTCTTCTTCGGGAAACTGCTGCTGGACAAGGAGGGCCCGATGGAGCAGCATCGCTCGATCCGTCAGATCGTTGTGCACAGACAGTACGTCAGCTCGGAGAATGACTACGACATCGCGCTGCTAGAACTCGACTCGCCCGTCAACCTCACGGAGCAAGTGCAGACCGTGTGCATGCCGGCCGCGTCACACGCCTTCCTGCCGGGACAGATGTGTTGGGTTTCTGGCTGGGGGACTGTCATAGGCAACGAATGTGAGTTTCGACACATGGCTCGCATGCATGTATACATATCATTTTTACCACAATTGCTGAACACCGGTAAAAAAAAAATCCCAAAATGCCAAGCGGGCCCAGCAACCAAACGGCATGATGGAAACGGTGGTGCTACCCACCAGATAGCTGCCCCCCCCCCCCTCCCACACCACCCTCCCCCCAACAATCCCTATGGCTATCTATTTGTGCGTAGTGGTCACCCACTTCAGAACTGTCAGCTGCTCAACCTCGCTTGGCAATCATTGAAACAGATGTTATTAACCAAGTAAAATTTAACAGTTCATAGTTCCATCTTATTTACCGGATACTAGTCTATTTTACCGAGTTAATTACGTCCTCAGCGCTCGGCAGTGTGGCTATTTTGTTGTGAGTGCCACCATCCGTTTTGACGGCAATCGTTATAGATGCGTAGCCCCCCCCCCCCGGGCACACCTACAGCCCCGCCCACTCCCCCCCCCCCCCACCATGCCCAGTATAAATCCCTTGACTCCGGCTTCTCTCCCACTTCAGTAAAATGTATTGCTGTGGTTGTCACACCTGATGATGATTGCTTGTGTTGCAATCCGTCAAAGGCAAAACAGAACATAATTAGCGTAAATAGGGCACAATTCCATGACAGAGCCCAGTGACTACACTTTTTGGAGCCGCAACCTGCGCCATGGGTTTAAAAAAGAAAATCTTCGCAGGGAAACGAATTAACTTAAATGCCATTGCAGTGACTTCCAACGGTGTTTCTGCGCCAGATGGGTGCCTGCACTCCATGTAGAGTTTGTAGTTCGAGCCAAGAGCCATCATTGCCAGAACCATTGCATTACAGATGCTGCCGCCACACGCGCTAGATCGTTACCTCCGTTTAACGGTGACTGATTTTAAAAGGGCGTCTAGGAATTATTCTTTGTTGTGTGCATGCCCGTTGATTAAATGAACCTCGTGATGATTCGTAAGGTTTTTTTTTGTTGTTGTTGTTCCAGTCTCCCTATCCAACAACATGCAGGAGGTCCAACTGCCCCTGATAAGCCAGAGCGACTGCATAGGCAGCTACGACCATGCAACGCCACGCATGCTGTGCGCCGGCTACCCTGACGGAGGAAAGGACGCGTGCCAGGTGAGACCAATGGATGTTCAGCACAAGTAGGCTTGGTGTACTTGCATAGGTTCAAGGCTGACCTTAGGTCCCCGGAGGTCCAGGACAGAAAGCCACTTAGGGGCCATTATTCAGGCCCAGGGAGCATTGTACCTTTTGCCAAATATACAGGGGTCGGGATCAAACCCACGGCCTCCTGTATGCCAGGCAAGGGGGTTAACATCTCGCCACCGAGATGTATGTTGAATGTCTTTCGCACCGTACGTAGCCAACCGTGCTAATCGGAGGTGTGAGATGTACTGTACAGGAAATGCAGCAAAGCACAAAAACAATGTGAATGTAAAATACAACTATAAAGTTGCAGGAATCTGATATTGTGACAATTTTATATTTGTAAAAAAATAAACAATATAATGGCAACCTGAGCAGAGTGCTCAACGCGCTGCAGTGGCATCGGGTTTCATTCCATGCCACATGCAGCACCAATGAACAAAAGCGTTGGCCGACTGGCCCCAGACACTTAGCCCGAGGGAGACAAAGGTGGCCCCAAGTGTAGTTTTGGCCACGCAATTCATTCGTGTGCTCGGCACGTACGATATCGTTTTCTCTAAAAGCATGCCATGGGTTGTGCTTCCTACGTGCCAAAGGCATTATTTATGGAATTAGGTTTGTTTTAAATTCTGTGCCTCGATAGTAAATGGTGTGTGCAGAGGGAGTAATGTACCGTGTGATGTAAGTTACTTAAGCGCGTTGGATAGCAATGGTGGCTATAATCCCAACACACACTTGAGATAACCACTCAACCATGCCCACATTCATTATTTGACGTCTATCTAATGTAAGCCAACAAAACCCGTGCCTGGCAAAGCAAGACCAAACACTCGGCAATGATCCCGGTCATTTCCGGGCGCGTGCTATAATGGCACGTGCCCTGAAAGATGAACTGAGCAAACCCACGTTGTTCTTTGTCGTGTTCTTGCTGCTGCATGCACTCAGCTTTTTTTCTTGCAACAGGGCGATTCGGGGGGTCCCTTGGTGTGCGAGGATCGCGGCTCCTGGTTCCTCGCCGGCTTGGTGAGCTGGGGCGTTGGCTGCGGGCTGGTCAACAAGCCCGGCGTATACACCCGCGTCACCGCATTCACCAAGTGGATAAACAGCATCATCGCCCAATCTTAACGTTCGGGCTCATGACGGGCAAGTTTTTTCCCCGAAAGACCCCTCCAACTCGGTCCACCCGGCGGCATAGGATGGGTGCATCGGTTGGTCGAACGGCTCGTCAACGCGTGTGCTGGGGGAAAGTGTGGGTTCTCCTCCCGCACTTCGCAAGACGATCTTGGCCAGTGTGGAAGAGGAGACCAAAAGTACCTGCTGGAGAGGAGCTCTTCGTTGCTTCTTCTATTGGAGGCCCTTCCACCAGCGGTGGAGGTGGTGAGAGAAAAAAAATGTGCAGAGCTTTGCACCCTTACCTGTACCATAATGATCACAAGGACTCGCGTGTATTATTTCTTAACTGTACAGACGGTGTTCACTATTGACGGCTTGGCATCAAACAGTATCTGTTTACGGATGTTTTAAACAGGACAAGTTTTTTGGAAGAGGAGTGTTGATAATGGTCAGAGTGAAATGTGAAACGTTTTATATATATGAATCTTCAGTGAAGAAAATCTTCACCTGTTTACTTTTTCCATGAAATATGACTACTACTGCAACTTGGTAGGGTTGTTAATCCATCATAAACTTAATGTGAACACGCCAAGAGTGTGTTTGTATTATACACTGCTGTCTTTGGTAATAATGAGGTTGGCCGAGATGCATGGGTGGGGTGGGGGACTGCGTTGCTACGTGGTTATAAAGTAGGTTATCTGGTTAAAGTTTTGTTCTCCTTGACAATGGTCAAAAGTAACATATATCAGTTTTGTCTTTTAGATTTTATAATTTCACCAAAATCGAATCTCGCTAGAGTGAATGCTTTTCACCTTTGTATGCGTTGTACGTACTGGGTTCACGTGACCCCCCCCCTCCCCACCTGTAGCCACCAGTGGCCACTAGATTCAACCCAGTGGGTAGACGTAACAACTAATGATCGATTGCACAATCGAATCACAACCGTGAATCGCGGCGATTCATCGAACAGTCGGGGAATTAATCTTCTTGACATTTGTGCCAAATAGTTATAAGGAGCATATGGCAAAACCTAAAGCATCGATTCCTTGAAGCTTAATTGTTCCACTTTAAATGTAAAATTGCTTGTGTTTTGCAGATTTTTTTTTAAGTTGTCTCGGTATAAAATGATGACGTAGTGATGTGACACAAGCCCCTTCTTTGTATAGCACTTCACGCCCACGTGGACACGTGCAATTTACTATCGGGCTCGCGGCAATTAGTGGGTTCCGATATTGTACCGTGATGACATAAATCTGCACGTCTGCACAGTGCAACATTGGGATATTTTAATCTCATTTCCTAATTTGAAGGGAAAATTTCAAACCGAATTTCCACGAGCTTCAGAGAAACACATCTACTGAAATCCACCTGTGTTCACCTCATTTGAAGTGCAACACTGAAAGGGCCTGGCTTCTGTACAAAAATGGTTGTCCTGCCTGTAATGAATTGCATATTTGTAATTGCGATGTTGCAGATGGCGCGTAGAATGCCGCGGTGCGGAAATATCCTGTCCGTGAGTAATAAGCCAGATTTAAATCTTGACTTAAAGCTTTCGTGACTGCAGGCATTCATATTCTTTGGGTCTTTCGGTAAAGTCACCACGTAGATAGGTTCAAAGAAAAGAACAAAAAACTACGACGTTTCGATCGCAACACAAGTTGTTTTGTTATTTTCTTTGAACCTATCTAAGTGACTTTACCGAAAGACTCAAAGAATATGAAGCCAGATTTAGTTTGAGCACTTGCGTTAGCAATGTGAATATAACGTTAGAAGTCGCAAATTTTTAAAATTTAATCTCATGTGCAGCAGTGTTTGTTGATGAGAGCAAGCATTTTGCTTTGTATTATTTACAATTCCAAGGACAATTAAATATATTTCGTGAATTTGTTTGATATTACTGTAGTTTAGCATTTAAAGGTGGTGGGGGAATGGTGGCACAGTGGTTGGTGCATTGCACTATGAACCTCGCAAAGTCCGTGTTTGGTTCTCTGCCATGGCTAAGTGGTGAGTGATATCCCAACCACTGTCGGTTAAAAGTTCCACGCAATAACCGCATTGCATCGCTGGAATAGGCCTCAACCGCCCCCCCTCCCCCCACACACAGATTTGCTTTAATTGTAATCGTCGGATATTAGAATTTCAAGCAACGATAAAAGGCTTGACTTGTTAATGTTGCTACATAACAATTGTAGTAAACAAATATCCAATTTTGAATGGACAATTTTTTAAAGAAAGAAGCTTGACCTGTTGGGTTCATTCCCTGGGACAAACAAAATTGTATAGTGCTATGAACGCACATAATTACGTATTATTGTTGCGTGGATTTCTGTAAAAAAAAAGTACAGTATCTTTTAAACGATGTTATTTCAATGAAAATTATTTGCACGTGGTATTGTGAATCTTCTTTGGCCATTGTGTAAAGTGTATTGTTGTAAATCGCATTTATTTTAAAGCTGCAAAAGTTATAAAAACGCATTGTATGTTTGCTTCAAATTGAGCCAACGACCTGTGTAAACCTTGAAATTAGTTCAAGTTTGAGTAGCCTATGGAGTAATGTTCTTGTTAAATGATTGTTGCAATATGTAACTTTATAAAAAAAATAAAGACCAAAACTTGTTCTATTACATTTTTTTCTGTCAAGGTACTCCACCTTTCAACAAACAAGGTGTTTAATTTGACACGTCCAGTATTGTTTTGGAAATAAAACCCAACATTGGTGTGACTAAGGCCTTTGTGTTGATGGTTGAGTGCATTCTAATAATCGAGGGCCCATTGGTGTAAGATGACGTTTCACTCACAATCTTGACGTAGCAGCATGAACACCCTGGTTGACAAAATGGGGAAAAGTAAACCGGATCTTCATCACTAGACATGCAAATACTTATAATGCCCGTGACAAGACGGTAGTGATATGTTAACTACCTCGCCTGGTATACAGGTCGTGGGTTCGATCCTGACCCTGACACCTGTATATTTGGAGTTCGGACGTCTCACTCCATGGTCGCGTGGATTTTTCTCTGGGTCCTTTGGTTTTTTCCTCCATTTAGAAACGTGCGTTTAATAGTATCTGAAGCCACTTCCTTAAGCTGTCATTTGTGGCCAGGTTGCTTCTGAAAATAGCTTAGTGGGCCCTTGCCTGGTAAAATAAAACAATGGTTAACAGAAAAACAGTCTTGTGCACCAACGCGTTTAGGTGATTTGTAAGGAGCTTACCTCAGCTCGATCAAAATGCTAAGGGGTTGGAACAGCATGAACCTCGTTTAAAATACTTAACTAAATGCATATTTTCAACTGTCGTGCATGTGTATATATTGCTTGCCAAGTCTGTTTTATGATGTTGCAAGTGTTGAAGACCCAGTCAAAACAGACGAATGCACAGTAACATTACAAGTGTGAGCGATTTTTATTCAACTGATAATCGTGTTGCATACAGACACGCAAAATACATCGGTGAGAGTGATAGCAAGCTTATTTGGATTGGAACTATTGGGTTAAAGCCCCATGAGGTAGATTTGAAATGTAATTTCATAGAATTTCTTGGTGTTTGCGAATATATGATTTGTATGGGGCTCGCAGGCAAAGCTATCGGTTATTCAATTAGCTTCACCGGACATGGCAGTGGAAACTGCTTCAGCCAACACCCTTGCCTACCAAGAGACGCACACAACACAATGCACGTTTTAACGCTTAAAGGCCGACGCTAAGCTGGATTTTGTAGAACGCACAAGGATTATTTGAACACTCCGCATGCTTTTATTTAACAAGTTCCCGCTTTGTTAAATCCAATACAAATCGGGCACCCGTGACCATAGCAACATCCCTGTTCTTTAAACAGGAGCGCCGGGGACTGTTGCACAACCCAGTTTACAGTGTTGGCCTCACTTGGCACTTTACGTTACGACAGGGGTGGGGGAACGTCCGGCCCGCGGGCCGTATGAGGCCCGTGAAATCATTCGGTTTGGCCCTGCCAAGGCAACCGCAGGCGGGACTCGAAATTCAATAAATCTAGGAGCAAACCTGGAAAAGCAGTTGCGAGTAGCAGCAACATCATCGATACCAGCTAACATCATCAATACCAGCTAACATCATCAATACCAGCTAACATCATCAATACCAGCTAACATCATCAATACCAGCTAACATCATCAACACCAGCTAACATCATCAATACCAGCTAGCATCATCAATACCAGCTAACATCATCAATACCAGCTAACATCATCAATACCAGCTAACATCATCAATACCAGCTAACATCATCAATACTAGCTAACATCATCAATACCAGCTAACATCATCAATACCAGCTAACATCATCACACACCTCGCCAAAGAGAAGCAGTTCCAGCCATCACGTTAGGGGCGAGTTAATTAAATGTTTGACCAAATATAACAGGCGAATTTTTAAGTTGATAATTTTGTACGGCCCGCGAATGATGTTAGAAATATCCAAATGGCCCTTGGCAGAAAAAAAAGGTTCCCCACCTCTGCGTTACAACATCACAATGCATTGTTGTGCGGCGTCTGTCGGCAGGCGAGGTGTGCTGAGCCAGCTGTGGGTGCTGCGAACAACTTAAACGGATTCCTGGGCTTGCTTGTAGTCAAACAAGCTGCCTCTTTCGGCAAAAGCTCTGGCTGGCTCACGCCCATGGGCGGCACGCGGCTCTTCGCCGCCGTCGTGGTCAGCGTTGGCTTCCAGCTTTCCGAAGCCGCCGCCTCCTGGTGTTTGCAGGCAGAACGTGTCCTGGGAAAAGGGGGGGAGGGTCCAACAACACCGCTGTTAATGCAAAAAGGTGCTGCGTGCGTGCATCGCCTTGCAGCGCTGCCTCAGGGCGAAATGCACTTACAGGTACGGGCCCGTTTTGTCAATCCACCGCTGGATGAGGGGCCTCCGCCACACCTTCAGGGCCATGAAGGATACTTGACCGCACTTCACGCGGTGCGATTTGGTGAAGGCGGGAGGGGAGGAGGGAAGAGCCACGGATTTTGACGCACTGCCACGCACTGCCCCACCACATCCTCCGACGGCACCTGTCGTCCACACTCGGCGGTTACCTGTGCAAGCGCTATCCCGCGGCTCTGAGGTGCGATGAAATTTTGTGCACTCTGGGGTGATTTGGTGATGGGCAAGGGGTGAAGTATATTATTGTACACACGTGTGAGGCGTGAACTGTGCTTCAATATATAAATTATATTCACGAGATTGTAATTGTTCAGTGTGGAGCGGTGGTACAGTGGTTAGAGCACTGCTGCAAAGCCAGCGAACCTGCGTTTTTATTTATGTACGTTCAACTTATTCTTGGTTCTTTCGGTAAAGTCGCGTAGAAGGGAAACAATAAAATTCTCACGACGTTTCGACTGCAACACAAGCAATCATCACCAGGTGTGAAAACCACAGCAAAAAAAAAACGCCACTTTTTTCAAATGTTCTTGCTGTGGTTTTAACACCTGATGATGATTGTTTGTGTTGCAGTCGAAACGTCGTGACAATTTTATTGTTTTATATTTTTATTAGTTTGTTGTTTCCCTTCTACGTGACTTTACCGAAAGAACCAAGAATATTAATGAATACCTGCAGTCACGAAAGCTTTAAATCAAAATTTATGTTCAACTTCTTTCCCGCTGTACGCAGCCAACCGTGCAATGCGGAAGTTTAATTCCTGGAAATGGCTCAGTGGCGAGTGATATCTGAACCGGTTTGGAACCCCATACATGGTGACCCATTGTTAAACCAGCCACACGACCAAAACGGTGTGGTGAGGCCTCCTTCCAAGAGGGGTATGGCAAAAGGGCTGAAATAAAAAAAAAACACTTTTAATGCTTTTGTACACAAATAACTGTCAAATGTACTTTTTTTAAAATGCTGCGTCATGCATGACTATTCAATAAAAAATGTGTATTGAGGCAAGGTCACTTAATGTTGTCAATGGAAAGACACGGCATTTTCATTATACCCATACACCTTGCAACACCACTGGCTCAGGTTATTTTTATAACAGCCCAAAAACACCTTAATCGAAAAAACCCAACACCTGAAGATGACATTTGATTTTCTTGCTGTTAAGGCTTCTCGCCTTATTACTAGTAGCGTCGCGAAAAGCCTGTTTTAAAAGCCTATTTCAGCATAAAGCAAATGAGCACGATTGTTGATTTTGCATGGATAGATCCTCGAGGCTTAAGTCTTCTATGTGCATAACGTGTCACGTTTATTTTGAGTGTTTCACGCCCTGCCGTGGTATGGATTCTCACAATGGTTGGTTGTTTGCCCATTGCAAATACTGCACCTGGCTCCGATAACTGCAGCGCGCACCGGTAACTACCGATATAGTTCAGATCTCATATAAAAGGGGTTCAGCTCCAAACGTTTTTTTACTTACTTTACTTACAGCTTTTCTATGGGAAACAAGTGAAAAAAACTCATAACTATATAAGGTTATTATTGCTTCCTTTACTACGGCATTGTTCACTAAGCGGTGCACATAAGCATACCACCGCTACACAAACTCATCGACGAACAACCTCAAAAGCAGACTCGCTCTTGCTTGCTGCGTCACACTTGAAATTGCTTTTAACGTTTAGCCAAGTTTGATGTGTTTTTAGTGGTTTTTACCGTTTGATGTTGTTTTTGCTGCTTTTTAAATTTTATGTAAAGTTGTCTGAGTATTCAGAAAAGCGCTCACAAATAAAATGTATAAATGCATTAAATGTTTCACTAGCCTCAATTTCTCGGGGTTTTCCCAAGGTTTTTCAGTCGTCATCTCACCGATTTTGAGCCCTTTGGGGGTTGACATGTCCTTGTGTGTGTGTGTGTGATCTCATCACTATATTTAAAATGCTCAAGTTCATTTCAAAGAACACCCATTCACCTCCAAAATGCAATCACCGTTGAGTTGAATAAGATCAGCAAATAAAATATCGGGCTTAACAACACAAAGGTGGGCTCACCAACAACTACCGTGATGCCCTGGCACTCGGTATTATGTGGATCACCACATTGCTTGCACGATGCTATCTGCCGCGTTTTAAAACTCGGTTGCAGCTGTTACTCTTACGGCTGCAATTTCCACGTCTCATCTGACCAACAGAGCACGTGTCCACCGGTGTGGTGACATTTTAAAGAGTACTTGTGGGGTGTAGGATTCTACCATTGCGTTGTATGAAACCCCCAGAGGCAAAACAGTTGGAAAGGGTCCAATAGAACCTTTTGTATTTTCAAAACAACAAGGGTGTAAGAGTAAGGGTGAGTTTCGGATTACATTTTGGAGTTATGCAAATTATCTTCCTGGGAACAACGGTGATGTCACGCGACGGGAAAGTGTGGAAGTGATGTCATATCAGTGATGTCGTGTCCAGTAAGAGGATCGATCCAAAACAAGAATGGTTTTGTTTCGGATCTCCTGATATTTCATATCTTGGCCTGATTTTCTTTTTATCAATATAAAAATCTGGAGCACATCCCCAGTATGCAGATGTCTGACAAGTAATTTTCAGCATTTTGTCAGGTTGGGGATCACTGTACAGATGCTACTTGTAATAGACCTGTCACACCAGATCCACTGCAATCCGTCTCACAACGTTCCGTAATTTTTCTGTTGATAAAAGTCACTGTTTTATCCGAATACTGTAAGTGCAATTTATTTGAAAACACATTGTTTGTAAAATCCATAGGCAAGATACAATCGTATACATTGTCCAAATAAAAAGATATCGGTATCCTACTCGTGAACAGGGATAAACAACGTTTGTATGTTTTGTTCAGTGAAAAGTGTTGCGAGTGATGGATTGCACTTCGCACCGCATTCACAATTAGACAACTCCTTGATTCTCCACTGATTGGAGGAGCAAGCCGCAAGCTCCCATGTGAAGCTGTTCATCCTCGCTTAATCGTGGAAAGCCCCGTGCCTGTCACTCATCTGCATTGCTGGTCAACGTTATTGTCATGACACTTGGGATCCCAATGCCAATGTTGTGTGTGGCCGTGTTATTGGAATTGCTTCCTGCAGAGAGTGTTGGCGGTGGAGATTCCTCACCCCGGGCTGCACGGACACGGAGGATTTGGCTTCCAGCTCGAGCCTCTCTCCGTTCGCCCGGATGAACCAGTTCCGTCCGGTCGCTCCAGGAGCTCCTCCTGCAGTCCCAATGGCACAACCAAAGTGAAAAACAATACAATTTGAATTTCATCGTCGTCGTCGTCGTTATCATCATAATCTGTTGGAATATAACTGATTCTTTGCAATTTATTGTATCACAAGGGAGGTGTATTGTTATTAGCTCTCTATCCACTGCTGGATGAAGGCCTCCCCAAAGCCATCACCATCTCATGGTCCTGCGATGCAACAAGCCATCGAGCGCCTGCTGCACACGAGCCGATCTCAAAGCTCTATGTACGAGGTGGACGTCCTCTCGGGGCATTTCATCTTTTCGCTGCCGCTGTCTTTGCCTTCGACATCATCGATTAGAGAACGTACGCAGGTTAACGACAAGTGGGCTTTGGGAGGGTACATCGTTTGAGCAACCACAACTCTCGACACCGTACAGAACACTGCGACATTGGGCATCCAGGGGAAAAAGAGGCATATGTAGAGTTTTTATTTGATCGAGAGACAGACCCTCAGTCACGGGCAGAGAACAAGGGGAAGGGGTCTTGAGCCTGGATTTGAACACGAGTGGCTATGGGGCCTGTAGAGGAGAATGAGCAACCACGCACAGTAATCGTCTACCAATAGCAAAATTCATTTTTTTGCTTATTTATGGACCAAATTTCTACAATACTTTGCCTTCTCTGTCTCTTTGTGCAGCAATTCAATGCTAGTTCTACGTATCGTTGCAGTACATTGTAAACATTTAACACGATGGAAGAAAACACCAGCAAACTGACTTCAATATTTATCACTATGCTTCCATAGTTATCGTGATAATAATTTACAGCACTTTGTCAGTCCACTGTTGGAAGAAGACCTCCACAATAATGGTGGTGGGGGGTCTCTTGTGACAATAACTCACCATGCTGATCAGTGCGGGCTGGTAAAGGGCATTCCATAAGTTCAGGTGTCATTCATCGCAAACAAAACTTCCGGCGGATACGATGGCACAACGGGTCACTACATAAGTATGTGGGTACGCGATATTTAATCGAGGGTCAACTATTTAGTTTAAGGCAATTCACGTGATCCAAACACACACACACGTATATATAAACTATGAAAGGAATTGTCTCAACATGCCATCGTTGTGAATGTGAAAACGGCTCATGTAAATGTCGAACTACAGTCCTCGGCATGTTTCGTTGGCATAACAATTCAACTCCAAAGATTTATGAATATATCTCAATTTTGGCTCGTGAAAGGATTTAATTTTGGCATTTTTTTGCCACCTCGTCAGTAACTTCTCATTTGTTATATAAATTAGGTGACGTTTCAGGCAATGGCCCTTCTTCGCAGCTTGCCCAAAACCTTGTCAATTATTTCTACTTTTTTTTTTTACTTTCAGGGGCAATGTTATGAACATGTCAATGCAGCATCACATTTTTTTTCATTTAATATACAAATGTTGTTGTAGCAGTGTTAAGATGTCCCGACTTATCGACTTAGTCGCCTTGGTGCGGAGGAGACGAGCTTGCCGTTGGAAATGACGCGGGCAGAGGGCAAAGGGCAAAGGGGGTAACAGCGCTCGTTGTACCGTTCAGCCCGTACGGCTCAAAGCTTCGGCGCTCTGTGAGCACGGAGAGCAGGAGGGGGCGGCGAAAGAGCAGCTCCCGCGTCACTCCATCGCCGCCAGAGTGCCGCCCCTTTCCCCCCGTCCCAGCGTTCAGTGCGAACTTCTGCAGCACGACGGGATACCTGGGCAGAAGCATTTGTTACTGGTTTGGAGATGCCATTTTGAGTTGGGGTTGCCACCTCTCAGGTAACAACAAATCTGGGACACACCGTGGGAGGAGTATATCTCGCATATCGGAAAGAAACTGTACAAACTATTTAAAACTATAAAAAATATATATTTTACCCGGTAAGACCCACTGAGCTCTTTGGCAGCGACCTGGCAGTTCATCACGTGGAAATTGTATAGCAGCCAAATACTCTTAAACGCACGTTTCTAGATCCGGAGGGAAAAACCGGAGGACCCGGAGAAAAGTCCACGCGACCAAGGGGAGAACATGCAAACTCCAAATAATATAAAGGCGTCAAGGGTCGGGATCGAACCCACGACCTCCAGTAAACCAGGCGAGGCAGTTGACATCTAAGAAGAGGGGCGAGTAACTACTACTTGAGTGGCGTATTACATCACAAACTGGCAAAAACCAGTGAATGTCAATGTCCCGGGAGGACTTATAGATGACATAAATCGATACAAATTCGAGACGCAGCTCTTCCACTCTAGATCGGTGCTTTTCTTTCCATGCCGCCGCGGCGACGGCAGAGGGGAAAGTGGGGCGGGTGAGGCGGTGCTGAGGAGTGCACCTCTTCTCCAGGATCTCGGGGTCCGTGATGCGGGTGTTGGTCATATGGGTGTGGACCCCGCTGCGGCCGCTCCAGTGCGGGCCGGCGCCAGCGCCACCCGCCACCGTCTCGTAGTAGCCGACCTCCTCATCTCCAAACGTGATGTTGTTCATGCAGCCCTGGAAAGGACATTGGCGACACCGTACAGCAGACTTCCGTTTATACCAGAGAAGCAGAACCTTTTCCTTCCATCATCGTCGTCGCCATCATCAACGATTATCTTAAATCTTAATGAGATTAAGGCCTCTCAGCTCACCGTTTGACAATGTAACAACCGCACCGTCGATTAGCACGGTTGGCGACGTACGGTGCGAAATAAGTTAAACATACACACGTACAGACAACACACCTAGCACCTATACACAAGCTGATTTCATCACTCCATCTTCAGGACATTTAAATACCTTTGGCAGTTCACACAGTAACAAGCACCTTACAATAATAAAGTGTTGTAAAATAATGTACAAGTCGACCGAGTATAACAAAACCATTGCAGTGACAGAAGTGATTAAGCGCACTCAAAGCAGAGTTCGAAAATATTCCTCTATAATACCAGAGTAGTGCGACCAAGATGCCTGCAGTGGCAGATAAATATTGTTTACGGGTTGTTTCAAGTGGTAGGTCTCATCGTGTGGCCTCAGGCCATATGAAATCAAAGTCAGAGGCTCGACTTGGCCTGCGTGCCATGAATTTCGCACCCCTGGTTAATATTGCATGTTACCATATTCACAGGATGCACTTTTCCCCATATATTTTAAAGTAAAAGTTGGGGGTGTGCGTCTTACATTTCAGTACATGCATATGTGTGACCATGTTTGTAAAACTTCATTGAAAGCAGGTATGCATTAAGGATGCGTCTTACTTTCCAGTGTCTTATAATTTGGAGAATATGTAAAGTTAAAATGTAACCATGTGCAGTGTTCACGTTTTGTGGCAATGCATTTCCCATTGTGCATCTGTGAAAAGAGCTTCATAGATCACCAGATCTTTCCAGTCTAAACAAAGATTCTGATTCATGGTGGAGAACTTCTTTCGCAACGTACGTAAGCCAACAGTGCTAATCGGAGGTATGGAAAAAAACATGTAAAACAATTGCCCATCGCCGTATCTCTCTCTCTCCTCTCCACCCACCTGCGACGCAGCGCACACAGAGAAGGCTCGGAAGATAACGTCGACGATGCGCTGAGACGTCAGGACGTTCCCTCCCACCACGGCGGCACCCAGAGAGGGCGACAGTATGGAGCCCTCCGGGATCACCACCCTCACAGGGAACAGGCAGCCCTGCCGCCCGGTGGACACGCACAGTGGTGGGGGCAACACACGGTGCAACCCGGAAACACATTAGAGAGCTTGGTTAACTTTGTCCAACTCAACTATTTGTATTTTACCAGGTAAGGCCCACACTGAGGTGTATAGCTCTTTTTTAGAAGCGAGCTGGCCACAAATGACAGCTCAACGTGTGGAAATGTATAGCAGCGACAATACTCTTAAACGCACGTTGATTCTAAATGGGCAATGCTTGGGCAATGTCAAGCTGTACAGACCTGATTTAGAGGAATGTCCTGTCCCACCATGGAACGCAGGCAGTATATGAGTGCGGAGAGCGTGATGGCACGAGGAGCATTACAATTGCCCTTCACCTCTGGACCGGTCCCTGTGAAATCAAAGACTGCACTACCCTGCAGGGCATGCAATTGTGACGAGTTTAAAGGCAACAAGAATTAACCGAGCTATAGCAATAGGTTTTTACCCGTTTATCTGGCACAAAAACTGACACCTTTATACAAGGGATCGTGTTTGCAATAACCACAACACAAGTAGTCAAAATGGAAACAAAAAAGACAACTCTGATAATAATATGCACTGCCCTTGAATTTGATTGGTCCACACCCGAGACGGCTTTTCTTAGAGCCCAGTCTCCACTGGTGTTGGACCAGAAGACGCCAAAAGGCGTACAACTCAAAAACAGCGCACCATCAGAGTATTGAGAGCTCGGGGTAAGCACTTACATTATGAGACCTCCTTTGCCAGTAACAAGATATAGTAATAAGTTTTTACCCTTTTATCTGGCACAAAAACCGACACCATTATCAGAGTTGTCTTTTTTGTTTGCATTTTGACTACTTGTGTTGTGGTTATTGCAAACATGATCCCTTGTATAAAGGTGTCAGTTTTGGTGCCAGATAAAAGGGTAAAAACCTATTACTATATCTTGCTACAGGCAAAGGAGGTCTCATAATGTAAATAAACCGAGCGTTAGAGGAGTGGGGGGGTGAGCTCAATTTGTCAATGCGCCCTGACACCAGTTCTGTTTTAATGTTTGAAGAAGTCAATGTGTCTGTTTCTTCTTGAAGCATTCCAAAGAAATGACGTAAATAACAAAGGCTTTGGGTACTAAGCGAAATACAAAGATTGTGAAATGCAACACTAATAATTAAATAAATTATTGCTATGTTGGCGGGGGGATGTCTTAAGATATTTTTTTTATAATCCACATAAGAGATGATAATGTTAAATGAATCACACTGGCTTGATTAAAACACATGAACACACACTTTGGATAGTTTCGTTGTATCACCACCTACAGTGAGGGAAAAAAAAATTTGATCCCCTGCTGATTTTGTACGTTTGCCCACTGACAACAAAAATTATCAGTCTATAATTTTAATGGTAGGTTTATTTGAACAGTGAGAGACAGAATAACAACAAAATCCAGAAAAACGCATGTCAAAAATGTTATAAATTGATTTGCATTTTAATGAGGGAAATAAGTATTTGACCCCCTCTCAATCAGAAAGATTTCTGGCTCCCAGGTGTCTTTTATACAGGTAACGAGCTGAGATTAGGAGCACACTCTTAAAGGGAGTGCTCCTAGTCTCAGCTTGTTACCTGTATAAAAGACACCTGTCCACAGAAGCAATCAATCAATCAGATTCCAAACTCTCCACCATGGCCCAGACCAAAGAGCTCTCCAAGGATGTCAGGGACAAGATTGTAGACCTACACAAGGCTGGAATGGGCTACAAGACCATTGCCAAGCAGCTTGGTGAGAAGGTGACAACAGTTGGTGCGATTATTCGCAAATGGAACAGACATTTGCACCACAAATGTAATAATTCACTCAAGCCACGCACTTAACATTCATATTCACAAACAAAAACCTTACTTCCTACACAATGGGTTTTCGTCCCAAATTTGCCAGGGCACGCCTCATTTCCATTTTAAATTTCCACAAGCGTGCATGACTTATATTCTTGGTTCTCTCGGTAAAGTCACGTAGAAGGGAAACAATCAAATACAAATATAAAACAATAAAATTATCACGACGTTTCGACTGCAACACGAGCAATCATCATCAAATGTTTCTTGCTGTGGTTTTCACACCTGATGATGATTGCTTGTGTTGCAGTCGAAACGTCGTGATAATTTTATTGTTTTATATTATTCTTTTATTGTTTCCCTTCTAAGTGACTTTACCGAAAGAACCAAGAATATGAATCCCTGCAGTCACGAAAGCTTTAAATCGTGCATGACTTGTTTCAGTCGAGTCCATGCTGCACGCACTTTTCTGTTCATCGTAACGTATTTCACCTCTGCATTGTATGGTAGCACTCACACATACATGGTTGAAGACACCTTCAACTCTTGTATGGCGGTGTGATGTACTGCCATTGTGGAGATTCCCAGATTTGTGTAAGCAAATATACATATATATCACAAGCAGGCCACACCTTCATTAGTGAGGATCACTAACATCTGCATTGCCAGAGCTGAATGCTTTAAGGCCATGTTACATGAAGGGTAAAAATCACTGGCTACAAACCCTGTTTACTCTGATGCATCATTATGGCACAGAGATCTCTCTATGGGGCCAAACGGTAATTGGTCTAGAGCACACAAACTTGGGTAGTCATGTGACCCCTGTCTATCATCTGAATGGAAGTTTCCATCCCATGTATCCACTAAGGGGAACAGCAATGAACTTCCCCCACACATGGAAAAACATTTTTTTTGTTACAATAAAAAGTGGCGCGGCAAATATCGCCGGTGACGATTGCCCTCGCGTATCACGGCCTTCACAGGCAGGCGAACAACAAATAAATGTCTACGCAGAGCGGCGCAGCACTCACATCGGCAGGGTTGATCTCCACCGACAGACGGATAGGCGTTCCATCATCCATATGGTCCTCGGCTTCCACCCGAAGGGGCCCCTCATTGCCGGGAGCCAAGAGACCGAGCGCAAACTCCTTGAGCATTTGCCTGACCGCCACCTCTGCATTGTTCTGTAGGGCAAATGATTAAGAGTAAAAACAAAGGAGACATAAGCTGGGGTCGGAAATTTAACTCAAGTTGCTGGGTTTGTAGCATAGAATGTGAACCACTGCGCCAGCACTCCCAACTGTCGACTAAATGGGCCAGCCACATGCACATACATGATAAACATACTGTATGGTTCCGTGTACTGTATCACACTGCTCAGCCATACAGCTCAAGAAAGTAGTTTTTGTTGTCGACCGCTCAGATAACCGCGTTGTAGCGGGCATGTTCCGCGTTATGAAACAAACGCTAAGGGAGGACTTACCATCTTAATTATTATTATTACGCTTGTTTACCCAGGAAAGCCTCGCTGAGTCTCATTACTCTTTTTCAGGAGACCCTTGCCAAGTTTTTGTAATGGAGGGGGCGATGTTTGCTATATATATCAAAATTGGGTAATTTGTGGTTAACTTACAAATTTGGATCATGACAACGGCAAACATTGGCCTACTGTTGCCAATGACGCCACGGTGTAATTTAACATTCACTGCGAAGCAAACAGCGTTCATTGTTTTTTTACGTTTAATGAACACCACAGTAATAACCGGGGCGGCTGTTGGATTAGAGCCGTGTGCATCTGCAACAAGCAGCAAATGCTTGGCATGCTTGCAGAGCAGGAGCCGACAAAATAATAATACGCGTGGTACAATAGCACTGGGTGGAGTGGTACGGGTTTGATTCTCGGCCAAGGCTTACATTAGTGCCGAGTGATTTTTGAAGCCGTCCTGGAACTTTTGCCAAATGAGATGAAAAACACATTTCACGTGATGCCTGTGCGCAGTCATTGCATAATGCCGTGAGGCTATTAACCCGCAAGACCTCAGTTTAATGATTAATTAGTGGTTGCCAGGGCAGTGCTCTGGATCATAAGCCACCAGACCACCTCACCAGGTTTGTACATTTAACTGTCGAATTCAATTATGAACTTATGTGTAAATGGTTCCTGATGTTTTTACCGTTGTATTGATTTGTTGGTACTCTGTATTGCTTTTTATGAGGGTCTCCTGTCTCATTTGCATATCACCTGGTTAAAAATGACTTATTGATACATTTATAGTTAACAAAGGCCTATCTTGACAGACCATAGGAAAGCTATGGATACTTACCTACATTCACAAAGTATGGACCAAGTAAACTAAATCCAAAAAGGTCCAAATTTTGAACACCAAAGTGAAAAACAAAATATCTTTTGGTAAGGTCTATAATGCTGCGTACATCCCTTTATTAAGCCACCGCTGGATGAAGGCCTCTCCATGACCCTTGCGGGGGTTTATGTGCATGCCTCTACCTGACCGTGCTGGTCGCTGCCGGTTGGTGAACGGAGTGCCCTGGGACTGGTTGCAAATATCGCCCGCGGCTGGGGCGCAGGTCGCCGTTCAGCCGGTCTTGCCTGTATGTGCTGCATGTAGGCCTGCACGGTGGCCAGGCCGTACGCGTCCATGAGCTGTCCGACGAGCGCAATGCCGCGGGTGTTGGCGGCCACCTGGGCGCGCAGGTCCGACAGGTTGTCCTGCAGGTTGCGCGTGCCGCTGCTGCCGGGCACGAGGCTGGGAGCCACGAGCGCTTCGGTCACCGCTTGAGTGTTAAGAGAGGAGGGCGCGTGGGCAATCACTCGGCTCGAGACGTCTCTTGTACAACTTTTGCCAAAATCGTCAAGCGGGGGGGGGGGGGGGGGGGGGGGCAAGTGCTGTTTGTGAGTATGGAGTAACCAGAATCATTCTGCACGTTTTGGTATTTGCGCCGTTGTTTATTGCACAAGGCGATCGCGGAGGCGCTAAGTTTCACGCAGTCTGCGGTCACTGTACAGGATGGGGTGATGTTGCAGTTGACTAGCTTGCAGGTAAATATTTTTTTTCCATGGCTCTCAACAGGTGTAGAGACAATGGCCTATTGTTTTTAAATGACTTCACAGGACCTTTAAGTTAATACATCTACAGTATTAACCAGAGTGGCCTGCAGGGGATGGATCACGAACCTCTGCAACAAGTGACGAATGTGATATTACAGCCCCATGTGCCAATTAAAGCCAGCAACTGGGAACGTTGCTGGCTTTGATAGGCACTTGGGGCCCATTGTCTTCTCAGAGCTGATGTTTACAGATTACACTGGGTACTCATATATGACAGTCAGCCTAGGGGAGGTGCCAGAAAAAGTTACTACTTGCCACTGATGTTGGCTGTGAGGGTTTGTAGAAGTATGTTTACCACAGTGCTACTGCTCCCCACTGCTATCTACTGGGTCACCCACACATACAGATGCAGTCAAATGCACTCTTGTAATAGGCTGGGCCAGTCAGCCAGTGTTCTCATGGCATCACGAATTGGCCAAACCAATCCAATGGAGTTCCATCATCAGACCTTAGAGCCTGGCTGATCCAGAAACCAGTTGTGAAATCACTCATATGGAACAGAGTGGGACAGTCCAAGCCCACGGAGCCTCATGGCTAATCAGGCATGGAGACACGACCTCAGAACATGTGGCCATTCCTGATCCAGTACTGGACAGTTCTTGGGCCAGCAGTGCCCGGCATCAGTAGTTGTGCAAACAAGGAGTGTGTCTGTCCATCAGTCTGTTGGTGGCTGCACCGATAGAAGAATCACAGGCACCGCCTGCTCCACACCTTCCTCCTGGAAGATGCCATCCTTCACGAGCTTGAAGGAGATGAACACAGCCCCCTCCTGCTGCAGCGTGGTGGAATTTGGTGGCATTGAGCCCGGTGTGATGCCCCCGATGTCTGCGTGGTGCCCGCGGCTCGCCACGAAAAACACAGGCCGATCCACGCCTGCCCGGAACACCTGTCACCGCACGACACAAACACCCCTTGTCCACTGGCACATCTGAGCCGAGCCAGTGCAGGACCCTGCTGGCATGGGTGCTTTTCCGCTAGATATTGTGCTGAGCCATAACCAAACCGTAATACAATGGACCTCAAAAGGCATCTGAATCTGGCCCCTGGGCCAAGCAGGGCCAGCACTTACTGGGGTTATGACGGTGAGATCAGGCAGGTGGCTCCCTCCAGCACACGGGTGGTTGCTCAAGATCACGTCGCCTTCTTTGATATCATCTCCCAGGTTTCTGATCTGAAGTGCAGGGCAAGCCACGAGAACACACCAGCATAGGGAACATACAGGACAATACCACTACAGGTTATGGCATCTTTGCAGACATATCTGTATAAATATCATCATGATCATGATCACTGTAGGGACACCCTGCTGATGCCCCTGCAGTGATCCTTTTTTCAATCAGCAGGCCAAAGGGCAACTCACTTTAGTGTCTATATACGAGTCGCTAATTTATTTTTTTACATTTCAGAATAATTCGACGTGCAACATACTTATCGCAGGTTATTTACATTAGCAACCTTTAATGTCTGTATACGAGCCGGTATTTTTTTTCCTTTTTTCCGTCTGGTGTCCGCAGCATCCCTGCTCACACAACGAGAGCACAACCGCTCCCTCAAGCTCTGCTGCCCATTTCTACATCGGCGGATTAAGTCGGGATGTGGCGAGGCCGGCCGTACCTGGTACTGCACCGTCTCCTGCATGGCACCCAGGTGCACGGGGATGTGGGGGGCGTTCGAGACGAGCCCCCCCTCGGGTCCGAAGAGGGCGCACGAGAAGTCCAGGCGCTCCTTGATGTTGGTGGAGATGGCCGTGCGCTGCAGAATGCGTCCCATCTGCTCTGTGGTGGGAATGTAAATTCTCGTGTTATAATCATTTCAGCTTGCAACACGCCACAATGCATTAGTTCAACGCTGACGAGAGAGAACGACTCGAGGAGGCCGGGGTGGGGAGAACCGCAAGCAAGCGGGAAAGACAGCCAGGCAGTGAGCCGGCGATGACAATGTGCCTTGTGAGATTTTTATACCACTTTTCCACTCTTCCACTGTACAACTAAGCTGACCAGGGCTGTCCAAAGATGGAGCACACAGCCCAAGAGGCGCGTGGGGCAGGAAACATGGAAGTGGAGTAACAGGGGTTTAATGATTCACGTTCCCCCTCTCAATTCAACAGATTTTCGCGATTCAGCGTAGCGATTCAATTAAAAACATTTTTTTTTGTTACAATACGGTGAATGTAGTGGCCTGTAGCAGATCGAACAGGAGTCACGTAAACACAGTACTGTACATGAATCGAACAACAATGACTTTTATCTGCACAATTCAATGCACACACACACTCACATCATCATCCTGTTTTGTAGTACGACTCTTACCCAAATGCTTTGCATATTTTAAACACGTTTTATTCGTAATTTAAAGATATTTTTTAAGAAAAGGTATTTTATCATACAGCGCGTTACTCAGCTACCAAAAACTGTAATTTTCTCCGGATGTTCAAACGTGCCGTGCCTTCGCATGCCATGTGGCTCAAAAAATGCCCAGACGTGACTCTGCACCATCTCGCTTGACCCTGCACGACCCCAAATTATCCCATGTGATATTCTTAGTTCTTTCGGTAAAGTCACGTTTAAGGGAAACAACAAAATAATAAAATATATATAAAACAATAAATATTTTATTATTTTGTTGTTTCCCTTAAACGTGACTTTACCGAAAGAACTAAGAATATGAATTACTGCAGTCACGAAAGCTTTAAATCAAAAGATCCCATGTGACTGAATGTGTTCCCGCAAGACCCCATATGACCCCTGCACGGCCGCACGTGACCCCGCATGACCCCGCACGTGACCCCTGCGTGACCCCACCGGCGATGCTCATGAAACGGTGCGAGAAGATGGAGAGCTGGACAGCGTCGAGGCGCGGCCCCACCGTGCAGGGCGAGGCGCGGCCCACGGCCACACGGACGTCCCCGTGCTCCGTCACGCTCGCTGTGCAGCCCGGCTCCACCAGGACGGTGCTGCGGGCGGGAAAAAACGCGCGGGGGTTTACAAAAACTAAAAATTTTGATTTAAAGCTTTCGTGACTGCAGTAATTCATATTCTTAGTTTTTTTTTTTTTACCGAAAAAACTAAGAATATAAAAACTAAAAACTTTTTTTCTTATCAGGCAAGGCCCACTGGGCGGCGTAGCTTTTTTTCAGAAGCGACCTGGCTATCACAAATGATAGCGCAACGAAAGTGGCTTATCATCACGTGGCAACGTTTAGCAGCCGAGTAACTCTCAACGCATGTTCATTCTAAATGTGCAGGGAACCATCGAGAAAAAATCCACGCGACCACGGGGAGAGAACACGCAAACTCCAAATATTCAACAGACGTCAAGGGTTGGGATCGAACCCACTACCTCCTCCTTACCAGGCGAGGCAGATAACATCTTACAATCGAACGTGAACTAATTGCGACGTGCGCTTTAATAGCAAGGGCCCTTTGGCAGATCCTATGAGATTTGCGAAACGCACAAACCCACTGGCACGCAAGATTGTTAGGTGGCGGCAGTACAGCAAGTGGGTTTGTGAAAACCATCTGTGGGAACCTCTGAGCGTTATCCCCTCTTTTGGGTGGGCTTCTCCAGATACCCCCATTTCTTCTGACAAATATGAACATGATTCCTTGTAAAAGGTTTCAGCTTGGTGTTTTAACATCTTGAAACCTGTTTTGTTGCCAGAAAAAAGGATAAAACCTACTTTCATATTTTGGTACTGGCAAAGGAGGTCCCATGATGTAAATATGAACATAGTAAATGGGATAGAAAAAAACACCCCAAAGTTAGATCAAGGTGCGCACATGCAATTATTTGCTTAAGCCACTGCTGGCGGAAGGGCCTCCACTCGATAAACCTAAATCTCTTGTGTATTTTGGCCTACCCTTCCATGCTGGCCAGACAGCTTGGAACTATTCATACTATACCACACCACACCGAACTTCCAAACAATGATAGCTGTGGCCTACCCATTTATACTGCCGCTTGGATATGCAAGTCCAGTGTGCGCACCATCACACCATGCCAGCAATGCCACGATTACAGAGGAGACCACAACTGCCGCTTCCACGTGCACCCGAGGGCATGCTAGCTGCCCGCACCTGTTGTTGTCGATGATGATGGCGGGGCCTGGGATAGATTGCTGGCTCATCAGCTCCTCCAGCAGGTACACGCCTGTGTCCAGGTAACCCTCTTCAAAGTAGCAACGCGTCACCTGTACGACACGACCACCAACGAGGGACGCAGCATCACTCGGCGTTAACACAGGAGCGTAGTGGAACACCACACGCAATGCAGCGACAGGGCTTTAATCGGTCAGGTCCATGGAGCTATGGAGGTCGGGATAAGAATGAAAAACACGAGACAGTAAACATGAGATGAAGAAATGATTCTCCGATCATGACCGTGAATCGTAACAATTCACATAAACAGAGGATGAGCTTTTACGTGATTATTCATTATTGTGTGGACCTGCGACAGGGGTCACGGGCGGCAGACGCAACTTGCCTTCCTGAGAGGCGGCGGTTCCTTGCTGGCAGGAAGTTCGGGCTCCATGTGGATGCCACTCTTGCCGACCCCACGCACCCTTACATCGTCCACCACCACCGCACGCCCAGGGATCGTGAAGCCAAACTCCAGCTTGTACCTGCGGCAGGTGATAGACCGCTCTCGAGACGTGGGTGCAAATGCCACCCCCCCCACCTCGCCCCCCATTCCCGTCTTGATGTACCTCTCCGATGTGATTTCGGGTTGAAACCCCATGTTGTTGGGCAAGATGTCTCGACATTTCGCTCCACATGCTGAATTTTTTTGAAAACCAAATTGAATTGAAGAAGCTCCCAGCAGCACATGGAGAAAACATGAACTACTATTTGTTTTTTTTACCACGTAAGGCCCACTGAGCTATATAGCTCTTTTTCAGAAGTGACCTGGTCATAAATGATAGCCCAATGAAGTGGCTAATCATGTGGAAATGTATTGCGGCCAAATACTCTGAACGCATGTTGATTATAAATGTGGAGGGAAAAACTGGAGGACCCGGAGAAAATATTCCACACGACTACGGGGAGAATGTGCAAACTCCAAATTTTCAGGCATTAGGGTCAGGATCGAACCCACAAACTCCTGTATACCAGGTGAGGTAGTTAACATCTTGCCACCTTGGCACAACCAAAAGCATTGGCCATCATGCCGAACAACACGCGGTACAACAAATAACACTTTGGAGAGTTACACAGCACAACGACGAAAAACCTTAACAGAAATTCTCCGTTTATGCTCCACAAATGTTACATCTCCCACGACCGAGGGCTGCCAATGAAAATGAAGGTCTGATAGTGTACCGTTGCGTGAAGGCCTCAAGAAAGTCTCCGTAGCTACAAGAGGCCTCGTTTCCAGGGAAACCGCAGGCAGAGCACATGATAGCGCAGTCGGTCCGCTCGTAGCGCATGTGCAGGAACACCTCCGTGTGGATCTGGGACCTGAAGAGGGAGCAATACCAGGTTAGCAGTGAATAGAAACACATGCAACATTTTCCCGATCAATGATAAGAAGGCTCAGCAGCCCGGCAATGACAATTCAGAATCAAAATGAATCAGAATCTTTACTTAGACTGGACGAATTCTGGATCGACAGCATGGCTCTAATCCTTGTCTCCAGACGTTTTGAGTTACGAAACTCCCTGGGCTTAGTTCATCCCACTCCATCTCTCCCACCATGGTCTTTTTACGTAGACAAATTTAATTACAAAACCAGCGATTGTAATGTCCTATCGGTTCATTATTTAACAAACATCAGGCCTGCAGTGTTCTTTACAGCATTCAATGGTGCTCATTGCTGGAGGTCCCACTGCAGAAATGCCACGTTCATATGGTGGTAATATATCTCCACAGGACATCTTCCCACTGAATGCTGAAGCCCCATTGATTAGTACCACTTTTACAAACCCCTGAAGAGATTAGCAATCAGGATATTCCAATTATTGTTGGACATCTGTGGCCATAATGCATAAACTACCTCGCCTAGTATGGAGGTTGTGGGTTCGATCCCAACTCTTACACCTGTATATTTAGAGTTTGCGTGTTCTCTCCCCGTGGTCGCGTGGATTTTTATCTCCGGGTCCTCCGGTTGTTCCCTCCACATTTAGAAACACGCATTTATAGAGCATTTGGCTGCTTTACATTTCCACATGATGAAAAGCTGCTTTGTTGAACTACCATTTCCGGCCAGGTCACTTCTGAAAAAGAGCCATCCAGCTCAGTGGGCCTTACCTGGCAAAATAAAAAAGTTTAGTTTAGTTTCATAGTAAATTTACCGGGCGAAGCCCTGAGACCGCAGCTCCTGCACGCAACGCTGATCGAGCGCTGTGATCCTTTCCTCCAAGCGTCGGAAGGCGGGCGGTCCGTACACGAGAGCACTCGGCTCCTGGCACTCGTGCACCACGTCCGCCAGCGCCATGCCGTACGCGGACAGGATGCCAGAATACCTTTGAAGCGGTGTGGGCGAAAGGATGCGGGCGCGCGTGTGCAACGGTAATAACTGGGGAGCACGCTTAACAGGTGAACACGCAGCGTCAGTGAAGCGCAGTTGATGTACAAATATAAACCATTGCAACATTACCAGTGACAATTTACACATCAGGACGATCACATGAACCCGAGTGTACTGAAAGTAACAATAATGCCCTTTGTGTGTTCAGTGACGCTGCACTTAAGTCTCTGCATTGGGATATCTGGCCAATTTCATTGATGTTTGGAATGTTGGGAGGAAATGGGAATATCTGAAGAATACCCATGGCTTTGAGGAGGTAGCACCCAAAGCTTTAAACAAAATTCAATCCACTTGCTGTACTGCCATCTGCTGTCCACCTCGCAGCCCAGCAGGTTTGAGTTTCTCAAACATGTCTGCGAACCACCCAACCCTCATGCATGTTGAACTTCCTTCGCTATCGTACGTAGCCAACCGTGCTAATCGGAGGTGCGGGTTCGTAAGAGCTACGGAATGTCCCGAGTGTCGCGCCTCTATTTCTGCTGGTGCAGGCCACTGACTTGTGAATGAAGACTGTGCTCATGCCGAGGGCGCGCGCAATGGCACAGGCGTGCTGTCCTCCTGCGCCGCCGAAACATGCCAGCACGTGCTGGGAGGTGTCGTGACCCTTTGCCTAGCACAGCAACACAAAGGCCCCCGGGACAACATTGTCGGCACTGGGCACCAGCCACCCAAAGGCAAACATTCAAATGCATTCACAAGGCATGGTGTGATGCTCGAGATAAACATTCGTTTGGGTTGGTTTTAAGGCGTTTTTCGCTTCAGCAAAGTGTACTGGCTTTAAAGGTTTTGATAAGGAAGCGAATAGTGGGTGTACATTAACAAGTCAAGTCGACTCATTTTTGTTTAACCAAGTGAGAATTGGAGAGAACAGTATAGAGTCTTGTTTGCAAGTGACCTGGGTCAACAAACTGACAAAAGAAAAATAAAGTAAAACAATGAAGCAAACAAATCAGAACAAAATAACGGTCACATGAGAAATCGGAACTATTGTACGAACATAAATCAACGTAAAATAATAAATTCCCCGTAACTCAAGTCCACTCACCAGTTGATTTTTCGACTGATCATTATACAATTACGTAAAATTTTTACATATCACTACAATAGACACTATCCGTTAACAGATTATACATGTCAAATGCAATTGCAAGCGAATTTTATCATGAAGATTCAACAGCTTAGTATCCTATTGTGATTTAGATGCGAGCGCAATCCAGGGCATTTTGGAAGCGATGGAATTCCAGGTGTTTGGGGCATTAACAGAGAATGAGTGAGAACCACGTTTGTTTTTTGTACAATTCTGCCTAGTGCTGTGGGGTGAACCTTGAAGCCACATGGTTCTCGAAACCACATGTTAAAAGAAAATAAAAAAACACATTTCTGCATGTGGCGATGAGTTTTCAGGGTCCTTTCAAGAATAAAATATTTATTTTTAACTTTGTGACGAAACAGTCTGTAGTCGCTTGTAGGGGTGATGTGAATCCATGACATAGATGTACAAACAAAAATGACTGTTAAATGCGATTCGATGCATGTGTATCGTGAGCATGAGAATCAATATTAATGGGTGATTCGACACATAGTGGCACATTTAACCATCAAACATTGGTGACATCAGGGGCATTGCACCCAACAATGGTTGCAAGCGCCATCTTATCAATGGCAAGCAAAAAACCTGAAAAAATCTCAAGTACAAATTGTCTTTTTTTAATGTAATCCCCGACGGTACCTGTGTGAGTGCCCGGATGGGGCGACACATGGCCTCATTTGCCACTCGAATGAAACCCATGGCCACCTCCTCCACACTCATGTTGTCGGGGGGCGCCTGCGAACTCCCAGACGCCTGTGCAGCCAGGAAGTCGTTCACGCCCGCCGTCATTTTCGCAAATGCGGTCCATGTCTCTTTCTTGCCCAGAGGCTCCGTCTCATCCGGTCCAAAAATTTTGGGAAAGAACTCCGGGAGCAGCCGACCCAGGCACAGGTTTGCGTCGGTCACGGTGAGCGGCCCACCTGGTTTCCAGGGGAACAACAGTTGCCCCTTGTCTGACCAGGCCATGCTGGGGGCCGTGTTGAGTCAGCCCAACATGTAGTTTGCTGCATTGCCCTCTGCTGCCCACACCATAGCCCCGCAGCAGCCTATAACACCTGTTCTTAATGCATGATGGTGTCCCATCGAAACACTATCCAGGCTCAACTCTGCTCAGCGTCTCAAATCTGATTAAACATGGTGCATTATGGGTTATTTGATCATAGCCTTACAAGAAGTAGTTCATTCCAAAATAATCCTCAATATTCTGCTTTTCAGAAATTTACTGCAGGTAATTGTCAGCGACATTGTGTTACACCTTTCCCAATGGGACACTTTGTACTATGTATTTTTTTGGATCGTTTCTCGTCGTAGCTTTGCTGACCCGCCCCTACCGTGCATCTGTGAAAAAAGAACTTCATAGCTCATCGGATTCCTCCAGTCTAAATAAAGATTCTGATTCTAATTGCTTTTGTTCCTACATCGGACAATGCTCTCTCACCTTTTTTGTAGCAAGTTGGGCCAGGGTGAGCGCCAGCCGACTCCGGACCAACCACGAACATGCCAGCCCTGGAGGAGCATTTGTCACACATGGCATGTGCACAATGTCCGTGAGCAAGCTGCAGGGTTCATATTTACGAGCTCCATTGACGGAACCATAATTTGCGTTGCCAAAAGAATATGAACACATCAAGCAATATATCCTTTCCACATTTCTATCACCTTCAATCCCAGTGGTGTAGTAGCATGGGTGGCATGGGCCCTGGTGCAAGGAATTATATTGAGGCCCCCCTGTTCAATATCCCTTCTCTCTTCGTGGCTCACCTCCTTGGCCCCTCTGGCCCATGAGCCCCAGTGCAATTTCGCCACCCGCACTCGATAACCATGCCACAGCAAAAGCCTCACTACGTTTTTTTTATTTCTTCTGTCTGTTTTCAGGTCAATTAAAAATGTAAACGACAAACTGCGTCATCTTTCACTTGGTCATGATCGACGGGGAAAGGTTTACCTTATGCCGCCCGACAATTCAAGTTAAGCAAGTAAAGTTACGCTGCCAAAACAGATGTAGTTTCAACTTCTTTCGCACCGTCCGTAGCCCAACAGCGCTAATCGGAGGTGGGGGGGGGGGGAAGGACACCAAAGTCGACACTAAAAGCAGTTATTATATCACACCTGAAGAACAGAATGGAGCCGCCACCCGCTGCCACTGTGTTGATGTCGAGCTGCGGTGCCTGGATCGTCACCCCTGCCGTGGTCGTCTCAAAAACGTGCTCGTACGAGCCGGCAAATCGACTCACGTCCGTCGATGTACCTGCGCAAAATACTAGACATGCAACGGCGATGCTAGACACGCAACGATGTGGCTAGCTATGCAACGACGTTGTGAGGCATGCAACGACAATGCTAGACATGCAACGGCGATGCTAGACATGCAACGATGTGGCTAGCTATGCAACGACGTTGTGAGGCATGCAACAGTGATGCTAGGCATCCAACGACGATAGTAGGCATGCAACAATGTGGCTAGCTATGCAACGACGTTGAGGCATGCAACAGTGATGCTAGGCATCCAACGATGATAGTAGGCATGCAACGATGTGGCTAGCTATGCAACGACGTTGTGAGGCATGCAACAGTGATGCTAGGCATCTAACGACGATAGTAGGCATGCAACGATGTGGCTAGGCATGTAATGACGCATCGATTCATCAACTAAAATCTATTCCTAAGCTCACGGCACATGCATTAAATAATTCCTTACGAGAATGATATATTTATTATTTATGTAAAGTACTGTATATGCATATATCTCCTGTTACATTTATGGCAGTGAAGCAAAACTGTAAACTCAGAACAGAACACCTAGAAATATAAATGATACAGAAATCATGAAACCAAATATGATTATTGAATCAAATAGCCAACCTAACGCATGACAATTGATCAAATCTTATCTTAGATAGCACCTTATTCCAAGGCACCAGGAGATTCATTATTACAAGTCTAACAACTATACTCTGAAAAGCCAAGTTATTCACAGCCAAGTGTATTCCATATACTTGGGCCACTTGCAGGGGCGGAGCAAGGATTTTGACTTTGGGGGGGCTGACTTCAATGTTCTGAGATATCCAGTGTATGTTTTCCAATGGGCGCCACAAATCTATAATTATTTTTTATTATATTTGAACGCGGAGTTTATTAATAGGTCGGAGCCGCTGATGTGGTTAATAAGTTCGAAAGGCTGCCGCTCAAGCAGCCTGCAGGGCAGCACAAGGTGGCAGCCTGCAGCATTTTGCAGCAGCCGGATATCCGGTTATCCCGATTACCGACTCTCCCAGAATTTCAGCGGGGGCTGAGCCCCCCCCCCCAGCCCCCACTGTGGCTCCGCCCCTGGGCACTTGGCAGTACTCAGCCAAATTCACGCGAAATAAAGTTAGCCGTTTACTTTTTGCAACGTCTCAAAACGCGAGATCTTTTTTCTTTCTTAAATCGCATCCGACACGCCGCCGTATTTGCAATTCTATCCGTTCGCGGAAATTCCGAGCACGGCCCTCAACTCGGCCTGACGCTGCCCGAGGGCTCGTGGATGAGCATCCCCCCCCCCCCATCCCGGGGGCCACGGGTCGTACCGCCCATGTCAAAGCCGATGACGGGCTGGCACTTGTCCGCCGTGCTGGTGGTGACGGCGTAGCCCACCACGCCGCCCGCTGGGCCGGACAGGATGGCGCGCGACCCGTTAAATCTCCCCATCGGGGTGAGCCCGCCATCCGACTGCATGAACAGCACCCGCACGTCCTGCAGAGAGCATTGGCGGTGACGGCCGGCCATTGGGTAAATTTATTTTGGCGACGGACGGAAGACCACGGATGTGGGGGGGGGGGGATGCGTACAGAGGGTGGAGAAGAGGGGACGGATAGAAAGTGTGACTGACAAGGACGTCGGTAAACAATTTGGTGGGTACGAAGTATTGTCGACAAAGCGAGGGAAGCAAGACGGTGATGGTTTTTTTCCCTGTGATGCAGAGTGAGGAGGGGAAGCATCATAAACAAAGTCATTCAGAGAGAGATTCGAGGAAGACCGAAGATGAGATGGAAGCATTAACATAAACAGGGACAAGAAAGTGGCTTTGGCGACAAAGGGGGAGGTGCGCGCCGCCAACTCCAAAGCCATGCGGGAACGGCGACCATGAGAGAGAGCAGAGTCATCGCATCACTGCAGCGCAAGATTTAAAAACAGAACTTAAATTACATGAAGATGGATCATAGCTCTTGATATTAAGCATAGTTCAAAAGCGCTTAAGTTAATAGTAGCCAAGTAAGCCAAGGAATATTTCTTAATAAGAAGAAAGACACAATGTACGAAGAGCACCATTGCCAAAAAAGACTACCTCCAAATGCATTATTTATTCTTGAGACATTAGAAAATTAAAGCAGGACCTAAATTACACGGATGTAAGTGTGGACAAGGGACACTGAGAAAGAAAAATGAGGAATACACGAATTGGGGAATATATGCAAGTTCGAGAACATCGTGATTGTTAATAAACCTAAGTGGGACTGGGCAGGAAACACTTCGCTGGACGGGATAACGACCGGTAGTCGCAACCACGCAATGCAAACAAATAATAATTGTGCCATTCGTAATGAACTACCATCACAATATAATTGGAATTACATTGTGATGATGATAGGCATGCAACACTGATGCTAGGTATGTAATAATGTTAGGCCTGCAACGATGATGTTAGGTATGTAATGTTAGGCCTGCAACGATGATGTTAGGTATGCAATAATGTTAGGCCTGCAACGATGATGTTAGGTAACGATGCATCGACGCATCAATTTGTGCTGTAATTGTATAAGTTTGGTGGCAGCCAAAGAAGGCAACAAGGCTGGGAGTACGTGCAACATGAGAGGTGGAGCGATGTGCAGGAGGCGGCTGCATTGTCGCTATCTCTCGTGTACCACGTGTACCACGAGAGATGGCGACGGCTCGGGTGAAGCTTTCCTCCAACAATGGACATCTCATAGCTGCTGATCAGACTCGGAATATTTATTTATTCTGGAGGAATCCGATGATCCGGAACGGCTCTTTTTTCAAGAGATGTCCAGTAGATGAAATGTGGATGCCAGCAGATTAACGTAACGGGCCACCCGGACACCCGCCACCTGACAGGAACGCCGTCACCTGTGCAACAGGCGCTCACCTGCAGCTCGTTGCGAAATCCGGCGGTGAAGCCGCACAGGTACTTCTGAATGCACGGAGTTAGGTAGGCGTCCGCGCACGCCGTGTAGCCGCGCGGCACCACCCGCACCATGGGCATGATGTCCGACGACAGGGACACGTGCCGGAACCCCATGCGGCGTGCCAGCTCGCCAACGCTCCGCTCGTGTTCCGCCCACCTGGACGCCACCATGAGGCTCTGCGTTTGCTTTGGCACTGGCTCGCACAATGGTACCAAACTCGTACGTGTACGGCTCTCCGGTGTGTGTTATTTGGTGGGTTGTACAGCGTGCGATGCGTCGGAAGATTACGCCGACCATCATGCGGTACAACCTGAAAACGCATCGGAGAACTATACAGCACAAGCCAACTAAACCTAGGCATTTATTTACCCTGGTAGATAAGAGCCTCTCCACTCCATGCTGGACGCGGGGGTTATCGGAGCGTGTTGGTCATGTTGGTGAAGGCAGGAAGCATAGACGTGGGAGTAAGAAGTTTAGTACAATGGATTTGGCTGCACTGCGCTCTGCTGATTACCACATAGTAAAGCCTACGGAGTCAGCCATCCAAACACTAATGCAAGCTCAACCCTGCTTAACATCGGAGATCTGACATTCTGCCTTGTTTGGCTCGAGGCAGTGCCAGAGGTTCACATTTGTCACCAAATATTGTCTGGGTCATTGGCAGACTGGATTAGGTACTTGACTCACAGCCACAGTTATTTTAAGAATTGTTATTGGATGTGGTGTGCCAGGTATGAAAACATATTCCAGGTCGCTTATAGACAGAACTGGCTGCATATAGGCACTGGACAATACACATCTTACAGTAGCTGTGCTACTTTGAATGCAAACAACTCTCACACACCCTGGATGACCTGAAGATGGAAGTCACCCACGTGATAAGAGACACGGAGACAGGGGAATTGATTCTTGTATCTCAGAACCCGACCTGGGGTCAATTACAATTATAAATGTATCTTGTCTAATGAAATCCAATAACAATGTAATTACAAGTGGAATGTCATCTAACGATACTGCCGTAATTGTAATTATATTTGGCCCCAGGTCTGCTCAGAACATGTGTCTATGTTTTGATTTAAAGCTTTTGTGACTGCAGGGATTCATATTATTGATTCTTTCGGTAAAGTCACGTAGAAGGGAAACAATAAAAAAATATATAAAATAATAAAATTCTCACGACGTTTCGACTGCAACACAAGCAATCATCATCAGGTGTGAAAACCACAGCAAGAAAATTAGAAAAAAGTGGCGTTTTTTTAACGTTAGCACCACGGAAAGCGATTTGGCAGTTATTCAGATGGACGAATTAATCTATGTTCGGAAAAGAGGAGGGGGTAGACGAAAATAATGGTGCGGTCTGAAAGCCACTGTAAGCGTGAACAATCAATTAAGACCCGAAATGGTTTATCAAATCCTTCCAATGATTGCTAAGCCAGAATCCATCTTCTCGGTTGAAATTGTCTATGTGTTTGTATATGTGGATAGCCTCATGAACGAATCTCGCATGGTAGCCAGATGGCTTGCAGAGAACCTCTGTCTTGGAGAAGTCAATGTCATGTGAGCCTACTGAATTATAACAGTGATCTGCCACGGCCGAGGTGTTGGTCCTACCGTGTTTTAGGTCTGCTTTGTGTTCACAGATGCGGTCCGAGACATGTCGTTTGGTTTCTCCAATGTAACTACTACCACAGAGGCAACTTAGTTTGTAGACGCCAGGGTACTGTATGTCCGGAATCACATATTTTACAGACGGAAGTAGATCACGAAATTTTATGTAATGTGTTGAATCGGACCTGGATCTTGTGTTTATTCAAGATTTTGGAGATCTTTTTTGTGATCCCCGCAATGTAGGGTAAAGTGATGGTATTGAATGGCTCCTCAAGAGGGTCCTTCTTCATGGTTGGAGTGATAGCTTTGCGGATTGTGTAGTCGGAGTAACCAATCCGCAAAGCTATCACTCCAACCATGAAGAAGGACCCTCTTGAGGAGCCATTCAAAACCATCACTTCACCCTACATTGCGGGGATCACAAAAAAGATCTCCAAAATTTTGAATAAACACAAGATCCAGGTCCGATTCAACACATTACATAAAATCCGTGATCTGCTTCCGTCTGTAAAAGATGTGATTCCGGACATACAGTACCCTGGTGTCTACAAACTAAGTTGCCTCTGTGGTAGTAGTTACATTGGAGAAACCAAACGACATGTCTCGGACCGCATCCGTGAACACAAAGCAGACCTAAAACACGGTAGGACCAACACCTCGGCCGTGGTAGATCACTGTTATAATTCAGTAGGCTCACATGACATTGACTTCTCCAAGACAGAGGTTCTCTGCAAGCCATCTGGCTACCATGAGAGATTCGTTCATGAGGCTATCCACATATACAAACACATAGACAATTTCAACTGAGAAGATGGATTCTGGCTTAGCAATCATTGGAAGGATTTGATCAACCATTTCGGGTCTTAATTGATTGTTCACGCTTACGGTGGCTTTCAGACCGCATCAATTATTTTCATCTCCCCCCTCCTCTTTTCCGAACATAGATGGACTCGTCCATCTGAATAACTACCAAATCGGTCTCCGTGGTGCTAACGTTAAAAAAAAACGCCACTTTTTTCAAATTTTCTTGCTGTGGTTTTACACCTGATGATGATTGCTTGTGTTGCAATCGAAACGTCGTGATAATTTTATTGTTTTATATGTTATTGTTTTGTTTCTCTTCTACGTGACTTTACCGAAAGAACCAAGAATGTGTCTATGTGTTAGGTTGTGTGGATATCAAAGGTTACCAATTTCAGCAATTACTCTTATTCTATAATAAAACTGTTCTACTGCACATTCCTGTAGCTTTTTTATATACACAAAGTACTTAACGCTAATCCAAAATACCAATGCAGACTCACTTTTCTCTCGCCATTCCGTTTGGGTGTATGGCTGTACATTGTAATAGGCATATGTATTGGTATGAGTACATACCTGTCAACCCATACGGTTTACCCATATTCTTAAACCGGAAAATTGTTTTCAGGTTCATATGGCGTACAGCCGTTTCAATACGGGCAAACATTTTTTGTCTATTTGTTTGTGTTTCTCCCTTGCGATGAGACTTTGTAGGATGAACGTTGATATTTATAAGGGCACGGGGTGACCAATAAGGTCTGAATTGGTCTGTAATAAGGTAGGCACTGATAAGGGGTTGGCAGGTATGCGAGTACTGTCATTGAACATCTATGATGGACTTCAAATTATAAATTCTACAAGAAGCCAAAAGGAATATCTTCAATTGAAAACATTTCTGACTGTAGTGGGACCTGAAACAAAATCATAACCAAAATTTGTAAATCAGATTTAATATGGCTGCCATAACTGACGACCAATTCACTACGCTTGCATAAGTTGATAAAGCGGTACAGTAATGGTGACAGCGGCTCCATCTAGTGTCGAGTATTAGTGTCGCACAGTTCCATTCTGGGCATATAATGATTCACTCAAACACCGAAAAGAAGATATTTGACATTCGAGGTCACGATTCTCGAAAATGTTTCCTTCTGTTGCATTATTTTCCCTATCTTGTTTGTAATGCAAGTAATTTGTTTGCACATCGATTGTACGGTTTTGTGCAGATAATTCTCGAAACGCATGATTCGATGCACATAACATGAGTTTGAGAATTGACGAATCAATGTGTCTAATATAGGGCCAGTGTTGTTTTTTTAAATCTCAGGTGTTGACGCGGAGAGGCGTTCCGGCGGAGGCCCCACGTACGTGTACGAGTGCATGAGCACCACGGCCAGACTGCTGATGCCCCGGGCCAACACTCTGCTAAGCTTCTCCTCCAGGTCAGCGAGATCGACCTCCTTCCAGACCTCCAGTTTCTCGCCGGTCGAACCTGCTCCACCCACCATGCGAAACGAATTCATCTTCTGTCGAAGGCTCAGCAGCAAATGCCTACTAATGCACAAGAATTGCGAGCAGTTTAAGTAACTGTCTAGTCCTTATCACAGGGCAATTTCTATCCAATGCAACATGAAGACCACTCCGCGTCATTACCATCCATCACGGTCCCATGCAATGTCACGATCCAGTAACCGCGTTATAACGGTTTGTGCTTTCCGCGTTGTGTTAATAGCGCTCCCTAATAGAAGAACCGTGTTATAGCGAAAACGCGTTAAGCGAGGACTCACCGTACCTGTAACAATCGGATGTGCCTCCTTTCCTGGGAGCTGACATTTCTGCTGTTGGAGAACCACTCTCTCCTCCACCTCGATTACTTCTTCATAGAGTACCTCGGGCATTCGGATTTCCTTTTGGTAAAAGCAAAATTGACTGAAGGGCAGAATATACATTTTTGTGGCTAATGAATATGGCCCTTGGGGTGCAAGTAAAAAATAGCTTCAACCACAATGATTCCCATCAATAAAGAACCACTGCAGATTAAATGCTTTCATGTGCACATCGGTCTTCATGAAACCACACACTTGGGAAATTAGCTGAGATGCAGAAAGCCGTTTGAAACAATACTTTAGGATATACAATTTAATATGAAAACAGTGGAATATTAATTCAACCTTTAATCAGTTTAGTTTAAACATGCTATTTCACATCAGTGTGTTCTCACCTGAAACCAAAAATAATACAATTATTTTCATGAATGCATTTTTTATTCGAATAGTTATTTTACTCCATTAAATGCAAGTGGCTGTACAATACATCATTCCATATCTTGCTTTGCTGGGGCCTGCCAGGTAAGGCCCAGGTATAGGTGGATATGTGAAAAGGTCGGATTTGAGTACACCTTTAGAAATTTTGTTATATAATGCACAAATAGGTTACTAGAAACAAATAAATCACAAACTGCTTTAAACTTGGGAAAATGTTTTACTGTGTTTCATAAGTGAATATACATGATATTAAGAACATATTGCTGCATGTGAAAAGGTTGAATTTGTGGTTTGAGGATATGCTTTTGTGGTTTGTTACCACGAGGGTTATGTTACATAACTGGATGATTCATGATCCTCCTTCCGTAAAGGACAGCTCAAACAAATGTGTAACTTGGTTTCTATTAACCACCTATGTGCCCCTCAACCATCGAACAAAGATGCTCACTGCGACACACACTTTCAGATGCGCTTCTACGGCCGTCTGGAACGCTCTTCCTTCCGATATTAGGCAGCACTTTTAAACCTTTTAAACCTAGATTGAAAACGTATTTCTTGAGAACAGCTTTTTGTGTTTGGTTTGTTGTCCCTTCCCCCGCACCTCCGATTAGCACGGTTGACCACGCAACGGTGCAAAAGAAGTTGAAACACACAGTGCATACATTGACAAAATCACGTACCAGGTCAAATATTTTGGGTCGGGCCTGGTTGCCGATGTGCAGCAGGTCTCGGAATCCGCGCGTGATGAGCAGGGCCATGCGCTCACCCTTGCGCTCCAGCAGCGCATTCGTGGCCACCGTGGTACCCATGCGGATCCACTCCACGGCCGCGGTGTCCAGGGGCAGCCCCGCGGGCATTGCCATGCCCGTCTCCTGCGAGTTCCAACGGGTTAAGTCGCACAGGATTGGTCGGCGAAGGTCTCCAGTCGCCTCATTCCCAGGGACTTGTTGTTAAAGGGCCACAACCTCTGCGAAACTGCCCTCGGAATTGTTGAACCCCCAATATATTGCCACTCTTGTATCTTTCTAGTGTCTTCTCACACTCTACGTTCTCAATCTTTGCCGTCTGTTCTTCCTTCTTCTAGTGCTCAATCCACGCTTTGGCTCTTTTTTTCTTCTCGCCCCCCTTCACTGGAACAAACTTTCTCTCCCCATTAAAGTCACCTTCGCTCACTAGTTCCCACTCCTAATTCAAAACTCACTATTTTCCATAGCTAACCACACATCCCCTTAATCTCCCCCTGATAACCACCACCTTTACTGTTCCCTCTTCATACTCTCATGATATGACTATCACTCATTCCCCATTCATTCAATCCATTCATCATCTACTGTCCTCAACGTTCGCTTTCACAGAATTCACGCATCACAGATATGCCCATTGCATCCTCTCGTCTATTTTATTCACCTCATCTCCACCATTACATTCACACACGTACCGTTCTCAATTATTTGTAAAGTGCCTTGATTAAGGCGCAATATAAATTCCGTTTAAATTTCGAATGAAATTATCTAGGTTTCGAAAATGTATATTACCTATAGAATAAGTCAATGGTTTGACACACGCGAAACTGAATGCACAATTATTGTGCCAATGTGGACGAAATGTCAGTTTGTCTAAGAACGTCTGACACTGTGGTATTTTCTGAGGATGTTTCCCTCATCACAAAAGGTGGACAAATTATATCAATCTGAATTACAGTCCTGATTGAATTTTAGGGCCACGTAAAAAAGCCACCTCATATTTATACGTATTCTTGCGTTGAAATTGATGATTAGCGACTTACAACTCTTTGTCTGAATTATTCAGGAAATCGCTTCGATTTATGTGCGGTGTTTAGCTTAAATGCAAATTATACTCATTATTACCGATATTTTTTCAGTAAAATCAAATAAAACAATTGGTATATTTGTTAGTCATGCCATCATTATTACACAAGTCTATCACAAAGGCACCATTTTACAGATGAGTACTGTATAGGCTGAAGTACATTCACAGTATAGGGTGATATATTTTTTTATGAGGCAGCTTTCTAGTCATTTTATTTGTTTGTAAATTTGGACAGTGATGCCAGCACGTGACCTACTCTTTGCTAAATTAATCCCACATCATCTGTTAACCTCCACTCTGAAGCAGACAAGCGTATGTTTGGTGAAACTGCCTTTTGACGAATGAGTTTGAGATTCAGTGAGCGTTTGCCGGTGAGATATTTACAAGTTAAATTTAAACAGTGACGACGATGATGAACGTGGTGGTGGTGGTGATGATGCTGCCGAGTGTGAACCTCCTGCAAGATGCGGCGGATGCCCTCGCGGGGAGCGTCAGGGTAGTGCGCGGGGTCCTCGGACAGCAGCTTGAGGACACGGACTCGGCCACCGGGGCAGCGTGCGAACACGTCCGTGAAGGTGCCGCCGCGGTCGATGGCAAACTGGAACGTCCCCTTGGCCGTCGCCGGCGTCGCCATACTGCCGTCACGTTCGCAGCGCGGGCGGCGAAACAGTCAAACGCCCGCAAGCACCAATGGGTGCCCCATGGTCCTGAAGTTTCTATTGAAGATTATGTTCTTACGTTTCCATTGAAGATTACGTTCATGTTAGGCTCACTTCCAGGGAATGCCACCGACCGCTTTGAAAGGCAGCGATACAGCACAATTGCTTTAAAATGACTATCGCGTGCAGTAACAGTACAGCTAAGTAATATGCACTATTGGCCGTTTCACTATTGTATAAAATGCATAGGAATTATTAAGTGCACTTAAGCTTTTTAAGGCTTTTCCATCGAGACACAAGTGGTTTACTCCATAAAATTGAGAGCTCAATCTATAGATGTTGCTCCTATAATGTAAATTGTATGTTTGCGTATGGCAAAATGTTCAGGAGCTGAATGCAATGTTGAGATCTACTTGCCACGAGAAGGTTTTGCTATTCCTACATTTAAGGAACACAGACTACAGTGTTTTACAATATAGTCTAAAGCTTGGGTTGCATGGCTAGTCACTCTGTGCCTTGTCTTAATGTAATACTAGTACACAAGTTATTAATTGATGGAAATCTGTTAAGCAACACATTCTGATTTACACGGTAACATGAAGTGTAATTTATTAACAAAGAATGTGCCAACAATGCCACAATTTCCAGGTTGAGATACTGCAAAAAAGTTATCCACGTTTTTCTTGAATGTTTTTTTTTCCAGATCTTCCTAATGCAACCCGATGGACTGCATGATGGGTAAGGAAAAGGATGTACATGTATAGGATACCTAAACACCTCAGCAACTTAAAGCACCGTTCCCTACATCATATCTCAATCTCAACCATTCCATTGCCCTGCTGCAGTGCAGCCAAGAGGCTCCAAGTGGCAGCTATTCTTTATGTAACTCCACGTTTACCAGACTGCGGGACTGGATCACCAATGGGCATTCGTTTTAAAAACGAGGTCATGAATATTGTAGTATATCAGTGCATGCACTTCGAATGCTATGAAGATACATTGCCACTGGAATGTAAATTGACATGTCTAGACATTTAATATTAAACAGGGTGATCGATTTTTGGATACACCACTAAAATAATGGAACATTATTAAAGTTTCATTCAAAGTCTCTACATATTTCTGATCAATCTCAACGCACTCATTATATCTTTGAACACTCTTCTGACTTTACCCAGCATAGTCATCATCACTTTGACAATATTCAATAGGCTGTTGAGAAAATAACAGGGTCATTAGAAATCAGTGCAGTATCAATAAATATCTTACATGAAAGATTGTTTACAATCTGCGTTCATAAAGTTACAGTTCTGTGACGTTATGCATGCGCCTTGTGATCCAGAACTGTGGAGGGGTTCGAGGGTTGGTGGATCGCACAAATGTAGCTCAACTTCCTTCCCGTGGGCACTGAGAAGCCATATAACCATGTCTGGTCGACTCCAGTGTTCCTTCTGTATAGGATAGAGCGTTTCCCTCTCGCACGTCCAGACTTTTCTCAAGGTGCTCCAGTTTCCTCCGACATGTAAACACACTTTTTGTTGTTGTTGTCGATAACACCTTAATGAAAGGAATTGCAGAGCTCGGGCAAATTGTTGGTTCATTGCGTTTGGCTGCCTTCAACGCTTGTCTTTGATTCCTCCCTCGCTCATTTGAATTTGTACTCTATGCTTCGGTAATTGAATACTGTACCGCGCGTTACAAGTTTAACTGTTAAACGTTGCACTTGCGCAAGGTCATGCATGAGAGGCAGTGTACGGCCAACGGGGGCTGAATCCAGTGGATAAATAAACATCACGAACGACGACATCAACGCACACTTTTGCTTTCACAATTGTGGCTAATACGCAGCACGGCACTCTGAATGCAAGCATCGTCACTCAATGCCACGTGGTAATGGGTGCTGTTGTAGTTCGCTTGCAGATGTTTTAAATTGTAGCTTCACCCAGGCGATCTGATCAGGCTGCAGCGCAAACAGTACCGAGTTGTTTTATTTTTAAGACTTAAGGGATGATGCGATTGTGTCGCACGGTTTCCGGACTGAGAAACAGAAAGAAAGCTGTCTCGGTTTATGATACAGGTGGCGTCGTTCGCCTTTAATTAAAGAGGGCCACGTGGTTGGGTCGCCACGTGGTTGTGAAAGTGCGTGGTTTGTGAAAGTGCGTGGCTTGTGAATGTGGAGTTTCCATTAGGGTCAGGAAACGAGAAATAGCACCCAACACACAGGGAGCCATACTCAACTATGACTGTGTGTGTGTGTTAATTGCAGGATCGTGGAGGGGATTTGGCCATACTTCACCACGCTGGTCAATTGCAGGTTGGCGAAGGCGGTGAGAATTGCCGCGGTGGTGGTGGGGGGGGGTGGTGGGGGGGGTGGTACAAAACGCGAGTACAGTGTACAACAACAATCAGCATGTGTATCATAATCGTCAGCCATGATCAATCTACTGCTGGACGAGGGCCTCCCCTGCCGTGGGGGGTTACGTGACAACACGCACGCAGGCGGTGGTCAGTGGACGAGTTTGCTGCAATAGAGTTTAAATTGCACCGGGGCCTGACGCGTGTCTTGCAAAACAGTGAAGCCAGTTGGCGATGATGACACACACTTTGCCACGTGTGCATCAAGATATTGCACGCATGACCGCCGCGGATATTTAAGTGCCCGTGCCATTTATTCGTATGTGTTTAAGAGTTGTCTGGATGGAGGATGGTGGTGGTGATGGTGGTGATGATACGCAGAAACAATGCAAACACAGGACCCTCTCGTCATCTGGCATTCACCGCAGCCTTGTTTAATAAACAACAGCGAACACCCACCTCCAAGACTGTCAGCGACCACAACACTGCAGCCTCCACGAACACAACCGCTTGCTGCTGCTGCTGATGGTGGTTGTGGTTGGCTGCGTCCTAACCACATCTCCCTCCACTCTCCTCGTTTTGCGTAATTTATGATGGTGATTTTAATTGGAGGGGAATTTGAGACAAACGTCCCCCTTCCAACGAACGCCGATTGGCCCGCGTGGGAACTCCCACCCACAAGAGCCGTAATTGAAGGCGCGCGTTCAAAATGCCTTTCTGCAGTGCTGGAGGGGGTTATCGCGATGTCAACGATATATCGTGGTTATCGCGATGTCAACGATATATCGTGGTTATCGCGATGTCCATGATATATCGTGGCTATCGCGATGTCGACGATATATCGCGGCTATCGCCATGGCGACGATATATCGTGGTTATCGCGATGTCGACTATATATCGTGGTTATTGCGATGTCGACGATATATCGTGGTTATCGCGATGTCCACGATAAATCGTGGTTATCACGATGGCAACTATAGATCGTGTTTATCGCGATGTCAACTATATATCGTGGCTATCGCGATGTCGACGATATATCGCAGTTATCGCGATGTCCACGATATATCGCGGTTATCGCGATGGCAACTATATATCGTGGTTGTCTCGATGTCGATGACATATCGTGGTTATCGCGATGTCCACGATATATCGCGGTTATCGCGATGGCAACTATATATCGTGGTTATCTCGATGTCGATGACATATCGTGGTTACCGCGATGTCCACGATATATCGTGGTTATCGCGATAACCACGATATATCGTGGACATCGCGATAACCACTTACCATGATATTTACGACACGATGATATTTTAACATTTATATCGTGAAACACGTGGCGCGATATAACGTGGGTATCGCGATATCTACGCTATATCGCGGTTTTGTCGTCCGTGTTATATATGTCGTTTATTGTTAAATTTAAAATCACAGTTCCTATGATTACTGTTGTTACATTGTTTTCTTAGCTTTATTTTGGTGATTCGAAAACATATGGTTAATCCAAATTGTCTTATGGTTGTTGTTGTTGGCTTGCACCACATTGATTTTTGCACACAGCGTTTTAATACGTTTTTTTGTGTGTGGAATATTTGCTGGTTTATTCCAGAATGTTTCTGTTACGCGTTATCGCTTTAAGATATTCTGTGTTCATATTTTGTTTGTTGCGGTTGCACCCGACTTAAGAGCCGCATGGCTCACAGGGCTATACCTAATAAATGAAACTTGAAAACGATATATCGCCTACCACGGTAAGTCGTTAATCCCCGACGAGCTATGCGACGATGTTTAATGTTATTGAAAGTACAAAAGAGCACAATAACGGCTCCATACAAATGTCAACTACAAAGGGGAAACTGATATCGCGATAATCGTCACATCGTGAACATCACACCGCGGCAAAAAAACCGTCACACTAATGATTGTTTCTGTACATATTATGTTGTAAAACCAAAATACTGGAAATCAATAAAGAAATAAAGGAAGCAAAACCACGCCGCACGCAACGCTTTCTGTCACGCTTTCCAACTTGCGGTTGTCCTCGAGTACGTGTCGATAAACGTGGACATTAACGAAAGATATTTCAACCATTGAAAAGTACACAAATAGCATATATTAAGAGGCGCAAAGAGACCACTTAATTTAATAATAATAAAAAAACAAAGTTACCGTAAGCATATTGGGCAATACATGTCGCTGAAACGGATATGGCACATCAGTCCTATCACAGACAGAAATGTTTCAAATTGAAGAAATGCCTTTCGGCTTATTATATAACTTATAATTTTAAGTCCATCATAGATTGACAATGCCAGTACTCACATACCTGTCAAACCCTTATCTAGTGCCCTACATTATTACAGACCGATTCAGATATTTGTGTTTTATTACTCCGTGCCCTTATAAATCTCAATGTTCATCCTACAAAGTCCCATCACGATGGAGAAACACAAACAAATAGACAAAACATATGTTTCTAAACAAAAAACAGTTTTATGTATTCATTTTGATGATTGGTGTCAATGATGCTACTTATTATGCTGTCTGTGATCTTGCATGCTGCTGCTTGCTTGAAATGTGGATGCACACACTCATGTTGTAAATATAAAAAAACGCAATAACGAAGGGTTAAACAATACACTATAATTCATGAACATCCCAATCATGTTTGTACACATTTCTGGGAATCCTCAACAGAAATACTTTACAGAATCAGTCACCAATGGTTCTGATTTTTTTATTAGGCCGTATGATTGTTGTCCGTATGGACCTGAAAACTCAATTTCCATGTACAAGAATACCGGGTAAACCGTATGGGTTGACAGGTATGATAGTGATGATGCTGATTCACCTCTCCTGATTTCAAATGTTCTATCTCGTCAACACACACACAAAAACACAACCAACACTTTATTTTCATGTCACCTGCCCACCAACTCCATACCTGTCAACCCCTTATCAGTGCCCCTACCTTATTACAGACCAATTCACACCTTATTGGTGACCCCGTGCCCCTTATAAATCTCAACGTCCATCCTACAAAGTCCCATCACAAGTGAGAAACACAAACATATAGACAATGTATTATTTTTGTTGTTTGCCCTTATTGAAACAGCTGTACTCCGTATGGACCTGAAAACTCAATTTCCCTGTACAGAATACGGAGTAAACCGTGATGGGTTGACACGGTATGGAATAAAATTTGGTGTGCCACGTGGATTATATTTTATAAATTACATCGCAAAGATTGTGAGAGAATGGCATTGGCTCACAGACCCCCCCATCATCCAGCAGTGGATTGTTGTTTTATATTTTTATTATTTTATTTTTGCTCTTCTACGTGGTGACTTTACCGAAAGAACCAAGAATATGAATCCCTGCAGTCACGAAAGCTTTAAATAAAAAAAGGTTCACAAATTTAACTACGATGGAAACCGTTCACAAAAAAACTCACATTCGTCAATAGCATCGTGGCCTTGAAAGAAAACAAGTATCGTATATGGCGAGGCGACGTTTCGGGCAATGACCCTTTGTAGCACAAAATCCATTGTAGAACATTGCAGTATCTCGTACCCTTATAACAAATTGAAACAATCTGCACTGTTAAGGTTTAATACAACGTTAGTGCGTGGATCCGTCTAAGTTAATTTATTTTAAACAATGGAAAATGTATATGCTCTATTTAATGAAAAAAAAGTGTCTAAATTATGCTTTGTAGTTTGTAATGTTTTTATAGATTATGTTTTATTATGATTATGGTTTTATAGTTCTGTTTTTCATGTTTTATCGATTAGGATTATGTTTTATATTTTTTTTTATGTTTTGTCGATTATGTTTATAGATTGGGAATGCGTCACATCCGGTTCCCACCCGCGCACGCGGATTTACAGTGCGCACTGTAAGGAGGCCACCACGCACAGCGGCTTTGAGTCGGGCACAGCTCTTACGATCGAACACAGATCCCTTGCACAAACGTAGACATCGCTTACAGTTGTCTCATAGGTCACGTTGAGCCCCTCGCACACATCAACTCAAAACTCCGGCACACGCCAGGTGTCCTATCTGCGTCTCCCGCACCTTTCGATTTAGCACGGTTGGGTGCGTACGGTACGAAATAAGTTCCAGCGTCTCTACGTACAGGTAACAAAGCATGGCCGGGCTGGAGCTGCTGTCAGACCAGGGCTACCGCATTGACGGCAGGAAGGCGTCCGAGCTGAGGAAGATCGCGTGTCGCATGGGAGTGTTCGCGCAGGCCGACGGCTCGGCCTACGTGGAGCAGGGCAACACCAAGGCCCTGGCCGTAGTCTACGGTCCCCACGAGGTGTGTCTCAATCGCTGTGGTTTTTCTGCTCACCGTGCTCTTATGACCCCAGGACGTCTCCTTTGCAAAGTTTGACACTGCAGTGGTTGTGGTGTCTTGAACCCGAAGACGTGTCTCTGGACTTTTGGTCTCCTGATCTCAAGTCGTGTCATTTGTGTGTATGTGCAGGCGAATGGGACCCACGGGGTTTTTCGTCGTTTAATCTGCATCGCTTCCTGATCTCGATGGGTTTCTCTCATGTTTTTAATCAATGGGCTCCTGAGGTGTCTATCATTGTTTCCATGGTCTCCTGGTTCCTTCGGCTTCTTGATCTCCATCGCATTTCTTCCTCTGATATCTGTGGTCGATGCGTCTTCCAATGTCTGGCTTCCTGATCTCACCAATCTAGACGCCTTGGCCACATCCTCAGTGTTCTACCGATTCCATGATGTCTGGGCTCCAAGTGTCATCAGGCAGCTGATCTCTCGTGCATCTCTCTATCCCCTCTCGAGAGGGCTATGGATCCCACAGAATGCGTTCGTTTGGTCTTATTGTCTCGATGATCTTGTCTCCTGGTCTATCTCCTCTGTGATCTCTGTCACCCACGAGGTGTGTCTGTTCAGCCTCCTAACCTCAATTGTCTTCTGGTGGCACCGATCACCTGGGCGGTGTCGTGAACTAACAGTAGCGCGAATCCAGTGGCCGCTATATTGTTGTAATAATACTTACCGTAAAAATCCGTTGCTGTCCGATGTTAAATATGTCCCAGGTCACTCTTGCAAAGGAGACTGTTATGGCGTCTTGAGTTCTCACCTGGTTTAAACAAACTAAACTGTTGGGCCTCCTTGTTGAAGCCTGTCACTTTGCCCCCTTTTCAGATGCGTGGCAACAGAGGGAAGGCGATGCACGACCGAGCACTGGTGAACTGCCAGTACAGCATGGCCACCTTCAGCACGGGGGAGCGCAAGAGGCGGCCTCACGGTGACCGCAAGTCAATCGAGATGTCGATGCACCTGAGGCAGACCTTCGAGGCGGCGATCATGACGCAGCAGTACCCACGCTCCCAGATTGACATCTACGTGCAAGTGCGTCTGCTTCCTTTACAATGCGCATACCGCGTCAACTCATACGGTGCACCCCATATTCTTGTACAGGGAAATTTAGTTTTCAGGTCCATATGGCGTACAGCCGTTTCAATACGAACAACATGTGTCTATTTGTGTGTCTACCTTGTGATGGGACTTTGTAGGATGAACGTTGAGATTTATAAGGGCATGGGGTGACCGATAAGGTCTGAATTGGTCTGCAATAAGGTAGGCACTGATAAGGGGTTGACAGGTGTGAATGCGTGTCATTTGCGGTGTTCGTGCAGTGCGATCTGGAATTACGCTTTTAAACATTTTTGCGTTTATGAATTATTGATATTTACTCATATAGTCCGTTTCTAAAAAGTATATATATATTTTTTAAATCTACCGTATTGCCAAGGATTTTTCTATCTCATTTTTACAATTTGCCGACTTCCAAAATGTTTAAACATGTACAAAATGTTACGTTGAGCTAGTTGATTTCTGTAGAAATCCTAATTGATACCTTCAATACCACCCTGGACAATTCCTGCAGTAATTATTATTTTATTTTCTGGTTAAAATATACCCATCTAGGTCCGTCCAGCCCCATGCCTGGTGATTCCAAAATTCTGAGCCTATAATGAGTATTTTTTTTTAATTCAAATGTCACAACACATTGAGCAGGAGCATATACATGATTGTTACAATCTACGTATTAGATGAGTTTTGATTGCATTTCTATAAAGGGAAGTGATAGAGAGGGAAGTGATAGAGAGGCAAGGTAATGTATGAGCCATACGTGATTGAGAATACATTCATAACATGTAATGTGTATAGTTATCGTCAACATAAACATCACAACTTAAAGCCTGTACCAATGCAAGCATAAAGTTTTTTTTTACAATTTGTATTATATATTTAATGTGCACATACGAAAAAAAAAATCACAATCAAATTAGTACATTATCATAGCATATGGCATCACAACACCACTACGGTTTAATAGATTGTCATAGTCTACAGTATTTTCACTGTCGGAGCCAATGCTTCTATGTGGCTTTGCCCAAGTAGATAATTTACAAGAATATTTTAAGTTCAGAAACAATGCATGGTGATGCCAGCGCACGTGACCTACTCTTTCGAATAATATCACAGGATCTTTAATGTCTGCTGTGAAGCAAACGACATTATTGGTTGATACACCTGCGGTATAAATCAGGGCGGCTGCTGGCTATATACCATGGACTTCTGTAACAAGCAGCAAATGCTCTACTTGTTCGGCTGTCATATTAAACAAATGTTCGTCATGTACACAGATCCTGCAATCGGACGGAGGCAACTACTGCGCTTGCGTTAATGCAGCCACTCTCGCACTGGTGGACGCGGGAATCCCGCTCAAGGACTACGTCTGTGCTTGCTCGGTGGGCTTCGTGGATGACACTCCTCTCGTGGACATCAGCTTCGTGGAGGAGTCGGCGGGGGGACCAGAGCTCGCCCTTGCGTTGCTTCCAAAGAGCGAGCAGATTGCACTACTGGAGCTCAACTCACGGCTCCACCAGGACCACCTGCCAGCCGTACTGGAGGCCGCCACACGTGCCTGCAAGGATGTGCACGCCGTGCTGGACCGTGTGGTGCGCGAGCACTTGCAGGAGGCCACGTCCCAGCTTGGTTACTGAAACCAGAGTACTACTGGATCAGCATTGTTGTTTGTACCCATTTATTATTCTAATGATAGGGATGCTGCCATGGGGGGGTCATGGTTAGCACACCGGACTTGTAATCTGGAGATTGTCATTTCAGAGTTGGTGAGAGTTGGCATGTTTAATCAAATTTGTGTACTTTTCTGGTATTTTTTTAAGTGTGGAAAATCTGGACCATGACTGGCACACATCGGTGAATCACATCATGGGACCGGCAATGCCCACTGTAAAACAGACTGTACCTATTTTTTTTATAGTTAATACATCCACGGTAAAAATAAGAGCAGCTGATTGTGCTTGAAATGTGAATGCTCTATTGCTTGCCCATGTCACTACCCACAGATACTTGTCGTGTTTCAAAAATAAGTTATTTATCCATGCTGGAATAAGTTTAATTGATAAATCTAATATTTTATGTGCAGCTATTAAAATCAAGTCTGATTCGCACAACTTCCGATGAGAATCTATTCCAGAATCTCAGCAGTTCCAGCAATGATCTCCGATATGGTATTTGACCCTTGAACCACCTGGTCATTTTATTCCTCCATTAGGATGTTTTGTGAAGTGCCTGTTGAATTGTTTTTTTTAACAAAAATATTGGCATGTTGGGATGTACTTTTGTAAGTATTGTCCGGTAAGATTTTGTCTTAATAAAGTACAGCAAATAAGTTACTGTGGTTGAGTACGTAATGCATAAGTACATATACTTGGTAGTGGACTGCAAACATGTTTCACCTTAAAATCCTTTTGACATTAATGGATTACATCCATACACACTGGAAGATGGTCTATATTCAGAACTGGTTAAACTCGTCTTAATGCCCAGAAAATAATACGAGCATTTGGTGGTGCTCACCTGCATTGTTAGGTGAAATGAATAAAAAAAACATTTGGAGGCCACTACTGGACAAAAACAGCAGGGAAGAAAGGAAGAGTAAAATCGGGGCAGGAGGGAAGGTCTTGACCCGTCATTGGAAAGTTACGGGCTGACAACATAACCCTCATTGTTAATTCTGAGTGGAGAAAATGTCACGTTCTCATGGTGGAAAGCATCCTCTCCATAGGACATTTTCCTGCTTATTGTGCTACTGCTGCTTCAATAGATAATAGGTGATGTTTCCTAACCCCTGATGTGATTTTCCAAGTTAACCTCTGTTTTACATGAACTAGATCAGTGACCTTACAGAGTCAGGACATTACTGTATATAATATAGTCTTGTAACTTGTGACAATGTGATTCAATACATTGTCATAATTGTGCTGAAATTTGATCCCGGATTTGTTTTTAGTGCTATGTAGGGCTGGCCATCAGTTTCTTGTGGCGCTTTACATCACTCAACTACAAACGTACAATTGGAAAATATATCTTTCGAACAAGCAAGTTTCAATGCACGTATCGTGAACATAGATGTAATGCACTTGTATCTGAGGACCATTTAAGTTTCGGGCATGCCTTGGGATTACTTTGCCAATCGAATCCTTCGTCATGTGCATTCAACTTAAGTGTGGAAAGATTCCGGAGCATCCCAAGAAATCTCGCAACATACCAGCTCCGCACATACGGATTCACAATCATGCGCCGCTGTAACCACACGATGTGGCTAACCTTTTAGTTGTAGCACCCCCCATCCAATCATCCCAAAAAAACCTCAAGATCACATCTTTCAGCAACCACACCGCACAGAGATTGGCTGTGAATCCTAATGTGTAAATGAATGGAGCAGGCGAGTGTGGTTTATGTTTTATATTTATAAAAATAAATGTTTTGCTAGTTTGTACGAGTTGCAGCGCCGATTGCACTCCGCGTCCGTCTCCCGTTCACGTTTCATTCAACGCAATGCGAACGCGCGCACTCGAACGGGCAATGCGGGGGGAAAATCGCAATACATTTTAAGCGTTCCTCTTTCACGCGCGGCTTTTGTTGTTGTTAAATTACAATTAAGCCGGTCAATTTACCATTCGCGGCTTTTGCGCAAACTTCGTTTAATTAACGACCGCTGAGCAAGGCAAGGCCTTCGCAAGTTCACCCGACAGCCTCTCGGACACCCGCCTTTACATTTCACACAACGCATAGACGCCCCCGTCGCGAGACGCCTCACGATTCGCCCGCGCCCGGCCCACGTGACTTCCCACCTTCTGGCGACGTGGATTGGGCACCCCCCCCGCCCGCGCTCTGCGCCGATTCTCCCCCTATCCGCTCTGGTAAATATAACGGCGACGTCACCCGTAGACTTGGTGTGGAGAGGTGTGGGGGGGGGGTGAGATGCTCGATTGCGCGTGACGTCATGTAGTCGACACATCGGCGGCCATGTTTGTAAGGGGTACGAACCGCCGGGCTTTTATTTAAGGGACGTCGCCAATCTGTCGCTGTCGGGTGACGCAACGCGGAGCCCTCGTTTGGTCCGTGTGTAAGCGTACGGTGGGGGTAAGTGGGGAGGGGGGGTGAGTGGGGGGTGGTAAGTGGGGGGGGGGGGTAAGTGCAAACAGAAAATCCATGAAAAAAACGTCAAAATATTCCTGAAAAAATCACCGTACACCAACAACACTGTGTGCAAAAACTCCCAGTGGGATGCAAGTCAAACAACAACAACCACAAGACAACTTAGATGAAGGCCATCAGTCTAACTCCGTACTACAATAAACAAAAACATGGACAAACCAAAAAAAGTTTTCGAAATCACCAAAAAATAAAGCCATAATTGCAATGCAACGGGTGTCGTGGGGTGGTAGTGAGGGGAGGGGTAGTGGGGCGGGTATTATTAGTGGTGGTGGGGGGTAGTGGGGGGGGGGGGTAGTGAGGGGGTAGTGGGGGGGTAGTGCCTCCCTAAGCAACATGGCTACCGGCGGAGTCATCGGCGTTGTCATTGGTGGGTTCCTCGTCGAGGGTGGCCGGTGGTGGGTGGGGGGCGTGTCAGAGTCACACTCCGCCCCCTTCCGTTGCTTCTCGGCTCGAGGTGAAGATGGCCGCGCTCAGAGCTGCGGGACGCTGCACGGGCCGGCTCCTTCTACAGGCGCCGGGCGGGGGGCTCACGACCCCCAAGGTAAGCGACGTTTTATTGAACCGAGCACCTAAGGTCGACACCGTCGCTGCCCGTTAGACCCCCCCCGTGTTAAGCGGCGGGGGAAGGGATGGGTGGTGGTGGTGGTTGGTGGTGACGGGTCCCTTTCACCTGCTCAGGCAAGGTCACTCCGGCACGGGGGGTTCGGCCTCACGCTTCCCCTTTCCATACGTCTCGGGCTCCTCGGGAGCACGGGGAAAGCTCTTCCACGACTCTGGATTGCGTGTCCCGACGGGGCTTTTCAGTTGAATTAGAACCTCGGGGTCGCGACCTCTGCTTGTAAAATCGGAGATACCTCCACCACCACCACCGCGGCTGGCATTGTGTAACGGAGTGGTAGTGCGATTCTTTGGGTTCTGAACTCGGATGAGGAAGACGGGAGGTGGACTGTACGTGAGGGTGTTTTTTGCGAAGCTTGGTCTGTTTTTCACTCTGAAGAGCATTTTTTTTTAATTACGCCGATTATTTGCTTATTTTTAGAGTTACGTGCGTAAAGTGTGTGCTCAATCCGGGGCTTGAATGTTGGAAGGTCTGGGGACGAATGGACACTGTCTTGACATTGGGTCAAAGCTCATTCGATTAGGAGGACCTCGCTGTGGATGCAATTTTACTATAGGCTTAAATCGAAATATACCCTTTTTTATTTACATACTTGCGGTGCGGAAATGGCGTTTAAGGGTTAAACGCCAGCGAGGTTGAACCTTGCTGTAAAGGAAGGTGAAATCCAGTCCTTCCCATGTAATGGATCTGTACCCTGGAATACCAGAGGGCATTTTAGTGGGCATTGCAATTTTAGTTTGATGGCTGTAATATCACTGCTCATTTTTGTTTAACCACTTATTAAAGGTACCAAGTAATTAACGTATCATTCAGTGTAGTGTTCGTGGACTTTGACATTGCTACTTGTGTAACAATCGCCTGAAGGACAAGGCGCTCTACACGCTACGATTTACTTGTTAATTGAGCGTGGATATTTGCAGTTTTTGACATGTTACTTGGTAGTTTTATAACAGTTCCGTTTTAAATGTTACCCAAATGGTAAAATGCCTGTCACCAAAGTGGTTAAATAACTTAAGCTTATATCTACGCGGCTGACGTTTAGGTATGTTTCTGTACCGACTGCTTGGGTTTATTTAAAAATATCTGAAATGCGTTTGTATGACTACTGATTATGTTTCGACATTGTTTTTGTACATGACAAAAAATCCGATGTCTACATTTTTGTCTTGAAGCAGTGATATGTTTTGTTCAACTTGTTAACTGAATGGGCAAGCAATAATAGGGACTCACTGAAGATATGTGGTTGACGACTGCCTATAGGCAAGCTCTCCTATTTTGGTATATGATATTTAATCAGATTCTCTAAGGATACACGGGGGAGCTTTGCCACTATGCTTTCAGGGGTAGCACATTGGGAGCGTATCTAACTTGTGGATAAATTGGTACTCTCGCCTGCAGGCCGGCATGTCCTTCGCGAGCCTTTCCCGTGGAAAAAAGGTGGCATTGTCCACGATCGGCGTGGTGGCGGCCGGCGGACTGGGGCTTGCGCTGGCTCTACACCACACCATCAAGGCCGAAGAGCTGGAGCTGCATGCGCCCAAGTACCCGTGGAACCACAACGGCCCTCTTTCCGCGCTCGACCAAGCCAGGTATGACAATGCAAAAGTGGTAGCGCTGTTGCCACTTGTCGCAGAGGTTCATGGTTCAAGCTCAGCAATCGCGCCTTGTACCGCGGGTATATTAACAAAGCATACCAGCTGTCCAATTCACATTGGACCTTAAAGATCCTGTGACGTTATTCAAGAAATAATCGGCCATGTCTGCTGGCATCAATCCAAATTAGAACATTACTTGCAAATTCCCTTGTTGGGTAAAACCACACAGCAATATAGCCCCCTACTTCGTACGCAAATTATCCTCATGTACGAAGCATCACGTTTATGATACCCTTGCGCTATAAGAACGGCATAAATACCATATGGACGAGTGATATTATATTTTAAGACAACTCCACCCTGCCTGGATGTGCGCATTTTCCTGAGTAATATGGTGTAAAGTGTGCTAACCACTACCACCATTTCTCTAATCCCTGGAATCTAAACAGTAATTGATTAATGGGTTTGTAATTCATCTTCTTTGGTTCCTTCGGTAAAGTCACGTAGAATGAGAATAAAATAATAAATTAATAAAATAAAATAACACAATAAAATTCTCACGACGTTTCGGCCACAACACAAGTGGCCTTCATCAGGTGAAGGGACGTGACTGTCTCGAGGACAGCGCTGGAGCGAACACAGCTAAGCTCAGACCGCGACCTTTAAGCTGTGTGAGAGGAAACAGAGCGCCTTGACAAAGGAATTAGCATAAAAATTAGCATTTAATTGGCGGACTTAGCATGATGAACGGTGTAGAGGGGGTGAACATGTGCAGACCGGCGAGGAGGGGAGGGGGAGTTTATTGATAACTACCGTGCAGCGCAGTTTAAGGATGACATGTAACAGGGGCAATTTTAATTTAATTGGGTGTGTTTCTGCAGTGTGCGCAGGGGATACTATGTGTACAAACAGGTGTGCGCGGCATGCCACAGCATGGACTACGTAGCCTTCCGTAACCTGGTGAACGTGACACATACGGAAAAAGAGGCCAAGGCACTTGCTGAGGAGGTGAGTTCACTGCCATGTTCCAGAGAAACATAATTTAAGCCATATTGGTTTCAGCAAGGATTTGAGTTCAGCTAGTTTGTGGCTCTTAGGTCTGATGCTGATAACTGCACACGAGTAGTAGAGGGAACCAGATTTGTGTTATTTTTACTGGGCCATTAGAAGGCCCACCCAACACACCATGTTTGGCCATTTCATGAACAGTCCGGCGTTGGTTGTTTTCTGTCTCAGTGCTTTACGAGCTACGCACCTTCGTGAGTTGGGCCCCTTTTGCTAAGTTGTCTGCATTGCTCTTCTTCTGCGGCTGAAGGGAAATCATGGATTTTTTTTTAAAGAATGTTAAATAGCTGTTTGGATTAGGCAAAAATCACAGCCCTAAATGTAATGTAAATAAACCACACCCATGATATCACAGTTGCTTCTGGGGACAGGGAGCCACGCTGTCTGTTAAAGTGGGCCTCATGGCCCTGTTGTTACATGGTTGGCCCAATTAGGAAATCTGGACTGAGGTTCATGAACCAGGCCACTTCACTTGTGGAAAAAGGCTACCAGGTATTGGAGATGGATTAGAAGGAATTTAGTGTATACTTTATCATAGTGTAGACTGTAAGCAGTTTAAATTTGGATCAGTGAAATGTAATTTAATTATATGGTTTCAAACAACACAATAACCATGTGCAAAAAGAACTTGGCCTTTGTGCATTATGTAAAAAAACTATCAGCAGTTCCTGAAAATATGCACGATGGTCCTCTTGTCTTAGGTCACGATCAGAATAAATTTGGGCAAATGTGGCTCACTGCTCACTGGTGAGCATCAATGGAACACAGACTACTGTAGACTGGTTTATTCCTTATTAGGACTCATCAGTACAGTATAGTCACCAATGCTCACTGCTACAAAGTCTTGTTCTTGGCAACATGTAGAGTCGCCACATATACTCTGGGGGCCATTAGCTAGTAAGTGCTGGCTGGAAACACCATATGCTTCAAACAACACACAGGACCACAATGCATTTCTTCAGGAACTGATTTTGGTTTTGCATGGTGTGTAAAGGCAAGAGTGCACATTTTTATATAAAATGTTAAATGTATGGATTTCTGACTTGCACAATTTTTTTCATTAAATATTTACAGATTTCATAATTTGATGGTAATCTATTTTAACTAGTATCCTTAGTTATTGCAAAAATAGTAAAAAACAAGACATTCTTGACAGTAGCATTTTTCTGTCATTTAGTTTGAGGTGGTCGATGGGCCGGATGACAATGGCGAGATGTTTACAAGACCAGGAAAACTATCGGACTACTTTCCCAAGCCCTACGCCAATGAGCAAGCAGCTCGCGCTGCCAACAATGGAGCTCTACCACCCGACCTCAGCCTCATCGTCAATGCTCGGTAAGTTAGTCCCGCACGGACAAGGACGATTCTAAATCTTTTCTTTTGCTTAGCACCAGGTTTTATAAGAGTGCTCAGGTATCCCCAGTGTGCTCAATGTTAGGTGTGGTCATTCATTTATCTGTGTTATGTACAGACATGCTAAAATTGTTGAATGGATTTACATGATTAACTGCCGTGGACAGGCTTGTTGTGGACTTGCATGAAAACCCACAAGTGACTCCTGTTGCCAAAAAGGGAAAAAAGCTTATGGCCTGCAAGCTTTTAAATTGTGACGTTAGAATTGTGTTTTAAGTATCAAACGATGATTAAGTATTTTTTTAAGGATTATATATTTGGGTAAACATTTAACATCTGATTTGTAAAATAATTGTGCATACATATGAAGGTGTGCAGTACATTAATTATAATACTATTTTATTTATTACTTGCTTTACTACCTGGCTTCACCCGGGACTTGGATTCACCATGCCCGGCCGCCTTTGTCCCCCCAGTGGCGATGTTCACACACCAGACCAGTTACTCGTTTGAGGCTGAGTCGACCTAGGGGAGGCCCAGGACGGGTTCAAATAATCGTCACTGGTGGTGGCCATGAGCGGGAATGAAACTCGGGTCGCCGGGTTCGTAGCGCAGCACGCCAACCACTACGCATGCGCGGGTGACATGCCAGATGTGACGTCACAGCTCACTTGCCGTGCAAAATAGATGCATTAATGCGCTCCCCCCCCCCCCCCCCCCAAACTCCCAAAGTACATCTGGTCGAGCACCAATTGGTCGAGGCTCAAAAGAAAGCCATCCCTTGGTGTGGACCAATCAGTTTCAAGGACAATGCATATATTATCATAGCATGTTTGTTGTTTGCATTTTGACTGCAGGTATTGTGGTTAATGCAGACATGAATCCTCGTAAAAAGGTTTCAGTTTTGTTGCCAGAAAAAAGGGGAAAAATCCTATTATTAAATACCTTTCATTAATACATAAAAACAGAGAAAAAATTAAATAGCAGCCATATGATTCCCCTCACACAAGCTACCACAGCCGGTTACAGCCATCATGTTAATGGTTATTGTAACTGGAATGATTGGTGATCATAATTGAGTGAAAGGATGGACCACAGTTGTCTTCATCTGATGGGCCAGTTATTGTCATTGACTTCTCAGCTTCATTGGAATGATTGGCCAGTACTTAGTCTTTGGTTCTATTGGGTAAAGTCACGTAGGTGAAAATAAAAAATAAAATACCTACGTGACTTTACCCAATTGAACAAAGAGTATGGATCCTAGCAGTCACGAAAGCTTTAAATCTAGAATTGGCCAGTACTTGATTGGTATGGTGGGCCAGTATTTGGTATGATGTGTCAGCTTGAGCTCGATGATGGGCCAGTACTTGTTGGTATGATGGGCCATCTTGAGCTTGATGATGGGCCAGTACTTGATTGGTATGATGGGCCATCTTGAGCTCGATGATGGGCCAGTACTTGATTGGTATGATGGGCCATCTTGAACTTGATGATGGGCCAGTACTTGATTGGTATTATGGGCCAGCTTGAGCTCTGATGGGCCAGTACTTTATTGGTATGATGGGCTAGCTTTAGCTCGATGATGGGCTAGTACTTGATTGGTATGATGGGCTATCTTGAGCTCGATGATGGGCCAGTACTTGACTGGTATGGTGAGCCAGTACTTGTTTGGTATGATGGGCCATCTTGAACTTGATGATGAGCCAGTACTTTATTTGTATGATGTGCCAGCCTGAGCGTGAAAATGGGCCAGTACTTGATTGGTATGATGGGCCATCTTGAGCTCAATGATGGGCCAGTACTTGATTGGTATGATGGGCTAGCTTTAGCTCGATGATGGGCCAGTACTTGGCCTATATGTGGTCACAGTGATTGGTAGAACACAATGTACGTAGCAGCCAGACGTGCTATTTGGGCGTGAATGCTCTGCCGATTGCTCCGGTGGTCTCCTGATGTCCGTCTGCGTGGCCCCCAGTGGCTCGTCCACCCATACCAGGGTTATATAGAGTGGCAAGGCTGTGAGTGGCACTGAAGGCCAGGACATCAGTGTGGGGCTGTGCAGTGGTGTCGGAACCTACTTCGCTTCATTCTCATGAAAATTGTGTAAATTATACACTTGTGGAAATTCATATTTGTCTTTTTGCGTTGTCTGTTAAGTTGGCGTTAGCCTAAATTTTGAGATGCTTCATGGCACAACGCCTACCCAGTGATGTTGTTAGGCTAGCTATGATCGGTCTTTTAAACAGTTTTTTTTTAGCAAAGCCTTGTTTGTATGTACGCGTGTAGCCACGGAGGAGAAGATTACGTGTTCTCACTGCTGACCGGATACTGCGAGCCTCCAGCTGGTGTGACCATACGCGAGGGCATGCATTTCAACCCATACTTCCCTGGACAAGCTATCAGCATGGCTCCACCTCTTTACAATGAAATTTTGGAATATGAAGATGGTACGTAATGCTTTTTTCTACGTATTGTATTGATAATGATAATGTTAGATCTGTATTTTTAGTTTTGAACAGATGTATTTTTTTATGTTATTTTGAGCGTATTTAAATATATGTATTAAAATTGTATTCCAATTGTGCTGTCAATGTTATCATGAGACCAAGTGTGTTGTCGAGCATTGAATTGAATCACCTATGGTTAAAGAGCAGCCAGTGGAAGGAAATATCACATAACTACTTCTGGGAACCAGTCAAGTGCCCTCTTTATCCACACGACTGACACTACATATCCACACATGCCCTGCTGTAGATAAGTGCTTTAGTTGGCAGTGAAATCCATACTGCAATTTCTTAATTTTTACTAAAGTGAAAAATAAATTGTAATATGGTAGTAGTTTTGCACAGTAATTGTTGATCAGGCAAAGTTCATTCCCTATACTTGAGAAACCGGCTTAAACACGTGCATCCAAAACCTGTTTTTCAACCAAGGATCTCTCAAGGGTTCTGGTTGAGTGCTCCCACCCTTATTACATGTGGCCCACTGAGCAGAGTGAAATAGTTTCACCTCTCTTCAATGATTGCACTTACAATAATACAATACAAAATATAAATTCAAATTAATGAACAGTATAATTATTTTTGATTTAAAGCTTTCATGACTGCAGGGATTCATATTCTTGGTTCTTTCGGTAAAGTCTCGTAGAAGGGAAACAATAAAATAAAAATATAAAAACAATAATTATTTACATTTTTGTGCAACCTCAGTATATTTTAAGCTACCGATATTGATTTTTGCTTTCATCGGGTAATAAATAAAATATGCACTGTGTGAATTTTTTTTATCACAATCTTTCACTGCGTAACAGTGTCAATGGGAGCAAAATAAATTGTCAGCATTTTACACTTCCATACAAATAATTCCAAAAAAGAATGTGTTATAGATTTTCAAGTGATCATTTCCAAATACATTTCAAACTGAGGGTTGTGTAAGTTATATTCTTGTAAAGGACCTACTGGTAAAATTGCCCTGCATGTAGTTATCTTTGCAGAAATGAGTTGCCATCTCTTGTTATAATACAGGGACACCAGCTAGCATGAGCCAGGTAGCAAAGGATGTGTGCACCTTCCTGCGCTGGGCGGCTGAACCGGAGCATGACACTCGCAAGCGCATGGGCCTGAAGGTAAGGTCTCCATTTAATGATTAGTGTTGCAGTTATGTACTCTAAAAAATTATATGGCTCGTGTTGAGAATACATTATTGGTGATTTAATGCCTCCTTTGGTCAAGTTGTTGCTGCCAGGTACAACTGCATTAGCTGTAAAATAAAATGTTTGTGGGATAACCAAGGAGCCTGTTTCTGTCTTCCCACAGCTCATGATGCTGATGAGCATCGTATTGCCTTTGTTCTACTACATGAAGCGCATTCGATGGTCCGTACTCAAGTCGAGGAAGATTGCGTACAAGCCACCCCAGTAGAGACCGGTGCCAGTTGGTGGACAGGCTCTCAGGCGGCAGAAAGCCTTATGGCATGCAATTCACCTAAACTTGTATAAAAATATAAACGGAAATGACAAGTGGATTATTGGCAAAACACGCTAACATTGATCAGCCTGCTATGAGTGATGTGCATTGTGCTGTTCATACTTTCTGCATCATTTCCGCCTCGCGCAATAACTCGGTTCCTCTTCTTCAGCCATGGACTATGGCTGGAGCTGAATAAACATAATCTTATGTAGACATGTTGTAGTTGTGTCCTTGTTCGAGAGTTTTGATTGAAAACATTTCTTGTGTCAAAGGAGTGTGTACAAAATGACTTCTGTGTTTGTGATGTTGGTCCTGTAAGCACTCGCATCACTTTAGGAACCTCCTCGACCCCCTGGTAAACTCCTGCCGTCGGTGAATACAAAATGAATGGTAAATTTGAAAGATTATGGAAATCCTGCCTTGATATCTTAATACCAGAGCTGGAAGACTCGTATTGATAAATAATTTCAGTTGGCTCAGGCGAGATCAAAATTCGATTTTTCTTCCGATTGCAAATGGTGCTGAAAATCCTAATTTCTTTTTCAGTACTGATCTCCTTCCTGTGCCCCCACAATCCCGCTTTCTGCGCTACATAAATTGCCATGTGCGAACATCCCAGTTCCTATTTACCTAAGAATGTTAAGAGAAGATTTTCTGGATAATTTACCAGGTAATCCCACTGAGCTATGAGCTGTTTTTCAGCGGCGATCTGGCCACACGATAGTGCATATAAGTGGTTTATATCACGTGGGAATTTGTCGTAGCTAAGTAATCTAAACGTATGTTTATAAATTGTGGAGGGAAAATCCTCACGACCACGGAGAACATGCGAACGTCAACTATACAGACATCGTCAGGTTTGGGATCGAACTTATGAAATGCTAGGCGAGGGATATATCTCCTTCCCACCGCGGTTCCCCATCTGGGCTTACTGCTCTTATTGATATATCGCCTTGGCAAAATCTTCGGTTTTAATAGCAACCACCGGTTTTCCCCTCCAGCAACAATGGCCCTCAGTCATGTAATTTTTCAAAGAGAAAACGCTTAACTTAACATTTAAATGAACGAAACAACCTAAACGATAATGTAATCAAGCTGAAAACAATACATATTGTATGCAAATTAGAAAACGCTTTTACTCCAAAAACATTAAATGTTTTCGACCAAAATTATTCTATGATAAAAAATTGGCACAAGTTTGAAATGCGTTTAAATATTTATTGCAAGGCCGTAATTATACGATAATGTAATATAAATAATTTGCTAAACCTTGGCCATAATATCTGGACTTGTCTTCATATACGAATGCATAGATTTCTGTTTATATTATTGTGGTTATGGTTGTACTTTATTAATCCCTAATCTCTGCCATTACATACAATGAAACAAGAAAAGGTAAAAAGAAAAACAGCAATATAATACAATACACTATTAGACATTGTAAAAAATAAATTAAAAGTCCATCCCATGTGTTTTTTATATTTTAGGCAATAGCAGGAAATTCGTTTTCAAATTTAGATTTTTTTCTGGTGGGGAGACCCCCCGGAAGATTTGGTCCCCCCCAATGTTGACTCCATGGCTACGGCCTTGATTTAAGGAAATATAATACAGGTTCAAACTTGTAAATATTTTAAAAACATGCTTAATTTTATATTTTGAACCAAAAGTTGCCAAGTATAGATTTGTATTAGTACATTTATTCATTCCGAAAGTAGTAATGCGTTTTTGATGCATACATTTAGCAATTGTAATTATATATAAAATAGATTTTAACGAATCGTCCATTAAAAAGAAAAATATATTTGTTATTCTGAAATAGTTTTCAAATCTGTCAATGATAAAAAAAACATGCAGTCAGCCACATTTGCTCAAATTTAATTTATTTTGATGGTGACCTAAGACCACAATGCAGTTCATCAGGAAATGCTGACAAGTTTTTGCATAATCCACTGGCTGCATGTTACACATATTTGCGTGTTGTTAGAAACTCCTGAAATAGCTTTTAATCAAATGTCTTCATTATCAACAACTACGATAACTTTCAGAAATTTCAGTTTTTGAAGACAGTGGCCACATTTTTACCAAGCGGTATGATTTGTATCTCATTTTATTTGACCTTTATTTTTATAACACATTTTACCTCTGCATGCAAAATTGTTCACGTGCACGTTCCACTCAAAATTCAACTACAAAGAGATTAAAAACGGTTCCATGTTGCCCATTAGTGACAAGGTACTGTAAGGGTAACCTTTAAAATAAAAAGTTTACCTTTAGCATTTACAACATTGCCATTTTTGGCTCTCGTTACAAAGAATCGTTGAAGGGGAAACAACATTGGGAGTACGTTGGGAGCGAGTGGAGTTCCTGTAATGCCAGTGATGCATCATTGTCCTGCCAATATTTGCCTACGCATTGGCTTCCCTGCTTGAAGATATCAGTTCTCATAAAAGCTCTGCTAATGGAAGCTTTATACTGTGACGTTGGGGGCCATCCATTGAGTACGCACGCATGGAGGGGGGTTAACCCAAATGCGTTACACTTGCGTATGGGGGGGGGGTCTACTGACATTGTACGCATAGGAAACAGTGGTGGGGGGGGAAGCCTCGATAATAATTTGTCGACATTGGTCTTCAAATGAGTTAGTCTGGCGGCGGAGTTTGCTTAAACACATTAATATTATTAATCCTTGTTCGTTTCTGCGTGGATTAAATATCGGCCGTTCTATAGGATTCGGGGGGGGGGGGGTTACGTCAAGCTGTACGTACGCAGGTGGGGGGGGGGGGGGGTATAAATAGTCCGCGTGCGTACAGGGAGGAGGGGAGCCGTCAAGTTTTGACAGATTTTTTTGCGTGCCTACTAAATGGATGTCCCCCCTTCCTTACCTTTTGCGAGTGGTCATTGCTGATTCCACGGTGTGGCGCTGCAGCCTCGGGATTTCGCATCCACTACCCCATCCCCCGCCTTGTGAATAGAATGTATCTATCAGTGGTCGTCGAAAGAATAGAATGTATCAGTGGTCGTCGAAAGAATAGAATGTATCAGTGGTCGTCGAAAGAATAGAATGTATCAGTGGTCGTCGAAAGAATAGAATGTATCAGTGGTCGTCGAAAGGATAGAATGAATCTATCAGTGGTCGTCGAAAGAATAGAATGTATCAGTGGTCGTCTAAAGAATAGAATGTATCAGTGGTCGTCGAGAGAATAGAATGTATCAGTGGTCGTCGAAAGGATAGAATGAATCAGTGGTCGTCGAAAGAATAGAATGTATCAGTGGTCGTCGAGAGAATAGAATGTATCAGTGGTCGTCGAAAGAGTATAATGTATCAGTGGTCGTCGAAAGAATAGAATGTATCAGTGGTCGTCGAAAGAATAGAATGTATCAGTGGTCGTCGAAAGAATAGAATGTATCAGTGGTCGTCGAGAGAATAGAATGTATCAGTGGTCGTCGAGAGAATAGAATGTATCAGTGGTCGTCGAAAGGATAGAATGAATCAGTGGTCGTCGAAAGAATAGAATGTATCAGTGGTCGTCGAAAGAATAGAATGTATCAGTGGTCGTCGAGAGAATAGAACGTATCAGTGGTCGTCGAGAGAATAGAATGAATCAGTGGTCGTCGAAAGAATAGAATGTATCAGTGGTCGTCGAGAGAATAGAATGTATCAGTGGTCGTCGAAAGAATAGAATGAATCAGTGGTCGTCGAAAGAATAGAATCTATCAGTGGTCGTCGAGAGAATAGAATCTATCAGTGGTCGTCGAAAGAATAGAATCTATCAGTGGTCGTCGAAAGAATAGAATGTATCTATCAGTGGTCGTCGAAAGAATAGAATGTATCAGTGGTCGTCGAAAGAATAGAATGTATCAGTGGTCGTCGAAAGAATAGAATGTATCAGTGGTCGTCGAAAGAATAGAATGTATCAGTGGTCGTTGAAAGAATAGAATCTATCAGTGGTCGTTGAAAGAATAGAATCTATCAGTGGTCGTCGAAAGAATAGAATGTATCAGTGGTCGTCAAAAGAATAGAATGTATCAGTGGTCGTCGAAAGAATATAATGTATCAGTGGTCGTCGAAAGAATAGAATGTATCAGTGGTCGTCGAAAGAATAGAATGTATCAGTGGTCGTCGAAAGAATAGAATGTATCAGTGGTCGTTGAAAGAATAGAATCTATCAGTGGTCGTTGAAAGAATAGAATCTATCAGTGGTCGTCGAAAGAATAGAATGTATCAGTGGTCGTCAAAAGAATAGAATGTATCAGTGGTCGTCGAAAGAATAGAATGTATCAGTGGTCGTCGAAAGAATAGAATGTATCAGTGGTCGTCGAAAGAATAGTATCTATCAGTGGTCGTCGAAAGCGCTGTGCTCTCCCGCACCATGACGACTCCTTGGCCGATCGCGACGCGCTCATTCGAGTTCAAATAAGCAACGTTAGAATACACCGTTCGGAGGAAGAAGGCAATTTGTCATTTCCTTAAATATTTTATTTTAAGTACGGCATTTTAACATGAACATAATGAAGCAGTAGCATGTTAATGACAAGCAATGGTTTACAAAATGTTTAGTCTTGGCAAATCCTAGTAAAAAAAATGGCAAATGATCCATTGACTGCCATTTCCAGACTTTTTTATACAAAATATTACACATTGAGCTACCGGTGAATGAAAACCAACTTGAAATTTTTCAACAAAAGTATGGACAGCTATTCCAATGAAAAACACATTTTGAACACTCCTAAGATTTTCTATTTTTGGAACTATATTTCTAACCTGATTGAGATTCCGAAAGCAATTAAAAATCTATACACAAGTGTACATTTAGGCATATCATTGCGTAAGCAGCCACCCATTGAAAACATCTTCCTGCCACAGCTTGCAGATGAAACCTAACACCTATTTTCTCACCGTTAATGTGTTCGTGAATAACTGGATTTTATTAAATATTGTGCCAAAGTTTGATATTAACATGTTTTTTTTTAAATCAGTGTATTAAACTGGCGGTTACTATTCTCGAAGACAAACGCCCTGAAAAATGGCTCAACAAAAACCGTTCTAAAATAAGACGAGCTCACCCCGACATCTTGAAAAAGTCGCTGTGCTTGTTAAATGAAAGAAATCAACGATACGTTAATTTGCTTTGGGCTCATTCGCTGTGGTTGGAGTCCTAAAGCTGCAAATATCCAGTCTGTGGATTAGTGATAATATAATTATACTGAAAGGA